GAGTGAAGCGATTCTGACAAAAGACAAGCCAGCCGAAATCTGTCCCCAAGATATGGCAAGTTATGAGGATATCTCTCGATTAGATCAAACAGAGAATGTGGTGCTAGACTGTCGGACTGGCTACAATGACCTGGAAGGCGAAACGCTAGCCCGAATCGACTGTCAGTATTGTCCTCGATATAACCGACACATTCGAGAACACGGAAGGAGTCCGATCTTGGCTTTGCTTCTAGCATCGTCGCTAAAGCCTCAACACGGATGTTGAGGGCAGCTTTGACGTTCATTCCAAATGACCTATCCCGCTGCAAATCATAACGTAACCACTCCACCAACAAATCATTTCCTGAGAATGCATTCGCCTGGCGAGGTCGTGCTAAAGATCGGAGCCCAGGCACTGATATTGCAGATCTTGGAATGTTATCTTGAGCCGCAATGGTCAACTGATTGATATCGAGAAGTAGTCGAGATGCTGGTGCTCTGTAAGAAGTTGGCGGAGGCATGCCGTCAGAAGATTCAACCGTCGCACGTACATTTGCGGTATTGTGTGCTGTCATCATCTGCCGCTCCATCGATATCGCTGGCATTTGTTGCAAGCCTTGTTGAGCTTGTTGAACAGCACCGTCGAGGAGAATGTTCGAAAGTGCATGCGCTGATATCGTGTCCTCAACCCGTACACCTCCAGGTACCGGGAGTATTTCATACAACGTCCTAATCAGACTGGACATTTCTGAAATCATCAACCCAAATTTTGCCTCGTCCTTCACAGCCCACTTGATTTTTCGAACAAGTTTGCTGGCTTTTTGAAGCCTTGTAATCTCATTCTGCTGTCTCATTGATTCCCGCTTGATCACTGATGGTTCCGCCTCGTCTCCCATTCCAACTTGTTCCAGACCATATTTGCTCCAAAGTTTGTCTCTGTCTGTAAGGATATCATTGATCAAGACAAGAGTTTGAACTAATGTATCGTAAATCATACGAGGCATTTGGTTCGGAAGGAACCCGGCAGGAGTACATGCTCTATGACACATTCCCCAGTATATGTAGCGACTTTCCTCGACTTTGAAATGACAGTAGTGCCTGTTGAATGAACTGCCCATTCCTTTGACTTGCGATATTGTGGTGTAAGCAACGACACCACTGCTGAATACCTGGGCTGGTAGGGTGAGGGCACTTAGGGCGAGCCCAGAAACGTTCATAGGATCAACCATAATGTCGTTGGTAGTGATTCTTTCCACTGGTGAGTCGAATTGTTGAAACTATGGGTTCTTTTGTTTCGAGAATTGACTAAGGCGAGATTTGTGCTTTTTGCTTGAGTGTTGAGTGTTCGGCGGCTCGAGTCCTCAGCTGCTCAGCCATGGCAAGCCCACTCAATATAAGCCTCATAGCGCCACAAAAGTCTTGAGTGACATTCAATCCCTTCATCACCGTGTGGAAAGACGCCAATATTCCCATCTTCTTGATAATTGGCTGCCTTCCGTCCGTGAGCTTCGAAATCCTGTCCAAGAAAATGAAGCACACGATGAGCATATGAAATCTAGCGCAACAAACCCAATCAAAGATAACTTATGTTAGCTGTCAAGTTCAATGCGTCAATAACCTACGGCAAAAGATAATCTCATTCGCTTTAATTAAGTCGCCGTTACCACGGCGAATAACATTTGTCAACACGCGACTCGCACGCTGAGCAGCGAGATCCATAGCGGCAAGATCCATCACACAAGAGTGCGACTGCATAGCATGAACATGAATGAATGCTTCTTGGTAGGTTGACAGGTCGCAAATAAAACGATGCATATGTTTGGCATGTTTTGAGGTTCAATGAAAGTTGATGATTCGTGTCTTCGCTTTCCAAAATCTAGCGCGATTTTACAACCCACTTTTTCACGACCTCTTCACTGTTCTTCGACCTGTCTTACTTTTCAAAAGTACCTACTATAATACCCCATATGATTGTGCTCTTTATATTATTCTCGAGGCTTAGAACAGTTTCAAATACCTATATTATATTACAAACCCCAATATTTTAGAAACAAAAAAAAAGAAAAGAAACCGCAATTATTCTAGGCTACAATTCATAGTTTATCTAAAGAAACTTGCAGATACCTATACTGTATCGAAAACCTCAATTTTCAATAAAACCCACAAGACTTCGCTGCATTTTCATACTTTATCCGCTCGATCAACATCAAAACATCCAACCTAGCATTCACGAAAACTGAGTTCACCAAACACAAGAGGTATATGAATATCCATTCAAGCTAGGTCATGCAAAAGGGCTCTCCTTGGTATCTCATAGCACATGGAAAGAAACTACAATTGAATGGACTTCCTAAACAGTCTCCAATTCATAATTTTCATCAATATTCTACGGATCCTATGTGCACTGGGCTATTATATTCAAAGCATCATTCTCATACAATTGTTACGTCCCGCTTAGCCTTCTCTCAATCTAGACAACTGTCCCAAAGTTGGGCCTTATTCGCCGATCCTTAACTCGCTCCTGTGTCAACTTTTGTTCTGAAGCGTCTCAGGCGTTCTTCAACCCATCTCTGACCTTGAGATCTCCGCAGCATTTCTCATTCAATTCGCATGTTCTCGAGTGACCTTCGAAAAATAGGCATGCTGTTGTGCATATATATCATCAGTATCCAACTCGGCCTTCCCCAGCACACTTTCTACTACAATCCTTTTAATTTTCTATATAACACCCTATTCCGAACATTCTCATGCGTGTTCGTTCTACTCTCGCTTCTTCCCTGGCTCCATAAAACATTCCACAATCTTGTCCGACCAAATCTCACAGCTTTTCCCTTATCACCATCACTCAGAGATTCAATCCTCCACCCAGGTTCAAAAGAAATTTCTTCCATTCTGCCATTCCAAATCTTTCTCTTCAAAATTGAAGATATCACCACTAGGATCAACACCACCAAAGACACCTCCGATTGCATTCGCGGTATCTGAGGTGAGACGTCTATATAAATTGCGAGGAAAAGAACTTGGAGTCACTCGAAGAGACACCTCAACAAGTGTCGAAAGAGCTCAATTGTTTCGGTATATAACTACAAATTTGTACCCTGGCCACGGTTCAACGCTCAGCTGCCCGAGTTATGACGACATTATCAGAACACCATAAGCCCTGTAATACAATATAATAGATTTCTCGCTTGATACTCAAAATACACTACGACATAAAACAATTCCAGATCGGCGAAAATTTATTACAGACCCCAAATTTTTTCCCTCCAGATGCACAAAAGATATTTACGACATGCAACAAAACTCCGAATCCCTCATTAAGCGAGGTGACCCCCTCTTTGGGTCATGTGAGCAGTCCCATCTCATTTGGTATTTACTCTATACGTTAAACATTTTATGGATATTACGATGTATTAATAGGAGTTTAGAGAACTCCATATTCACAGTTCCAAATATACCAAACAAATAGCAAGATCGATTTCAAGATATCATATAACTAGACTAACGCCTAGCAATCATATTTCACATCACAAGAAAATTCCAATATCATGTCCGCTCATTCCTAATACATATTCCCCCCCTGATTCCCAACCCCCGAATTCCCATCCAAATTACCACCATGCGTAGCCGCAGCCGGATGCGAGCTCGGTGGCTCCTTATGCAACCGATTCCTGCCCTCAGCATCCGTAATCACATTCGGTCCATGCGGATGTTTATGATCACCATATCCTTGAGTGCCAGGGAACCCTGACGAGCCGTCAACGCCGCGGTTACGGTCTACACCATGTAGATGGTCGCCGATGTCCTTGTGTCCGGATTCAGGGGCAGATGGAAGAGGTTTATTGGTGTCTGAGCCGTATGCTCCTGCTCCTGCACCTACACCTGCGGCGCCAACGCCTGTGGCGGTTTGGTGGCCTGGGTTGAGTTGACCTTCGCGTTCGAGACGGTCGTACTCGCGGCGTTCTTCGTCGGTGTATTTGTCGTTTTTGTGGGATTCTGATAAGCCGTTAGTAAATGTGATACATATTGATTTAGAAGTACTTACTCAGACCAAAGAGACCTCCCTTGTGCTCCTTCTCGTGCTTCTTCTCTTCCTTCTCATGAAGTTTCTCGTCATGCTTATGTTGCTTCTTCAACTCCTTCTCGTACTCCTTCTCATCATGTTTATGTTGTTTCTTCAAATCCTTGTTCATTTCCTTCTCATCATGGATGTTGTGTTTCTGCATCGCCTTCTCAAGTTCCTTTTGCTTGTGATGTTCATCAGCCTCGTATGCCGCTCCACCGGCACCAACGGCACCTCCAGCAACAGCAGCATCGCGGCCGTAATGATGGTCACTGGTAGTGTTTCTAGTTGGATCGGTTGTAGAGTGAGTGGTTGAGCCATATGGATTGGTAGCAGTGGTACCACTGTGAGATCCGTATGTAGGGTCGACAGTCGAACTTGTTCCATCGTGGTGACGACCAGCAGCGTATGCAGCACCTCCAACACCCGCAGCGCCACCAGCCAAAGCAGCATCACGACCGTAGTTGTGACTTCCAGTAGTAGATGGGTCTACAGCGCGCGAAGTTGAGGTGTTAGTTGGGTATCCAGTGTCAGAACTGCCATATCCTGTGCCGTGGGTTGTTGGGCTTGTAGATGAGCCGTGATGTCTGTCAGCACCATAAGCTGCTGCACCAGCTCCAGCTCCTCCGGCAAGAGCAGCATTTCTACCGGTGTGAGATGAATCAGTAGTAGAACCATGCGTGTCAGTCTCGTTCTTGTGTCCAGAAAGCTTGCTTGTGATCTTATGCATCAAACTTTCCTTCTCGTGAGGAGCGCCATGTGTATCATGGGTTGTTGTGCTACCACTGTGACTACTTAGTCCACTATTGCCATGCTTCTGGGCATCTTGAACATACATATCTGTGGTTGGTCTGTGACCACTTTGCTCGAGATTAGACGCGCCACCAATTCTGTTTCCATGTTGATCGAAAGATCCCTCAGATAAAGAATCGTGGTTGCCTCGATGAGCCAAGCCTACACCTGCGGCACCTACGCCGACTCCAGCACCAGCTCCCAACGCAGCATCTCTGCCGTGATGATGGCCAGTGGTTGAGGTAGCAGGGGTTGTGCCGTGATGGCCGGTAGTTGTGGTAGTGGTAGTGGTCGTACCGGTCGTTGTCGAAGTACCGTGTCCAAAACCACGATCGTTGTGTCTGTCATGCTCACTGTACAAATCAGCAAAATTCCAAACAAAAATCAATAGGTGTGCGACGAAATAGTCAGGAATAGCAATTTCCCAACTACCATCCAAGTTTGAGAGCATCATAGAGCATGGAAAATACTTACTGCGAAGCAAGACCAGCAGCGCCAGCGCCAACACCACCTGCAATCGCCGCATTACGTCCAATATGGGACGAGCCAGTCAAGCCCGAGCCACCTTGTGTGGTAAAGTGAGAATCATCGGTATCTGCAATCCTGACCGCATCAGCAGAGGTTGTGCCAACGTTCTTGTGTTCCCTATCAGCTTCTTCGGCTCCTCCGCCAACCTTTTCACCGCCGTGGGCGTGCTCGATAGCATTTTCACGGTGGCTGCTTCCACCTCTGGTGTTTGGGTCGAGAAGGTTTGCAGTGACTGTTTGATGGGGCTGAAATCCGTTAGCATTGATTTGAAGGTATTTATTAAAACAACTTACTCCTGATCCAATACCAGTTCCTCTTGTTGCAGTGGAGCCTAGAATAGCTCCAGCACCGGTAGCAGCGGCATCTCGCTCAAGACCGTGTCCAGTACCATGTGTACTACTTCCATGGGTATGGGAAGAGCCAGTATTGCCGTATCCAGTGCTGCCAGTCAAGCCAGTGCTACCCAGTCTTGAGTTGTCAGAATCCACTCTTGGATCAGCCTTGTTTGCAAGGTTTGACGAGTGAGGTCCACTAGTGGTGGAATGGTCATTGTATCCCGTTCCAGATGTCAAGCCTGCACCACCAAGTCTCGAATGATCAGTGCCGTGTGTACTGCTTCCATAGGTATTAGGAAGAACCGGTATTGCCATATCCAGTTCCGGTGCTGCCAGTCAAGCCTGTGCTACCCAGTCTTGAATTATCAGAGTCGACTCTTGGATCTGCCTTGTTCGCAAGACTCGACGAGTGAGGTCCGCTAGTTGTAGAGTGGCCTGTACCAGTAGAATGGCTTGTACCAGCAAGAGGAAAGCTTCTTGCAGTTGTAGTACCAATAACAGTAGCACTTCCCCCGGGAGCTCCGGTCGTTCTTGAACCATCAAGATCAGAGTCGACACGAGGATCTGCTCTGTTCGCGAGATTTGAAGAGTGTGGGCCAGCAGTCGAAGAGCTGGTCCCTGAGCCCAGGTTGTAGCTTCTGTCAGTGGATGAGTGGCCAATGGCGGCAGTACCTAGAGCACCGCCTGTGGATGTGCTACTTGGGACCCCAGATGTTCCGTGGCCGTAACCTGGGGTATTGTCTCGTCCAGTCAGTCCAGAGCCAACTCCTCTCGAGTTATCAGAATCCACTCGTGGATCTGCTCTGTTTGCAAGGCTAGATGTATGTGGCCCGCTTGTGGTTGTGGTCGTGGTAGTAGTGCCGGTTGGTCCAGATCCATATCCAGCGCTGCCTGAATGGCCAGTCAATCTAGAGTTATCAGAATCCACTCGAGGATCAGCTTTGTTGGCAAGACTCGAAGAATGAGGACCACTGGTAGTTGATCCAGATGTACCAGGCAAGCCAGATCCATGACTAGGGCTTACTGTAGCACCTGAAACGCCATATCCTGTGCTCTGTGTAGTGGTAGGATGCTGAGATGTTGTGCCGTGCGAGGTGCCGGTATATCCAGCTTGTCCAGCTTCTGATGGAAATTCTCCTGGCATATGGGAAGGAGCATCTCTTCCAACTACACCAGCCATTCCAGTTCGTGTCTCGCCATTGAAATGTGAACCTTGTCCTGAAGTTCCTGTAGAAGATGAATGAGTAGTCGAGTCGTGTTTATCACTCGTATGAGGAGTTCTATGATCTGTTAGCAATGTCAAATACGTAGAAGGAAAAGAGAACATACAAGATCTTCTTAATTTTGTCCATAATTGCAGTAGGTTAATGCTGTGAAATAGTAAAGGGTATGATCGAGGAAACTCAGCATATAAAAAGGTATCAAAGTCAAAAAACAACTATGAAAAGAAACAAACCTCCAACCCCCCAAAGACAAACCTACATATACAAACCACACTAACCAAGCAATGAGGGGTACAGCTCCAAACTATGATGTCGTCTGTGGCGCTTACGCAGATTCACTCCACACAAAACAATCACAAGATCCTCTGATCCAAAAGCTGGAATATCTCAGCCTCACACTTGGTACCGAAAGGGTCTTTGCTCTGCAGACTGTACTCCATAGCGGGTTACTGCCACAGGCTAAGGGAGACGCCGTCGAGAGTTTGCGAGCCATGACAGCTCTAAGATGTGGGTGCGTTCTGCCCACTTTGCCAAGTATCGTGAGAGTTCGAATCCCACTACGATTCTACACCGTGTACGTTCATCTCATGTTGAAATCATAGACAATGAAATGCCCACGCCTTCGAATAACGTCGAGATATCCTCATGATCGCCTCTAGGATGCCTCCCTCAAATCCCATCTTCCTCGGAGTCGGAACCATCCGTACTGCAGTAAAGCAGATCCCGATGCGACTGGGTGATCATATCAGATGTATTGATTGAGATGAGGCTTGGATCGCCCCGGGCCCCCGCAATTGCTGTCCATTTCCTGATCGAGGGTCCTTTGTTTTGATGTGAGTGAGTTGACCTTGGAAAGTAGCGTCGTTGCGGGAAGACTAACGAGGAATTCCATTTCTTTCGTCAACCCAATTGAGAGCTTCAGCCACAGGTGGCGCTCATGACGTCCTCCACATTCATCAGCTACGACACTTTGATTTATTCAGACAACAAGGAGGAAATGAGGGAGATGTAATTTGGGATTGATTGGATGATATGTTATGCCTTTATTACGACTATCATAAAATCCCAACCAAGACATGACTTGAAACTCACGATATCTTCGACGTGACAAGATGGGCATTAAATGTAGTTGAAAGGTCACAGCACCAACTCGAAAACTGAGGACAAATGCATCGTCAATATACACTTTTATTAACGCTGTCACCAAAGATGGATCCTATCGCTACCATTCTTACAAGAAAAAAAGAAAGCCATGCTTTGCAAATAAACAAAAGAGACTAGATCGACGCTGTATCAGACGAAACCGATGTTTCCTAACCACCAATTACATCCATTCCATTCCATTCCTCCCTCATCCACTCTCCATTCCCATGTGTATCATCTTTCTTCCCTCGCCCTCGCACCTGTATTAAGTAACGGGTATTCGCGGTAAGTGGTATCATCGTCATCCGAAAATTCAAAAGAAAATATGGTTATCTCCAATCCTTCCCTGTCGAATGAAAAAGAAAATGCTGTGTAAGGCTGCAGAAACTGCAGTCATTGTTCATACACGTCCAGCCAAGACTGGGTTCTCAGCACCGTATGTGGTGTTGTAGGTGGAGTTCTTGGTGTTACCGTTGGTAGCGGTATGGCCATTAGTGTTGGCATGGCCATTGGTGAGGCCAGTTCCAGTGCTGCTGCTGAGACCGGTTGTGCCAGCATTCTCGCCGAATGCCTGATCAACTTGACTTCCAAATCCAGTCACGGTGGAATCTCTGTTTCCAGCTCCACCAATTGGACCGGATTGAGTGCCGGTGTAACCGGAGCCACTCTGACCAGTGTATCCAGAACCACTTTGTCCAGTGTATGCAGAACCGCTCTGTCCAGCATATCCGGAACCGCTCTGTCCGGCGCTCTGGGCATATGGATCACGAGATTGCTCAGTCATGGAGCTGGTGTGGCCAACGTTTTGTGGGCCACGAACACCACCCTCAGTCACTCTGTGTGGTTTGCGAGTAGGCTCAACGGCCTTTGGAATATCGGTAGATGCCTTGGCACTGCCGAGTCCAAATACTGGAGTTTGCCAGTTGTCGCCCTTAAGAGCAAGCTCCTTGTACTCGGTAGCCTTGCTGGAGATACCACCTGGAAGCTTGATATCTGGAAAGATGGAATCTTTCTGGGTCATAGCCATGTTGACGGTGGTGTTGTTCTTGGCCTCTTGTGCCTTGTTCTTGCCCTGAAGGAACTTCTTCTGGACGGCAGAAGCGTACTTTTGGTAGATGTTCTGTGCTTGCTCTGGGTCGTTCTTAACCTGCTCAGTGGCACGGTCAACCTCCTTCTTGACCTCAAAAGCCATGCTGTCAAGCTCGTGGCACTTGTCCTTGATGACCTTCTCAATAGCCTTCTGGAGTGCAGGCCTCATGACCTTAAGCATCAATGGCTTGAAAAGACCGAAGAGGAGCTTGTGATTGGATTGCTTGAGCTTAATATCGAAATTCTTGACATCAACATCGACTTTGTCAACCTTGAAGAAGTTTTGCGAATCTTTAGCAGTAGCAGTTGAGAGCTTCATCTTGAATGACAATCCAGTTCCACCGAGGAAGATATCGGCAACACCGAGGTCCTTGACCTTTGGAGTACCTTGCTTACGCTTGACGTAGTAAGAGACATCGCGAAGATCCATCTGGATACCCGAGACAGAAACCATGATACTGTTGTTGTTCTTGTTGGCAATCTTCTTGCGCCCCCAGCGGAAGTAGTTGTCATTTGCAACCTCAAGAATGTTTGGCATCAAGTTGTCACTCTCAATGACAAGATTCTCAATGACAGCATCGATCATTGGGTCGCTGTACTCAATACGTGGGATTGGTACGTATTGGACAGCTTGGAAGATGCCAGGAAGGATGACCTCAGTCAAATCCTTAACCAAATGAGGCTTGAACGTTGGCTTGCCATTCTCATCATTGCCCAAGTCTGTGAAGAGCTTGTTCATTGACTCGGCAAACTTCTTGTTGGAAGGATCGGAATCGAACTGCTCGGCAAGGAATTTCACCTCGTCGGCAATGCGATCAGTGTGGTTTCGGTAACGGTCACGGAGGAGGAAGTTTCCGCGGTCGTTCAACTTGTTCCACTCCTCGGTAGCGTCATCCTCCATGATGTAGCCTTGTTGCTTGAGGCACTTTCGGATGTAGGTGTTCATTTGCTTGAACCAGTTCTTGAGCTCGGGATCTTTGTCGGCATCCTTGTAGACAGCATTGAGAGAGTCGAAGAAGTCGTCGGTAGAAGTACCGTTGGCAAAACGCTCGATCAAAGTCTTCAAGTCACCCTCAACCTTCTGGAGAGAGGTGTCGGCATGTGCACCCTTGACGGTGCCTGCACCTTGTTGACCGAGTGTGTTGGCGTGGCCAGCATACTGCTCAGCCAAGTCCAAAATAGTGGTGATGGCAGATTGGTAATCTGGGTGACCTTGAATTTCGACTACCATCTTCTTCAATCTGTAGATGGTCTGCTGACGGCGCTCCTCTGGCATCTTCTTGTTCATGTAGTCCTTGGTCGTCTGTTTGGCCTGCTCCTTTCGCTTTCTGGCCTTCTCCTTGTCCTCTTCCGAGATGTTGGCATCAGCCTTCTGCTTAAGCGACTCAATACCTTGACGAGCACCCTGCTTGGCATCGACACCGGAAGAGGTGTTGTTCATCTGGTCGTTTTGAGCTCGGTCCGCAGTGTCTCTTGGATCGCGGGATCCACTTGGATCGGCAGTCTGATTGGCATCACGACCAGCCTCCTTGAGATCTTGCTTGGATAATGGAGACTTTTGATTGTAGGTTTGCTTGATCTGGTTTTTAATGTTTCCGCGGGACATATCTGGGTTATCATGCCATGTATCGTCCTCGGCAGGCTCGTCTAGCTGGTTAAGTTGATCTTCGTTGGGGTTGATCTTGTCTGCCGCACTGGTAGCGGCATCACCAGCCATGTCGCGAATGAGGATGGTAGAATCTTTCACTGCGTAAAATGTTAGTAGAGTAAGCAAATGTTTGGAGGTGTTACATACAGAGCTTTCGGAATTGACCATTAGAGATGATCAACGTGCCGAGGGTTCGCAGACCCTCCAGCGCCTTGTTGCCATCCTGTTGAGCAGATTGCTTGTCAATTGGGGCACCAGGGACAGCAGCGTTTCCACCGCTAATCTTCTGTGATTCCCAGATGAAGTCCTGGAGAAGATTGCCTTGGTTCTTGGAGAGGAGGAGGTACTTGGCTTGTTGAACTACATTGCGGAAGTCGGCGACAAGAGCCTGACCCTCAGCCGACAGCTGTTTGGATGGGTGGGAGATAGGTTTTGATGCTAGGAAGCTGTTGAGCGCAACATCGATTTGTTCATTCTATGACAGTTAGTATGTCTTTATCACGCGTGCGCCAGCGCCATGATTTGGCCAGGCAAATTCAACGGATCGGGCCCAAGCGATCCCGCGGTGGGAATGGTAACACGATTTGCGCGCTAATTGCAGCGACTGAAACTATCGAATAAACAAAACAGTAGTTCGTGATATTGAATCAGAGGCTGATGAATCGTAGAATTGTAATTGAGCTGTGGTCGATACAATCGCGCGTGAAATCATCGTGTCGTATCACCAGTCGCAAAATGTGAAGTTGCACAAAACCGAATCATGACGTATGATAGAAATTTATACTTACAGATGGGACTTTGCCAGCTTGGAAAGCTATTGAATTGTTAGCATTGGCGATATCTTCATAATTGAATGCAGCCTACCTGATGCAATTCCGTAGAATTGGAGTTTGCGGTTGACATCGGCCTCCTTTGCCTTTAAGTCTGTTGGTCTGTTGACGGACGACATGGTGATCTAGAGATCGGGTATCAAAGAGTAGAAATGAGCAAAAAATGAGCAAGTGAGAGACGCGACGATAATCGCAGTCTTCACCAGTTGATTAGTTGTAGATTGGGATCGTAGTGGTGATAATACAGATGGGTAATCGCGTGTTGTTATTGTTGGGTATTGTTGGCAATTAGAGAAATGGTTGGAGAAAGAGCAAGAGGAGAGGGAAAGGAGAAAGCAGAAAAGGAATTGACTTTGGTTTTGACGCAATGGAAACCGGATACGCGTCGATGCGATCTTGCCTTGCCCTGGAACAGGAATGGTTCGTATGACATCGACTCCCTAGGTTGCTGGGCACAGATGACGGCTTGGTTGCTACCACTATCGATTTGCGGTAGCGCGTAAGATCTCGCCGCATTCCCTTCTGCCCATTGAAGCTGCCCCAAAATGCCCCCTTGATCTAACATTTAATTTCATGTCGATTTGACGTCATCGTTTTTGGTTGTGCACCCCCTTCCAAATCCTCAGCTTGTGACTGTCTACCATTCGGAGCTTTTGGCCGGCTGTAGCACTTCCCGTACAACCCCAACTCATCTTCACCTCTTTCATCTTATTCTAGTCCAATCCTAACGTCGGTATGGTTGATTTGGTAGGTCTACGCCACCTCATCAATAAAAGTGTACATGGTGGCTGGAAAGCTGTTTGCTGGCAAGTTTTTCTGCTCTCCCAGGTTTCATGCTTCCCCGCAACCGAACAATTCCCCCTGAAAGTGCATGGGTTCCCGTCGCTTCACGCTTGGGTCGTGGTCGGGCGTTTGGTGAAAAGAACGCCACAACAACGCCGATGTTTAGCTAGTATCGTGGTACTTCATCAAACATTTCAGCATACACCATCGTGAGAATCGTATGATCCTCATGCGCGTCATCATCAATAATATCAAATACTGCAAGCTCTGCAACTTGTGCCCCGCTCACTGCCTATTGCAGCGGAAATTCTCCTTGAATTCCTCTTTGAGGCACAGATGTTCTCGCTTATTACGATGATGGCATTTCTCGATTCCCATACCGGAAAAGCTGACGTATCCTTGTATAGATCTGCGGTGCATCTTCCGGCTGGGCAGTGGGCATCTCGCAAATTTGCTGAAAATTGGGACGAGAGATCAGATTGTTTTGGGGAACCTGTGAGTTTGATCAATATTATTGTTCTAAGCTTGCATTAATTACATACATGATTGACATGAGAAAACTTACTACGAACGTAAGTAGCACTTTTGTATCAAGTTTCAGATCACATACCACCATATCCTCTTCACGCCAGCGCATTCTCCCACACAACTCCTAGTACGCACAAACAGCCACCAGACTCCAAAGCTCAAGACGAATGATTTTCGATGACTTCATGCCACGCTCAGACCCCAGTAAAGATCACGATCGAGACCGTCTGGGTTGATTTGCCACATGGACTAGCTGGCGCTTTCTATGCATGCGCTTGACCGTTTAGGTTTAATGACTTGGAATCGTCCTGACGACGAGGCTTCCTCGCTTGTGTTTGCAAGAGACGGGAACGCTGGGTTTTGCCGCCATTAGCGTCACGTGTTTGATGTCAACTCCATTATCTTGCATTGCATTCGACTCGTGCTTCGTTGGTATCTGTTGCTGTGTTAGGTTGTTCGAGCTTTCAGTGTTCTCGTACTGTTTGTTTGTGTTATTGTAAAAAAGTATAGCCAACTAGATTGGGTAAGAACACCTGACCGACCGATTAGGGAGTGTGTGTACGGAGTATGCAGGTGGCGCGCGAGAAGTGGTTGCGTGGAATTGGGTATCTGCGACGTGCAACAAAATACGCAGGACTCATGCAAAAGCCGTCACGTGGTATTTGAAGAACCAGAGTAAAAATAACTTTCGCAGTTCTCCTTCTCAACAATATTTATCCGTATCAGAATTGACTTTCAAGTATTGATTCGTGCATCAAGGTCCAAGGAACCTGTCGAGAAACCACGATTTGTTCGAAATTGACAATGGAAGTGCGACGCTTGCGCCATCTCTCTACGCGATCACTATGCTGAAGTCCTCCATTAAAACACGCTTAGTTCATGTTGTCATGAGGTTGTTTTTGCTTTGATATACTCAGCACTCTTGCTTCGGACGAGCTAAACAATGTGAAGGTCAATGGCTGTCTTGTGCGCGATTCCGTTGTTGGCGGCTTGGGAGCACAACCAACAACGAGGCACCAAATATAGATATCCAACATACCATATCCTTCGCCCCCCCAAGAAATACCAACAATCTTTCCATACTTTCCCACGGGAGTGTTGGTTAGATCGTGGCTCAAATGTCACACCTTTTTTTCCGGTCGCTCAGGAATATACCAACTTCTGAGCCTCGAATTTCTGTTCTCATGACATCTTACCGACAGCCATCAACAACCTGCATTGGTCGCTGGAGGTCTTTTTGATTCCCCATGGAGTTTACTTACTCTTGGGAAATCCTACATCAGCAATGGGTTTTCTGTTACGTGGAGAAGTTTTCCTTCCTGATGATACTGTCACCATATAGGCACAACGTCAGTCGCGATGTGCTTTTCTCTCTCTTTTCCTCTCATCTTTCTCTCTACACTTGCTAGGTCCTCTTACTGCAATTGTTCTCGTGGTCGAGATGCGAGTCTAGGTCAATTTGTCTCTTACCTTTGTCTCTTGCTTTTGTCTCTTACTTTTGTCTTTTTGATCTTGGTAAACATCTCTATCGAGTTTCCGAACACTCCTGTCATTCATTCGTTCATAAAAATGAAGATCTGCACCTTCTCCATTCTCTGTGTGCTAGCTAGCAGCCTGGCAAACGCAGGTGTTATCACCAACTTCGACGAACTAGCACGGCGGGCAGAGAAAAAACCTCAGGACAAATTAGAATTCGACCAACAAACCGAGTCATTCAAGAAAACCGGTACATGTCGACTTTACGATGCAACCGGCGATTCTGAAAAACGCAAATCCAGCCCCGATATCTGCGAAGCAACTTGTGGAAATCTGTCCGACAAAGTCCGAGACACCAACGCAACAGCTTCCATGTCCTGCAGTTCTCTTGGCGCAGAAGCGAAGGAACGTCTTTGGCAACTCGACCCAGATGGCGATAAATGGTCTCCAGGCGGCTGTCTATGCCAGATTCCACTTGCGGAATTCATAATTGACACCGTGGCTGCGGCCCTACCACTAATCGATGATGTTTTGTGTGTTGGCCTTACAACTGCGCTTCGAGAAACCATGTTGTTGGCAGCAAACTTCATTCCTAATGTCGGGCCAACTGCTTCAGCAGGATTAAGAATCGCAGTTCAAACTGCAAAGACAGTGGCTGATTATGGTGGAACGGCGGCAGATTATATGAAGTGGTTTAGCACTCCATGTGGAGAAGGTACTGAGGATATCCAGGCCAAAGCGGATGAAGCCTTCAACTTGATGAGTTATCTTCCCGATGAGCTGGAACAAGCTTTAAGTTTGTGTCCTATAGACAAGAAATCGAAGTCGAGGAAGAATGGAGATCCCCCGCAACCTGGCGGTAGAAAGAATGATCAGCCTTCCGAAGATAACAAGCCGACAAGTAATCCACCGCCTCCATCGAGCAATCAACCTCCAGCACCAAGCTCAAACCCAGTTCCTTCACAGAATTCGAATCAACCTCCATCCAGTCAGGCACCAGCCTCCAGCGTGGCTGCCAGTCCATCAAGTCAAGCATCACCTGCATCGTCCGCAAGTCAACTAGCCAGTCCCTCATCAACTGCAACTCCTCCTCCGATAAACAACGCCCCTCCACCCGCACCCATAGACCAAAACCGCCGGACCAGAAAACAACCAACTTCAAAAGCAAGCAGTACCGCCTCGAGCGCTTCAGCAGCAACAGCTACAACAGAGGCCGCCGAACCTGAAGAGTCTGAAGGACCGGTACCTCCTTGTGGTGATTTATCTGGTGCACAAGATGTAGGTGAGAAAGTTCTCGATGGCGCAGATGTATCGGGTTGTGCGGCTTCTACGACGGAGGCTGTGACTGGAGAGTCAGAAGCTGTGGCCACAGAGGCGGCGACGTTGACAGGGGAGTTGGAAGAAGAGGCTACCGACGCTGCTACCACTGAAGTTGACGAATCTGCTGCAACTGAAGCTCCTACGACAACAGAGCTGAAAGAGGAAGCTCAGGAAACAGAAATGGCTATGGCCGATACGGAGGAAGAAGCTACAATGACAGAGGAAGAAGAAGATACTCGAGCCACTGAAACGGGAGAGGAAGAAGTTTCATCTACTACCACTGAAGAGGAAAGTGCGAGTACAGCTGATCCTGAAGAGAATAGCGAAACCGAGACCGCGGAGGAAGAGGAACTCGTTGCCTCAATTGAGGACTCGGACGTAGAAAGTGGGATGACTTCTGCTGATACTGAAGCGAACGAGGTTGATGTTGCGAAAAGATGACGAGTTCGTAGTCCGAGACATGTAGATATCATCGCGAATTCATGTGAAAGTTGATAAACAAGACTGTCTACACTATGAGTTGTCTAGCTTCCAAAATCGAACCCCTTTTGACTCCTTTTCCCCTTTGATAAGTGAGAGACATGTTTCTGCTGCCCATTCTAAAAACAATAAGTAAGCATAGAGGTCCGAGGCTACGAAGTAATTCGTTGGATGCGTACCCTTTGAGTAACATGTCTAGAGAACCCCTACAACAACTCGTCTCTTTGGAGTCTCATTCCATTTACGCGAGAGATGAAGATAGTCCACGGACTTTGCGAGCGAAACTTGGAGATTTTCGTTCGTGGTAGTACTGCAAAAATTGACCAAGTTGTAAAGTACTGGACGACAGTGTCCAGCTCATTTTTTTTGGTTTTGCTGTGAAAATTATCGACGAACTCAAAATGCCGTGGTTCATTGAAGTGTAATCGACGGTATATGTCACAGCTCACGTATCCTGTCCCATTCCCAAGACCCATCGTCTATGAAACCTAGTTGTGATAGGTCTGTCAAGTCGCAGGCCGTCATTTCCTGGCCAGGAGACATGATTGATGGAGCTTCGTTAATGATGCTAATGTCTGGCTGATTTTCTTTCATGATATCAAGGTCTCGCTGATGCTCGTTTGTGATATTACCACTTGGCTGAACTTGATTCGCACCATCAACGTCTGGCTGATGCTGGTTTGTGGTATTATCGCTTGGCTGCTCTTGACTTATGATATCCGGGACTTGCTCATCGTCATTAACAGGCCTCGCTGCCTCAAGCAGCCGACGAACAGCATGATGTCCATTCTCGGTTGCTCTTCTCATAGCATCCTGATATTGTGCTTCCCCTTCTTTTACAATGCTCGCGCCAGCATTGAGTAGCAACTGTACCATGTCAATTCGGCCATGTTCTGCTGCTCCTTCTAATGCTGTCCTGCCGCCAATCTCAGCGGCTGGTGCGTTGACATCTGCATTGTAGTCTAGTAAGAGAGTTGCGATTCCGAGCAGACCTTCAAGAGCAGCAAATTGTAGTGCGGTAGCTCCAGCCTCTTTTGCTGGCGGTGCATTCACATTGGCTCCATGGTGATAAAGTAGTTCGATGATCCCTTTGTTTCCATTTCTGCTCGCTATCTGTATGGGCGTATGAGGCATGTCGTCATATGTCGCCTCTACATTACAGGAATGTTGTAGGAGGAGAGTGACAATGTCAGTGTCTTGATTAGTGACAGCGATTTGAAGTGGTGTTCCGTTATGCCGCCCTGCTTCCTCTTCCTGAGATTGTTGACATTCAAATCTGTTTGATAAGCCAACAGCATTCGGGTCGGCGCTTTGTTCTAGAAGCAGGTGCACAATGCTTTTCTTCCGGAAATTTGCTGCAGTTTGCATGGGTGAGCCGAACGTATCACCCGTTGGACTCATGTTAACATCTGCCCCCGCTTCTAGCAAGGTTTTGATGTTTTCGGGGTTGTCGATCAAGATAGCCATACTGAGAGCAGATATGTGATAGCCGCTATTCCAATATATTTTCAAGAAGTCGTCTGCAATGTACCAAATAGAATTGGGATCTGCCCCGTGAGCGAGGAGCAAGTTTAGAATTCCACCGGTTGCATTGTATTTGATGGCAATCATCAGAGCTTCCGAGACACCTCGAATTGACACAATGGTCTGTGGAAGTCCCTCAAGAATAAGACAGGCTATCTCCACTTTACCTAACTCTACTGCTCTAGCAAGCGCTTTATCACCAAAATCCCAGCACGTTCCTGTAGAAAGTCTTATGATATCGTTGAAAACTTCTTCAAAAATAATCTTGAACAGCCCGGTATCGTGAGCGGCGTCTTTCAGTGCTAGAGAATCGTGCGGATGCGCCCCTTTTTGTAGTAGAAACCGAACCAGTCTCGTATCATTATTTTGGACAGCGGCAGTAAGAGGTGTAATACAAATAATTTGTGTGTTAGGAGGGTGATTGATAGCTGCCCCCAATGAAAGAAGCGTTTGAATTAGGCCACAGTCTTTGGTTTTAATAGCAGCAGTAAGTGGGGTCATCCAACGGTAATTATGGTCCCAAGAAAAGTCGTTTCCAAAAGCAGCAGTACTTGCTCCCATATCTAGGAGGGTTTGGATTACTTCCTTATTGCCCCAGAGAATCGCCAAAACTAAGGGGTGTCCATAAAGATTGTGGTGGCCGAGGCAATCTTTATAATAGCATGGCTCGCGTCTAATTATATTTAGAATTGGGCCCAATTCCAGTATTCTGTCTGTCATCCTCTGATTTTTCCGAGCAATTGAGAATTCAAGTGCAGTATAGCCCTCGGAGACTGTGTTGATGTCTGCGCCTTGGAACAAAAGAATATCCAGCATCTCAACGTCGTCTTTCCTGATAGCCGATTGTAGAGCTCTGCCCAAGCATGAAGAAATCGAGACATTGTAATCCAGACACAGGCCGCTTAGGAGACATAGAGTTTCAATATTTTGTGCGTCGCAACATGACTCTAGTACTTCTTCCATTCCAGCAAGTTTAGAAAAAAGGGTGCTACCGTTGGAGCTGCTGTAACTGAAGATGTATTTAATGGCAGTGTTGTCGCCGGTACTGATCGCTGCGAATAAAATTGCCTTTTGCATCTCAACATCTGATCGTTTGTGCAGTATAGCTTCGATGTATCTCAAAGTTAAATCGTACCCCATAACTTCCCAGGCTGTTGTTAACGACACCCAAGAAACTAAGCTTAGCAGTTTGTTGAAAATCTCGAGGCTTCCCAGATTAGTTGCCAGCTGCAAGGAATAATTTGTGGCCTTTGAAGCTCCCGCCGCTAGCATCATTTCAATGAGCTCGACGTTTCGCAGACCCACAACAAGGTCCACGGTGGTGAAATAGAATCTCTCTTTCTTTTCGAAGTGCCAGGCTGGGCACTGTTCTTCAGGCTGATGAAAAGGCAGGTAATCATCTATATCAATCCCGGCTTTTATGAGTCTGCTGAACATATTCATGATACTCTCCAGTCTCTCAACTGGCACAGATGAAAGAACTATTTTGAGAAATTCGATCCAGCAATGCCAATCGTGATAACCGCTCTCAAATGTGGACTTCTTGGTGATTTTATCCAAATCAGCCCAGCTGTAAATACACTCACGAAGGGCCGAGGTTTTTTGGCCTGTTAGGAATCGAACATTGGCGTGGTTTTCAAGAAAAATTTCGATAAGGTACACGTTTCCATATCGGGATGCTGCTGTCAATGGAGAGTGTCTATAGTATAAGATGTGGTCAATATCATCATCATAAACAGGTGGTTCGCTGCTTCCAACCGCAGGGGAGTTGCAAGAGTCGTCGGTAAGTGGGTTGACTGCAGCTCCTTTGTCCAAGAGGAATTGCACAAGAGCAAGAAAGTCCTCGTCTTTCCTTTCAGGGAATTCTTGTGCTGCAATCGAACATTTTTCGACTTCCTTGCGCTCCTCGCCTTCCTCGCCTTCTTCCCAGACACGTTCATCGGAATCTTGTTCAGAATCAGTTTCCTGGTCAAGGTATCGCCCATGGATCGTAAGAACTAGAATACTGCTTTTCCATCTAGTCCCCGGTTGATCTATGCTGGATCCCGCATTGACGAGTGTAGTTGCTAGCTCCCAGTTTCCACTGAGACATGCAAACTGCAAAGGATTCATACGATCGGGTATTCGATAGTGCTGGCAATTGTGCCCGTTTGGATTTAATCCTCCTTTCAACAAAAGCTTCACAGTTCGGAGATCTTCTGCCTCAACTGCCAATCGGAAGATATTTTCAAGGAGCGCATCGCCAGTTGGCCCTTTCTCAACACGAATGGCGTCGAGGAACGAAACATCGCTATGGGCTTGGAGCCATTGAAAAGCCCGTGTTCCATCAGTTTCGTGGGGAAAGTTGTTTGAAAACAGGAAAATTGCGAGATTTAGAACCGCCATAGAGCTTGTATCTTCGAGACTTCGAATGGCGACTGCTCGCGCACATTCCTCCTCAAAAAACGCTGAATTTGGCAGTATGGACTCGATGAACGGCAATCCAGTTTTGGTAAGGCCTGTCCTATTTGAACTGTTCAATAATGGTAATAAAGATGGTGATCTAGCATCGGAATTCATCATCGATTCTGAAAACATATGATTGATCAATAATAGCTTCAATGGAGACGGACTGCTGCTCACCTGCTAAATTGGATATCGTGTCCTGAAAGCTAAGTATAGGTAGCCTGTGAAATAGTAATCTGAAAACTTCTGGCGAAGTAGGAGTGCGTATGTTAAAACCAGGTGGTGTCGTGGGTAATGCAGCAGTCGTGTCTATACTTTGTAAGAATTTAGACCAAACAATAGCGCTCGACAACTTACTTTGAGTTCTGTCGAACCGTTGCAGGCTCGGCAGGATTCGATGGCGGGAAACTTCGCGATTTACTCTCCTCGCTGGCACTAATTGGCCGTTCAAATAGACGCTGCTTCTTTTCCCGATTTTTGTCCGTAAATCAATCTTTTGGCCGGCCATTTTCCAAGCTTCACTGGATCTATTCCTACGGAACCCCCAGTCCCTTAATTTCTTCTCGTATTGCGCTTTACTAAAATATGTCAGTTATGTTGCGCTGATCATAACCGCTTCAACGGGGGCAGAACTTACGTGGCCTTGAAATTGTATCGATCTTCCATCACTTTCATAACACCTTTGGGACCTTCGAGGCTGTACTTTTTGACGATGTACAAATCATATATGATATTCTTAAAGCGATCCCACTCGTGAGAACTGTTTGGACGAGACATATTGGAAGTCTAGACAGCAGCTTGGTTTGCGACTTGGCTAAGAGGTTCGGTCGAGGATCTGTGAAGTCTTTGGGGTGTTGACGAGGAATGAAGGTAAAAGTCTGCAAGCCTTCTGGCTACAGATTTCAATCAGAGCCTCGCGAAGCCTTGATGGGTGTTTGTGCTTCGGATCCAAGACTTGCTCATTCATCATTGGCCAGTCCCAAAACCTGCCCGCATCTTGATATGGCCCGCATATGCCGGGCGTAATTCAACTGGGTCGTACAACAAATGCATGTAAGCCACAATGGCATCTTACTGGCCTTTACCAGAACCGGCCCTCCTTGCAAAGATATTCAACAGTTGTCCCGGGAATGATGATTCCTGGTGCTGTCGGCTTGGAATTTTCTCTCGCAGTCCGTAGTGGCTTTTTTGTTGTCATTCAATTGGATGTTGCCAAAACCGCCAGTTGCTCCTTCACAAGGTGTCAGAAATACCGGGGTAAGGGTATTCGTCTGCGGCTTCAGGCTGTGTGAGGCGACAACGATTTCCTAAATTGACTGAAATCATCAACAAGTTTCAGTTCTGGTCAAACTACAACCAAATTTCTCCATCATTTATAACCATCTCTTTGGCCATGTTCGCATTCAACCAGAATCCACTTTGCTCTTCAATTATTCCATCAAGTTTTCAACTGATAAACGAGCTCACATGGGTCGTCTTTCCTCAGAATCCATAATCGGGTTACTCGCCCTGTTGGTCAACTTAGCACCCCTTGTCTTTTTGTTGATAACGTGGATGAGAAGACGAAGCAGAGATTGGCCATGTAATGGTATGTCTAATAACAGACGCCACTAAGCTCTGGGTCGCTAATACAATTGGATAGATAGCAGTCTTCGAAGAAGTTTGGTTTTGCCAGAACCGGAAATGTTTCATGTTGCAGACGATTCGGAGGTTTCCAGAAGCCGTACAGGAAGAGCTTATATTTGGAAGCATGGTAATGAGCACCCTTTCGAAATCGCCAGAAATGCTGCTAATATATTTCCAATAGCAGAGCTCACATCGTGCTCCTACTATTCGTGGTCGTACGCGAAGACAAGAGACAGATGAAATGGCTCATCCTATGTGAATGGAATTCTTGATGGAATGGAGTGTTCTGATGAGTGTCAAGACCGTCGTCGTGACATGTCGTTGTTGAGGGATGTTGATGACTCGGCGTTCAAAGTGTGAGGAGTTGGGTTTGTTTTGACCGACGAGGAGCCCCACCCTTCTCGTGACAGCAAATAACTTGTCAGCTTAGCAAGATGAAATCTCTTATTTTAGACTTTCCAAAGCTAAAATACAAGTTTTCTGTTAACGATCAATTAGTTGCAACATTCTCGTTCACAAAAGAGCTTATCACGTGATATTTAGAACTCCCCTGGGAGTCTTTGAATACAAAAGCCAATGGCTCCCAAACTTGAAGATATACTTCAAAAGTGCGGTGTGACTTGAAATTTTCTACTATAAAGTTGAACAGCATGTTCTATAAAATCAACACGTGCTTCATCCATCATCTGCACGTCCCGGGTTTCAACGCCTATTGATGTGATACGCGACACACATTACGACATCCAGCCTGCAACCTCTACAAAAACACCACAGTATGCTAATCTGCGTGTACTATTGGTCTCGCTAGGGTACAGCTGAGCTGCCGAAACTCATCATAGTGGCTGCCTGCAGCCATTGCTTGTCTGTTGCGCACGCGGAGCACGAACCCCGTCGCATGATAGGTCAAGTTGGATCGCTGATGCTGACTTGGAGTTGGTAAACTTCATCATAAGACAATCCGTCTACCATTTCCAAATAGATACTTTCTCTCCTTTGTATTTTGAGCGAATCTGATCAATATGGATAGAAACGGGTATGACCTGGTGAGTGAAAAGGATAGGCTGCTGCCGCGAAGAGCAGCGTGCGAAGATCCCAGGAAACGGAAGATCAAAAAGACCAATTTCGGACTTGGGGTAGTGGTTGCTACAGTTTTATTTCTTTGGTGGTCGATATATGCGATACCCAGTCTTCTATCGATTGGTAATGACGGAAATGATGATAATGAGAGGGAGTTGAGCTTTGACGAGGTGAGCAATATTACTCCAGAGCTTGGCACTTATTACTCACGAAATATAGATTGTTCCAAGCGAGAAGCTAGAATGGCATCCATGTTATCGAGACATTGGAACCTACAAGTGTGCTCGTCTCACTGTGGCGATGGACTACAAACGGTCATTAGACGCATCTCCTGAGAACCCAAAAGTCCATCTTGCCCTTTTACTAGTTCCTGGAGTACACACAGGATCTCAGCAATACTCTACTTCTCCACTGCTCATTAACCCAGGCGGGCCAGGGAATCCTGGAGTCATTAGTGCTCTTACAATTGGAAAAATGATTCAGGGAGTCGTCGGTTTGGATCAAGACATCATCGGCTTTGATCCACGCGGTATTGGCGCTACTACTCCCAGTGCAGACTGCTTCTCATTTCCGTACAATGACGAGACAGACGAAGAAGATCGAGTCAAAGGGGATTACCACCGGCTGCTATGGTCTCTTGGATCCAGAGAGGTCGGTGCGGTAAATTCGAGTAATGTTGCTCTTCAGAAAATTGACGCTCGTGCAAGAGCTTTGTCGAAATTGTGTCAAGAGAAGGACTTGCTAAGAGGTGACGACAGTGTTTTTCGACATTTGAGCACACCTTCCGTTGCGAGAGACATGCTCAGTATTGTAGATGCTTGGGACGAATGGACCGGCAAACTAAGCTCTGAGGATCGGCAAGTTGACGATGAGGATGTTGAAATTGAGGATAGCACTAGTGAACCACCGTATAGTCTAGACACTAAGGGCAAGCTAGTATACTGGGGGTTTAGCTACGGAGTATGCATCTTTCCTGAACCTGTTTCATATCATACTGACTTCTGTAGACTTTACTCGGGGCCACCTTTGCAGCAATGTTCCCCGATCGAGTCGGTCGACTAGTCCTCGACGGTGTAGTTGATGCCGATCACTATGTATCACCTGTATGGACAGGCAGTCTTCGTGATACCGACGAGGTTTATAAGTCTTTCTCAAGATACTGCCACCAAGCCGAGGGAAAATGTGCACTCTGGCGAGCAAATGACACTATTACCGATATTGCAGATCGAGTCGATGGTATTTTTGCAGATTTAAAAGAGAACCCTATTTCAGTGATCGATCCTGACTCAAAGCTACCCTTCATCGTATCCTACTCTGATGTCAAACTCCTTTTCTTCGTTGCACTTTATGGACCGACAGAAAGCTTCAATGCTGTCTCGCAATTTTTGGATCTATTAGATCGCGGACTGCATTCATTTCTCTCCACTCTCTTTAGATGGCCTTCGCAATATGAGCTTAAAGCATTCTGTGGACCACCTCCACCACCACAATACTACCCGGGGGAAGCGCAGGTGTCAATCATATGTTCTGACAAAAGATACATTGTAAGCACAATTCCCTTTCATCTTCAGTAGCACATGTACTGATTAACCTTCTATAGCTCAACGAAACCCTTCCCGAACTCGAAACTCGATTCGAACAACTGGCAAACCAATCCTCATTCGCTGACATATGGATGACACTAATGATCGGTTGTGATGGCTGGCCCATCAAAGCAATCGATCCACCAATGCGCTGGGACGACCAACCAACCCACAAATCCAAGCCGATAAACACATCTTTCCCAGTACTCTTTCTCAGCAACACAAATGACCCAGTCACCCCTCTCCACGGAGCCGTTAAGATGTCTGGTAAATTCACAGACTCGGGCCTGATCGAGCAAAGAAGCGAAGGCCACTGCAGTTACGCTGCGGTCTCGAAATGTACAATCGCGAAGATCCGCGCGTATTATAGAGAAGGGAAGGTGCCTCCGCATCCGAATAAGAAAGAAGGGAAGTGGGATGTTTGCGAGGCTGATGAGTGGCCGTTTCATCCCTTTGAGTCGGTTGCTTGGGCACAGGAGCATGGTGTTGAAGACCAGGCTGTCTTTGAAGCCATGCAATCGGCTAAAGAGCTCCAAAGCGTATTTTATGAAAATACGGATTTCTGGGGTGAGTCTAGTCGGTTGAATCTGAACCATGCGAGCGAGTTCTTTGTTTCGGGTTGAGGTGGATTTCTTTGTAATTTGGGGCAATGGTGTTGTCGTTGCAGCAGCCGAGCGACAGTTCAGTTTACGTATATATACACGAGACTACGTAGAATATATGGGAAGCACGATAGTACAGATGAATACACAAACACAAATTGTTATGTCCAGTTTTCGCCGCTTCGTCGGTGTTCTATGAAGATCTCGAGTCGAAACTGTTGGCGTCTGCAGGCAACATACCAAATCACGATGAGAGCCAAGCGAGTATTCTCATCAACTACAACTGGAAACGCTTTGATCATTGATCATGCTACGCCAATCGTGAAACCTATAATTATATGAATTGTGTATGGCTGAAAATGTGGTAGGAATGAAAACGGCTAGTGTGGTTCCTTTGTTCTGTCCATCACCGAGATCAATTGAGTACCAAACAAAGACTCGAAATGCGTCCTTGATTTCTGGTCGATATCAAGAACATCCTTCCCCCGACCTCAATAGTTTAATCTTCCAGATTGGCACTCGAAGCATATGTAAGAATTACTCACCAAATTCATTTTCAAAATGATGCCACAATGGATCAAAACCGCTCACTGGAAATTCATCATTCTATCTCTCATCCTACTCCTCACCAGCATCCTCCTCATCGTCAATGCCAATTGCTCGAAACCTTATGGCATATCCGCCGAGGCACTGGTCTGCGTTGGCGGACAACTATCTATTCAATCCTGGCTTGTAATTGTCGGTCTTGAGTTTGGCTTTTTAGGATATTTCTTGTTCCCAAGGATTGCAGAGGTTTTGATATCCAAGGTTCTCACCAGAGGGCTTGCAGGAGATGGCATGAGCTTTGCTAGTCTCCTAAATTCGCAACGGACAGCGCCTTGGAAGACCCAAATGAGATTTGGGTTGAAAAGAGTGCTGGGAATTCGAATTTTGGGTGTGGTGATTATTTTGGTGTTCAGCATCCTTTACAAATACTCGTTTGTAAGGGTAGAGAGGTATTCGAGTTTCACGCTAGATGACACGCAAAAACCCATTATACTCGGATGTAACGGTGGAGGTTGCAATGGTGGAGTTTCGGATAATTTCGCTGGTGCGCTTTCAGGTACAATGGGTTCAAGCTCCAATATCTCGTTCAATCCTGGGTCTCCGATGAGGGCGAAGCAGTATACGCAGGTCTACGGTCCTAGCCAGCCGGCTTGGGCTCCGCAGCTCAAGACGGGCACTGAGTTTCTCTGCACTCCAACATATTATTCTCGGAACAAAATATATCCCAATGACCAGTTTTGGACGCCACTAGTGGTGGGTACCGATGTTTACAACAATGGTGTACGATTTTTTGATACTTCGGGAGGTACGCTTGTGGATGTATACTCTGCCAACGGGACACTTCAGATACTATCAGCAAAATACGGGTCCAACGCTACAACTTGCTATACCTCGAAGCTTACAGCGATGGTCAGTGTCTGCGTAGGTTATGCGTCTTGGTCAGTAAACAACACGATAACTCCGGAAGCACTCCTCCAGGATCCTGAAGACATCGATTGTTATCAGGAGAATTTCGACTTGATATCTTGGGCCAACTCTCCAGGTGCTCAATTTACCTTGAATCTCCTTGGGGGACTTGGATCGAAGAACATCAACAACTTACCACAATCGACCGCAGCCATGAACGTTATCCTCGCATCACTAAATCATTCTGCGGCGACAAACATTCTAGAAAGAAAGGTCAAGGCCAACTTGCTCGCAAACACTGTAAAAACAGCCATGCCAGCGGAATGCTCAAGCTCAACTGCTTCACATCCATGGGTCGTTTCTGGCGTGTCATACAATAATGGTACTGGAATGACACTCCTCGGCGCAGTACTCCAGGGGCTTGTCCTTCTCTTTACTCTTCTAGCTTTGTTGCTCCTATTCTGGCCAACATCTGCTCTCCTCACTGAATGGCCAGCTCAGTGGCTCGTCTTGGCTTGTACCATGGAACAAGCGAAAGTACAAGAGGCAGTAGAGAATACCAGCTTTGGTAGGAATGAGGTCGATGGAGAGCTTTGGATGAATATGACGACTGAGAATGATAAGAGAGTAAGCAAATCGCCAAAAAGAAACTCTTTGATGTTCAATGCTGAGGTGATTGAGACGAAGAGAATTAGCTATAGGAGGAGGACCGAAGATGGGTTGAAAAGGCTGTCACAGGTTGATAACGGTGGGCCGAGTAGCGGGGCTTGAAAAGTAGTAATCGCCAGAGGAAGCGGCACATAAAATCGTATACATGTAAATATGTCTCCCTCTCAGTGTTGAATGTAATATGTTACAATATAAATTTGATTTGTGAGACTACGAGGAGTCGTGGTGTTGTCAAATCGCTCATCCTAAGTGGCCAAAACCTACAAAGAGCACGGACCACTTCGAAGTCGCGCTAAAAAACAATCTCGAGCTCTTTGATATTCGTATTCTCAGACGATCATTCAGAACCATTCCATCTCCTCTCCCATTCCTTCATCTCTCTTTCACAATGCCGGCGTTTGCGCGATCAATTACCCCTTTCATACGGACAGCCCGGTCGTCGTGGCTGCAGGGAAATTCCACCAGCCCACTTCAACATGCATTAAGAGGACAAAAAGGAGCCGCGGTGTTGAACACTGCCAGAGCGTACGCCACGGCGTTCGAGCGAACGAAACCTCATGTTAATATTGGTTTGTGATTGCTTGAAACATCGAAAGAGCTTCTGCTGACTGTAACAGGTACAATTGGTCACGTCGATCACGGAAAGGTATTTCGCCAATGGAACCAGTGGAAGGCAAAGATCATTCTCTAACATATTTGGTAGACCACATTGACGGCAGCTATCACAAAGAGACAGGCCGAGAAGGGATTCGCAAGCTTTTTAGATTATGGTTCCATCGATAAAGCTCCTGAGGAACGAAAGCGTGGTATCACCATTTCCACCGCACATATCGAATATGCCACCGAAAACAGACATTACTCTCACGTCGACTGTCCCGGTCACGCCGATTACATTAAGAACATGATTACTGGTGCGGCCAATATGGATGGTGCCGTTATCGTTGTTGCTGCTTCGGATGGACAAATGCCTCAGACAAGAGAACATCTTTTGCTTGCCCGACAAGTCGGTGTTGAGAAGATTGTCGTCTTCGTAAACAAGGTCGACGCTCTTGAGGACCCTGAAATGTTGGAATTGGTCGAAATGGAAATGCGTGAACTGTTGAACACGTATGGATTTGAGGGTGATGAAACCCCAATCATTCTCGGCTCCGCTCTTTGCGCGCTGGAAGGTCGCAGAGACGAGATTGGCACCCAGAAGATTGATGAACTTCTGGCAGCCGTCGATACCTGGATTCCAACACCAAAGCGTGAGCTTGACAAACCTTTCTTGATGTCCGTCGAGGATGTCTTTTCTATCCCAGGTCGTGGAACTGTCGTTTCCGGTCGTGTTGAGCGTGGTGTTCTGAAGAAGGATGAGGAAGTCGAGATTCTTGGAAAGGGAGAGACAGTAATTAAGACCAAGGTCACTGATATTGAGACCTTCAAGAAGTCTTGCGACGAATCCCGTGCAGGTGACAACTCCGGCCTTCTCATCCGTGGTGTCAAGCGCGAAGATGTTCGTCGAGGAATGGTCGTCTCCAAGCCAGGAACCACCAAGGCCCACCAGGAATTCTTGGTTTCCATGTACGTCCTTAGCAAGGAGGAAGGTGGACGTCACACTGGATTCATGAACAACTACCGTCCTCAGATGTTCATTCGTACAGCTGATGAGCCATGTGCCCTTTTCTGGCCTGAGGGTACAGAGGATGCTGATTCCAAGATGGTCATGCCAGGAGACAACGTTGAAATGAGATGCGAAATCCATAACCCAGTCGCTCTTGAGAAGGGACAACGTTTCAACGTTCGTGAGGGAGGCCGAACTGTCGCGACTGGTCTTGTTACCCAGATCATCAAATAAACGCCAACATGATACGGTTGATTGTAATTTGAAAAAGCGGATAACGGAATCTACTTGTATACTTGGCTTTGTACAAATACTTTGCAAAGCAGGGAAGGAATATTTTGGGCATGGAAAAGGAGTTTCTTGACGCACCATACACTCTTCTCTAATGTTCCTGATCGGGAGTTTATATTAGGGCTAGGTATGATTGTTGTTCGTACTTCTATTGTAGATTACCTTTTGTTTTCCTTGTCAGATACTAAATACTCCTCTCTACTCTGACTCAGCATAGGTACCTTGTAGCAAGGTACCAGCAAAGCACACTTGTACTATAGAGCATAGAGAAGGTGTTGTCGAATTGAATGAGTTGATCACGGTCGTTTTTTTCCCGTGTCGCTGAATCTCGTGAGGGTCGTTTGTCATTTGTCAAATTCATGGCACTATGCATGCAAAAATCGTTCTCATTTCTCCTTGATCACGGTCCTTAAGTTCTCAGCTGCATATCTTATTTAGTAAAAGTACTTACCTAGGTACTTGCCTTGGCTTGGCGGTAAAGATATCAGCACCTAACATCGACCTAGCTCAACGTCTTTCTCAAATCCCTCACAAAACATCAGTGTATGACAGTTTTCGTAAACTTCACTCACTCACACAATCTAAACGTTCATCGACTCATGTCATGGAGATCACGAATACTACCCTCGACAAGCGTCTGCCGTCTTATTGGCCATTAGACGCAGCGATGCAGGAGCTGAAAGAGCAGCCGTTCGCCTCCAAATACTTTCTCTAACTTCTAAGCTTCTGATATTCTCAAATCGTCCTGTATTGTTAACGGTAACAGTATCGCCATGGCTCAGAATTTCTCACCAGAAGATCTTGCAGCATTGATATCAAGTGCTTTCCCAACGACGAAGCCCAGTGCTTCGGAAGCGAAATATGCACCCGCTGAGGCTACACAAGATCATCTCCAAAAACTAGAAGCTAGAATAAAAGGTATAGAACATATGTTGAGTAACATACTTGAACATATAAGTCTCTCAGCCGAAGATGCTCAAGCTGGAAATTCTCAGGAGACATCAAGGAAGAATAAATACACAATCTCAGACTCGACAGTTGCCGCTGAAGTCAAGCCATCAGGTCCCTACAAATACACACCACTCGATGCTTCCAAATCGCAGCTCCGCATATTGCGCCTTCATCGCGCAGAGGAACTCACTGATCCTCTGACCGCCAATCTGGAAACCGTCGGTCTGGATGATAACACAATCAAAGCTCTGATGTACGGTTTCTCTGCACTGTCTTATACATGGGGGCCTCCTGTTTTCGATGGCCTCATACTCGTAGACGGACATGAATTCCCTATCACCCGGAGTTTGGAAAAGGCACTGAGACGATTAAGGTATGAGTACAAGGATAATGCTGCTCTTGAGATTAACGGGCGGTTATGGGGGAAGGAATGTTGGATTTGGGTCGATCAGATTTGTATGTCACTTTCCTGGTGGGCTTGAGCGAAGCTGACTTTAAAAGGTATTAATCAAGCTGATATTGATGAACGAGGAAGTCAAGTTGGTCTGATGCGACGAATCTATAAGAAAGCCACTTCGGTACATGTTTGGCTTGGTGAGGAGGAAGATGATAGTTCTATGGCTATTGATCTTCTTAATATCCTAGGTGCACCGCCTAAAAATGCACCTGGAGAAAAGACAATTGAGTATCCAACTTTCACTGAGGATACAGTCGTTCGACATTGGAATGCATTACGAGCACTATTCAAACGACCATGGTGGGAACGTGTCTGGGTACGACAAGAAGTTGCGCTTCCTCTGATGGTAAAGATGTGGTGTGGAAGTAAGAGCTTCGACTTGAACAGTCTTGCTCCAGCACTTTTTATGTTGAAACATATATCCTCACTCGGCTACGCGAGCACGATTTCTCATTCAGACGACGAGACTTTTGTGTCCTTACCATGGGATTTCCATGCTGGGACAATAGCAAAAATGCGACAGATGACACGAAATGGATCTCTCTGGGTCGGTGCCGCGCAATTGCTACGAATGACCAGAGCTGCCAAAGCAACTGATTCCCGAGACACGGTATTCTCGATCCTAGGGATGGCGAACCCAGAAGTCTATTCCATAGTCCCCGACTACCGACAAGAATACAAACAAATCCTCCTCCTCGCAACCCAAGCAGCCATCAAATTGGAGTACGGACTCGAGATCCTAGGCGCCTGCCAAAACCCCGAACGCAAAGACGGACTTCCATCCTGGATTCCCTCCCTCCAAGAAAAATGGAAAGCAATACCGTTTCAAACAACCGGATTGCATGAAATGCGATTTATCTCCCGCCTGACCACCACCGAACTCCCCCACGTCCACGTAAAAGACGAGATGCTCGCCCTTCAAGGCGGTCTCATCGACACCATATCCAGCATCTGCCCCTTCTACGTCCACAACACAGCCTCCGCATCGAGCCTCGAGTCCGTCTTTCAATCCTGGAAAGCATTCGCCCACTCCGCGGCCTCACGCGCCCACCTCAGCCTCGTAAACTTTGAAACTTTAATCGAAGGCACCACCGCCTCGCAAAAGGCATACTACGAAGTGCAGCGCCAAACCTCGCAAAAAGACTACGACGTCTGGCTCGTCGAGTGCCAAAACACCGTCACGCAGAATTGGATCCAGTTCATGACTGTGATGTTGGATAAAGCACAGGATTTGCAGCCGGGTTACCAGGCTTCGAGGGTTAAGGTTCATGAAGATGGACCAGATGCATATTTATTCGATTCCGCGATAAATCCATTTGGACATCTTGGGTTGAATCCTAGATTGACACGTTCATATCTCCTACCACCGTCACATGCGATGGCGACACCACATCCTAATCATCGGGTCCATGCAGGGTTGAAAATGTATGGTGTAGGTCGTAGATTTTGTCTCACCCAGCGCGGGTATCTGGCTTTGATACCAGCGGAGGTGCGCGTGGGAGATGGGATTGCGTTATTTAAGGGGGCGACGTTTCCGTATGTGCTGAGGAGAGAGGGACAGGCTAATGTGCTTGTTGGAGAAGCTTTTGTGTATGGGTTTTCGGGAGAGGCGTGGGACAGGAGTGTCGAGGTGACGGCAAGAGAGGAGTGGGGCGTTGGGTTGGATGGGTGGATTTGGATTTTTTAAGGACTTGGTTTATCTGTGCAGTTTCAATTCTCGAAGAAGCGAAATGGGTTATGGAGAGAATGTGTTGAGCACCGAGGAAACAAAGTATCAATGAGCGTATGTAATTCATTCTCCCAGGGTATATATACGTAACCATCCCATTTAATCCCATTTCTGCACAAAATGTACCAGCAAATGTGTGCTACCCAACCTATATATGTACTAAAAATTCGTGTGTCTCAATCAAACAACTCCTCACTAAACCGACTCTTCCTCCTTTCCAACCTCGTCCCTACGCTATCTGTAGGACTAGCTGAGTTCAACTCCTTTTCATGTCCTGCTTTTACTTTTTGTGTATGTGTATTTATTTTTGGTTTGTCCGGCTCTGTTTCATGCGGTTTGTCTACCGCAGAAGGTTCTGCTATCATTTCCTGTGTCATCGGTGGCAGTTGAACTGTTTCCGGAAGCCTGGGAGGATTCACGGCTACTAAGCTGTCGCTCGCCTTCACTCTTCCGTGGCTGAAGCCTTTCTCGGGGCTCCCCATTTCTACACCTGTGCCGCGCTCTCCGTCGTCAGTCGTGACTCCCGTACTAATATCTTTCGCAGTGCTTCTCCTTTTTCGTAGAATGATCCAAATCACGAACGTCAAAGCGATGATAACAGCAACGACGGCGATGACTATCCCTGCTATCGCTCCTCCAGAAGGTCGACTGCTGCGGCGTCGTGAGCGTATTGCTCGTGTTAAAATCTTCATTGCAGGTTTAGACTTCGAGGCAAATGACGGCAGAGCGGTTATTCGTGGTGGCGCGAATGGAAAACGTGCTTGTGATATTAGAAATACACGAGCCGAGGGGTTAACTGTTAGATATGCTTCTTGGAGGAAAGTTCGGCCTAATTTATAGCTTTTCGGGTCGGAAATTGGGCGGATAGGGAAGTAAACCTCGCTGTCATTCGAAGAGGATGGAAGGTTTTGTGCGAACGCCAGGTATGGGAACGTAATGTTTATACTTGCTCCGACAGACGAAGCTGCCAGTGCGAATGTGATTTCCGGATTGGAATTTTGCAGTCGGTCGTGAATGTGTCTGTCTATAAGATATAGCTTACGTTTGCTGTCGAATGAAAGATGGAATGCTTCTTTGAATCGATCGCAGACTGACTTTGGTAGTCGAAGTTCTGCGATGCTTGAATCAATCGATGCCGAAATTGGCGTATTCAGTATCTCTGTCTCTCCTAGAACAGTGGCCACGCTGACAGATCTTATCTCCAATCCAAGCTCGCGATCGGGTTCGTTGCTCATAGTAAATCCGACACTATTCCCCTTATATCTCGAAAGATCGTAACCCCCAAAAACTAGACTTCCAAAGGCAGTCTCACCGCGGTAATATGCGCCTGCTGTATAGCTCCATACTGAACTTGGAGTAATGCCATGAAACCACAATGCATCCGACAAGCTCGCTGTTGAAGGTTCGAATATATTGAATTTCGTCGGAGGAGATCCAAGACCAAGCTGCCCAATCGTTTCGTTGCCATCAGATATTGCAGTAATGGGTTGATGCGGTAGAGCTTGCTCTGTACCATCATTAAATTGTATTGTATCAAGTCCTTGAATCCATCAGCATTTTTCTCTTATAGAAGAGAAAGAAACATACCGTATTGCCTAACATTCTCTCCCTTTGGGTTGTTTGTTCGAAGCCGACTCTGCGCTATCCAGCTCAACGACTTTCGGGTATCGAATAACCACTCATTTGTTCCACTATCATCAGATGTATCGCTGTCGTCGTCATCGCTAACCTCTTCTACCGCTTTATATGCAACTGCAGTCCCAAAGCTCGCCGTCGCAGGGAGAACGCGAACCAGTTGCGCTGGTTTCCCCAAGCCAATCTCGAAAGTCGACCAAGTGCCATCATTTCCTTCCCTACACCACATCAGTTTCCTTTCGCAGACCTTTCATCAAACCGTGAAGTACATACCATATCCCACTCGCTCTAACAACCACTGGCTCTCTCGTCCTCACCTCTTCCCCCACCCACACTCTCCAGCATAAAACACGACTCAAAACATCCAACACGCGCATAATTCATAGAAAAACAATACTTAACTAATCCTACAACTTACGCAAGCCATCGCGGCGAGTAAATAAGAGACATCTGCGCGATGCGTTCATACCAGCCCCTGGTTGTATAGAGAAGAAATAATAAAGCACTTACCGTTGTTTGCTCGTCGGAGCGACGCAGAAATGGAAAAGATGTGCTACACCGCAGCCACGATGTTACCATTCTTTGAGGGGAGGAAATGACGTTGAGGGTCGGTGGGTTGGGGCGAATTGGAGAGCGGCCGGTAGAATTGCTCCTTTTGGGTGGGGTCTAGGCTTTGGAAGGGTTGTCACGCGGTGATTTGGTCAAGGTCAGAAAACTGAAATTTGTTGATAGTATTCTGTAATGTATTCATTTTGGAATGATAATGACATTGTGAAAGCAATAGTTTATAAGAAGTTCTTGTTCGTTAGGCTTTCCAGGACTAAGTCGCGACATAAGAGGCCCTCGTGACCGTTAAACATGGATTGGAAAAGACTTCAAAATATTGATGCCTCCATGGAATGGCTCACTACATAAACCTTTTTAGTCGACAGCCTTCGCTGCTTATGTCTTCTTATTAGCGAATCCGATCCTAGTCTTTCCAACATCAAAGACCACAAACTGGGCCTTCAACAATATATCTCCCAAGATTCCAAACGGCAACCCCTCGCTACTTTGCAGTCCTCCGTAGCAAGTCGAGGTATTGATCTGTCCATAACTGATGAAAGCTTAACAAACCGAGTCAGCTATTTATTTTGCCAAGTAACAGAGGATAGAAAGAAAAAAGATACTCACAACCGGGAACACTTCCTCTATAGCTCCCTAAACCGAATATAAAATCTGGCATCTTAGCCGTACAAGGAAACACCATAGCACCATACTCAGTATCATAATAAGCCCCTTTCACGCCCTTATAATAAGCATCAACAACATTCGTTGGCAACATCAATAACGTAGTTCCTGTATCAGCAATAACATCAATCGACGAATTACTAAACTTGCCCGTCCCAACCGCATACCCAGTCAACGGGAATTGCCAAAATCCATTCTTGGTGTTCACGGGTGCGTAGGCGATAGATCCGGTATGAGCTTTACTATCAATAGCACCAAAGGTATAAAGCCCGACAGCGGCTTTCTTCAGATTGACAGTGAAAAGCGGTGCTGCGAGAGAGGATTGCACGTTGTCGAACCACGTCTTTTGTGGAGTTGGACGGACGGTGTTGATGCTGTTGAAAGCGAGACCGAGGAGGCCGTCTGAGGCAGCATCCTGGGTGAAAGAACCGGAGACTTGGGTTGCGATTTCGAGGGCTTGTCTGCGTGCGGATATGCCGCCGATTGTGACGAGTTCGTTGACTACGGTTCCTGAAGAACCAGAGCCGTCACCATAGCGGATGGACCAGGTGTGGTTTTCTAGGACTGAGGATGTCGATGAGTTGCCAGGGCTGTATAGTGTTTGTCCGCCTGTTTGAGACTTTGGAAGGGCAGAGGAGAAGACCCATCTGTGTTTATGTCAGAGGTAAAATGCTAGAATGAGGAGAATTGTAAAATTACAGGTCTGAAGAACCCGTATCAAAATCAAGATCAAGAATCTGTGCGGGTGTTCCCAATGACACAGGTGATAGATACTCTCTATCATATTCTGCAGGATAAGGACTTGCAGTCACAGTACCAGTGCCATTCTCAACAGCTTTCCTTGCTGCCGCTGGTGGTTGAGCATGGTACTTGTAGAAAGTACGAAGTAGAGCTGCTGGTCCAGCTCCATCTATTCCTTTCCACCTAGGATTCGGCACCTGGGATACACTAAAGGACTGTTGTTCGTTACGAGGAGCTAAAACTTCCTCGATAGGAGCAGCAGTTACAAGAGGTAGAAGCGAGAGAATGTACACAAATTGTGAAGCGAGACTCAACGAAGGCGCCATGATGTGGGAGGCAGAAGGGGTGGGGCTTAGGATTGGTGGGGCAGCAGGAGAGGTACACCAATACTTCTCAAACTCATCATGGAGAATGATCACATACTTATGTTCTTGAGATGTTGATTGATTGCCTCTCGAAGAATATTCCCACCGGGTCAATAGTGACGATGTTCATCACAATCTGACTGCCGTTATCACTTGATGTGGTAATAGACAATGCAGCTTTTAGGCACTTGACATAGTGCTTGCAAATCGTTATAGGCCTTGTACGAGGTAGAGATCTTTCTCATGGCATCCAATAGCGTATGCGTTATAAAGAGGTCCGGTTTGAAGATCGTACGAAAGAGTGAAACGTGATGGAACTGCCTCCAGAGGTTTAGTTTACTCGTGCATATCTTGCTCATTCCACCATACTCACAAATTTGGGTTCCCAGCCTGGGTAAAAGTCACAAAATAACTCACCTTTATTTCCATTCTACTGCGAGTAGCGGAGCCACAGGGTCCTCGACAAGGATATCCGGGAGATCTGAATTCATAAGATCGCTGTATCCAATTAACGGCGTGTCGTCCTACAAGAATGAAGAAGAGTCCATTCACTGTAGCACATAGGCATAATCTCACAACCAAATCTTCAGTCGTACAAACTCTTGCTTGTTCAGAGGAATTTAGCATTCGGGGCCATAAATTTTATATGACAGAATGCAACCGTATGTCGCCCCTCCATAACGCAAAAAAGCAACCCCATCCCATGCAATAAAAGAACCCTTTACCGATTGGACTTGGCGACACGCTCCAACTCGTCCTTTTTCTTGATAGCATATGAGTTACTGCTTCCCTTGGCAGCGTTGATCAACTCTTCAGCCAAGCACTCAGCAACTGACTTAACATTTCGGAAAGCGGCTTCACGGGCACCGATGGTGAGGAGGGCAATAGCCTGGTTGACACGGCGGAGAGGAGAAACATCGACGGCTTGACGACGGACGGTACCTGCTGATCCGATACGGGTGGAATCTTCGCGAGGACCGCAGTTGACGATGGCATCAACAGCGATTTGGATTGGGTTCTGGTCGGTCATGATGTGGATCTGAATTCGTTTATTAGTCCTCTATCCTTCAATGATTTTTGTAGACTCGACGTACGATCTCGAAAGCGTGCGCAACGATGCGGACAGCCATAAGCTTCTTTCCGTTGTTACGACCGTTCATCATCAAGGAGTTGGTGAGACGCTCGATGATTGGGCATTGAGCCTTTCGGAATCTCTTCTGTGCGTATCGACCTGCGGAGTGGGAGATGTAGACTGGTGCACGGATTTGGATGTAATCGCTGGGAGGTATTAGCCATTGTCCTGCCACTTCCATGCACTTCTTCCTCCTCGAATTCGATGCTGGTAATATCGGGATCCTTACGTTAAAGAGATATCGCGGATTTCGACATCCTCGTAGGACCTGTCATGGAATAAAATTAGCAAATGCGCCTCCAATCCATCTTCCCCTCTGCCCTTTTCCACATACCACTTGTTGAACAGCTTGATGCTGCCTATTTCCTCAGTGACCTCCTTTGGAAGGACCTGGTAACCGGAGGTTTCGACCTCAACTTCTCCGCTGTCAGACATGTTGGCGGTGGTTGATTGTTGTTGAAAAGTACGTCGTCGCGATTACACTCGAAATTCGAATATTCGTCAAAATTGATCGTGGATTTCGCAGTGCGCTAATCGGTAGGACGCTAGACTGGATTGGCTTAGTGGGCACTTTTGCGGGTCTATAAGCGAGTCACGTGTGAAAGCAGCCCTTAGGCTCGAGATGGACCGAAACCAACTCTAATCTCTCGTTTCCCTCCTCACAAACACCAACTACGCCGAGTACGACTATTATTGCAAAGATGAAAGTACAACTCACCGCAGAATCGTTTGCTCTTGTCAGGTTGTACAATGGATTAAGCATGACAAAGTCGATCGTTTACGCCCTTCATTCTCACGGCTTGCAAGCTGAAGAGCTGTCAATGGAACCTCTATCGTCTCCTCGTCAACCACAATATTGAAGATTTTGTTTACTGTGATGCTATCCAGAAGATCTCTGTTTCACCGGGTAGCATTACCTATCCCGGTTCTCAAAGAGCTTGTCGTGGTCGATCATCTTCAGTCCAAAAGTTTGGGAGGGTGGTATGCGCACAGTGCGCCAATCATGCGCATGAAGCTTTTATTCAGCCAAATGAATATTTCCCGAGTTTTCCAATTTCAAAGTCCATGGCTGAAGAGCTGAAGCTTGTTGGTCTGGAGACAGGTGTGGAAACTCAGTTGGTGATGATTCGGGTTGAGATCTGACTCCTGATTCGTTGCCGAAATGCCCAAGTTTGGTAACACAACACTCAAGCTGAGATATGGGAAAGTTTCCCGCAACGCCGTGGCGTCTGATATTTGTGCTGAAAATTCATTTCACAACGTCGTATTACATGGTATCTTTATTTGGATATGAGATTGACTTCGTCGTCTCGGTGGGAGCCGATGCCATGAGATGAGGCTCTATCAAGAGGATGATGTCGTAGAACAAGGTTCTTGCAACATTACATTCCGACAGGATTCAACAACTGTCAGTCTGGACCGGAGAACCTATCTAAGATAGTAATTTTCCTGGTACAAGAGTTGCGGTGTGATTGCTGGGGTGGCACATGACTTCTGAAACCTACAAAGAAACAAGTCTCCTAGTATGGAACACCTCGTCGAAACTGACTATCGGCGACGAAGTTGAAATTCCAAATCGCTTCGCAAGAATCGCAACACTGTCGTTCATTGGTTCTTCATTAGAACAGTAGTCAGGTGGGCAGCTGGGTCATTCGTCCGTTCAATTGTCGTCTTGTACTTTGACCTGATACTGCCTGCAAACACCTTAATTCCTCAATCCGAACCAAGCGAGACCTATTGATTGGACTATGACTACTGCTTATGTTTGAAGTTTTTCGATTTATCCCTGTTACCAGGTGTATGGATTGGCTTACTACTCAACCATCTCTACTCCTTCCATTATACCATTCCATCCTCCACTACTTCGGCCCGGGGTATCTTTTGCTTCTCCCATATAGCCATAGATTGAAAAGAAGGTTTTTCATATCTACAATTTTACTCCATCCAGCACAACTACTCCGAGCAATGCATCATTTCAACCACCCCAAACTCGCACACAAAACAATCACTATCACATATACAACTTACCCTTCACAACTCCGCCCTTCTCGCCCTTGACTCCACCCCAGTCGGCAACTGCAAGTTGACCTACACTCACGGCAACCCCAGTACCGATCTCCCACCCAGCCCCAACATCCCCCACGTCCCCTAGTCTAACCTTTAAATCCCTCATCTCTTTCGCCCTAGTCATCCCATCCATCCTAACTCCTCCTCTCGGCATCGTGACAAACTGACTTTCCCTGACAAGACTTGAGACATACGGAAGGTAGTCTCTAGCGAGCGTCTTGCGACGGATGATGACTGTCACTATCACAGCAATCAACATCATCGCGGTCGCAAGGATGAATATCGCTGCCCATGCCCAAACACAGACGTATGTCAAGACGAAACTTGTGATGGTTGCTGGAACAGTGATACTCGGCTTTCGATTCCGTATTGCCGCAAGGAGAACTTCCGGGCTTGTAGCTGCTTCCGCGGATGGCATCTCCTTTCCCGTGACGAAACTTGGGAAATCCAACAGACTGCCTTCCAAGAACGTATTCACAATCTGGCTTAGCCGAGTTGAGAAGTCTTGCAGTTCAACACCAAGGACCCTAGCGTCTGTACCACTAGCGACACCTGTGGTATTGGCGATTGATCGTGGTGTCTTCGTCTGCTGGATGAACGTATCATCGTTTGGCGAAACCAGATAATTGAGTAAAGTATCTACGCCGTCCATCATCCTTACACTTTGCGGTAACAATCTCGACAACCCATCCGTCACAGATTGGAAGCCCAATAATGTCAGGGCACTCGGGTTTGCAGCCAATATGCTTTGTCGTTGCGCTGCTACTCGACAAGATCTCGTCGTGGAAGTTGTGTTGCAAACAACCTTACTTTCCACATAAGCTTGACTCGGCACGCAAAAGATAGACGTGACGTTCGTCTCGCCGCTGAAGTCCTGCCATAGAAATAATCCTGGGATCTGCTTCGAGGAAGTGTAGTTGTTGCCTATGCAATCTAAACATACCTCTCCCCCAACAGCTTGATCTTGAAGGAAGGCAGTCATGTCCTGACCTAGATATCCCATAGCATAGCTCGTTCGATCTGTAATATTGAGCCCAGACCTAAAAGGCCCGGTTGTTGCTATGAGACCGGGATTTATGAATGTCCTTGAATCTCGAGCGGGAGAGGTGGTGATGTTCGAACATACTAACTCGAGATACGTTGATTCAATACTGAATGTGATATTTCCTACTGGTATATCTGAGGTAGGAATGCCGAATAGGGAAGAGTATGTCGGTGTAAATGTTTCCGGGATATGATGATATCCATCTTTATCAGGAGATAGATTCGAGAGCGAAGACAAGAGCGGAATTTTAACATTCCCCCATAAATCTTGCGTTCCTGTCTTTACAACCACAGGCGCAAGGATGGCTGCTGAGAATAATGTGGCGAAACTCGCAAACCAACCACTTTCGAATTCCGTCTTGCCCGCAAAAGTCGGTTGCCAGGTATTGAAAAACGTGACATTTGAATTTTGTTCCTGCGATACTAAAGCAGTGGAAAGCATTCGCAAAGAAGCTTGTGATCCAAATGGGCTTAATAGCCATAATCCCACAAGTCCCAATGAAAGGAACGAAAAGACACCAAATCGAAGCTGCGTCTCAATCGTCGAAAACACCGTTCGAGATCCAATCAGGCGTTCTAATAATCCAAGCGTGGTACCCTGTTCCAGATGATAGCTCGCCAATTTAACAAACAACCTACCTACCAGCAGTGAGAATGTCAAGGGGAGAAGTGTTGAAGCCTGAAATATTAGCTTGGCTCTTTCCTCGAGGAAAGACGACGGATACTAAGAAAAAAGTTAATAAGAAGAATCAACTTACGATATCACATAACTCCCTCAATCTCTCACTCTCAACCACCTTCCCATCCATCCCCATAACCGCCGCCACAACCACAAAAAACGGCACCGTAACCAACACAGCTAATCCATCCCACAACCACGCTCTCCATCTCTCTCCTTTCTCCGCCTCTAAACTCTGCGGCACGCCCGCCCACGCTGGGATTTTCCGCTTCTCTCTCGCTGGGTACTCGTATCTCCATCCTCTTTCTCCCGGGCTCGCGAAATCTTGGGGACTTTGCAAGAGCCCGTAGCTTTCTGAGAGGTTGCGGGCGTGACTAGATGAGATGCGACGAATATGGCGGATGTTCTCTGAGTTATGTCTGGAATGGGGCGGACGACTTGGGTCGTGGATGTCTGGGCGGGAGGGGCGACGCTGAGGGGACATGCGGAAGAGAGGGGTGACTGGTGTTAATGGAGGCACGATATCTTCTCCACGTCGAGCGTTTCTCGGTGGTGGTGTTGGGGGGACGCGGTGATCTTCTAGTATGGAGGTCCGGCTTAGAGGACTTGGTGGTGTTGTTCGTGGTGGTTCTGTTCTTGAGGCCCGACTTAGTGGACTTGGTGGTGTGGTTCTCAGTTGTTCCATTTCGGCGCGGAGGTTGCTGTTTGGATGACTGTTTCTGAGAGGTGGCATGTCGATTGCAGAGACAGCGGAGGTTGGTCGCGAGATTTCATGACTGGTTCTCCATGTGTCGGGTCCGATTTCTTCTATCCTTGGTGGCTGCTGGACTGGGCTCAGGTCTACGAAATGTGACGTCCGCCATGTATCACCATCCACACTCTGATGTCTAGATGTACGCTGCGAACTGCGTCGACTAGGTGGAGGTTGAGGTCTCCACGGAGCATTGGATTCATGAAATGGAGAAGGTAAGGCCGTGTTGATGGTTATAGCCTCTCCATCACTTCTGCGTGAGAACCTCGAATTGGACATGTTCAACTCAACTCAAAACCAAATAGATTGCAATCAGGTTAAAGTTACCTTGAAAGTAACATTCCCGAAGAACTGGTATGGAAGAGAGCTGAAGGTGGGTTGCACGAGAAAGATAGAAGCTATGCACCACGTAAAAGAAGAGACCAAATGATCCTTCCCTCTTAATCCTCGAGAGAGCAAGAGAGCAAGGTCAACAGGTTGGGTCAAACATTCGACCATCCCTAACTTAATAACCATCACCCGAGAGATGGACATGTTGCTGGGGTAAGTCCGTTCAGGTACGGGTACATGGTTCTGGATTCTATTTTGATCAGGATCAAGAGAGATGGATGTTCAGCGTCCGTGCGCTTCGACGGGGAGCCGAGAAGTCAACACAGGGGGGTGGACCGCCTGCACACATCCTCGCTTCCCGTTTCGCATGAATCCCCCAGGCGCTCTCGCGGCCCAGAGCGTCCGCAATTGGGTGGCTTTTGTGTTGCTTCGCCTGTCAACCCCATATCTGGGTGGTTTGAAGCATGAATGAACCTTTTCCAGGTCCAAAAAGGTTGGGTTGCACGCCAACCTGGTGGGGGAATTGGTAGATTCGGCAAAGGCTGCTGGCTGGTGGAATAAGCATAACAGACCAAAGGCTGTTTACCTTGCAACGACCATGTGGCAGCAGATAAACAATAGGAGCTGTGGGAGCCGAATGCCTTCGCAACCTCCAAGTGTGACCTGAGGACATGTGATGTAGTAACTGCTTCACGATAGGAACTAGTACCTGAGTACTCCCCACTACGAGCACGACCCTGACTCGAACTTCACGGTCTCGACAACCCCGTCCGAAGCGGCGAGGTTGACAGCACGAAGGAATGCCTCGAGTATCGAGACGTCTGGCAACAAACGGGGGCGGTGTCAGTCGGATATCCACAACAGCTAATCGTCATCTGAATCAATTCCGACGATGGGATGTTGTAGTATCCGTGTCATACGCGACCAGTCAGGTGCAAAACAGTTACTAACACTTGTCATGTTAGGCGCAGCATGTCAAGGTTTCGAAAATAAAGACGTCAAACAAACACCAACATTACTGGCGCCAAGCCGAGAGGTGTTGTCGGGCATTGATGACTGAAGAGATCGACGTAAATCCCACCGAGCGAAAGCTTTACAAGTCATGAGATAAATGGGAATGATCTTGCGACAAAAAACATCCAGTTCCGCACAATTGGTCTACACCAAATGCTGACAGTTTTGACGTGGTCTGGAAAGGCGAATTGTGATCCCAAGAACACAGGAAGGATTAAGCTCACTTGAGCGAAGGATCAATACGATTTGTAGCGTCGCAGCCGCTGCAATCATGCGATCAGGGGCTTACAACATATAATGCACATGAGTGTCTTCACAAAATCATCACGCACAAAATTCACATCACTCAGTAAGACAACCAGGTAGAGTGAATGTTTCCATTCGAGTTTTTGACCACCGCCCCATCTTCAGAATCTATCGAACCATGCAAGACGAGAAGACCAAAAGAACAATCCAGCGAAGATGAACGCAGCAAGGTAAGGGAAACACATCAGGGACATTGCCTGGTAATAAAGTACAGCAGAGATTTGAAACCCTTTCAAATCATCCGCAAGTCGCTCCAGCACCATAGCAATGGACGTCTGTAACAACTTCCACCTGCCACGCACCATACCTCTTAAACACCAGCGACCACCCTCTCGGACATTACCCACACCGCGACCCCATTTTCATCTACAACTACAGGCGAATTATTTACTTGAAGGCCTTTCCGAACATCAAGACCTGGAGTTGATCGTAGATGGACAACACACCAGCACCGGCGACACCACGGAGAATGTTGGCACCAGCACCCTTGAAGAGAGACTTAACACCCTCCTTGGCAACGATTTGACGGGCAGCATCCATGGAAGACTTGTACTTGACGGCCTCACCAGATGTCATCATCATACGACGACGGACAGTGTCCAATGGGTAAGAAGCGATACCAGCACCAGTAGTGACAGTCCATCCGAGAGCGAAAGAAGCAAGGAAGTTACCCTCGAGGGAACCGGTGAGGAGAACTGGCTTGATGGAATCGTACATTCCGAAGTAAAGACCACGGTAAACGACGATACCGAGAACGGAAGGACCGAAACCACGGTAGAGACCGGCGATACCATCAGAAGCGAGGGTCTTCTTGTAGACATCTACCAAACCGTTGAATTGACGGTCACCACCAGTCTTGGCTCCCTTTGCGTCGTTGGCAAGACGGGTACGGGCGTAATCGAGGGAGTAGACGAAGAGGAGGGAAGTGGCACCAGCAGCCTGTCAGGTATTAGCGCAAGTTGAGTAATTGGGAGTATTTAGAACTTACACCACCGGAGGCCAAGTTACCAGCCATCCACTTGGCGTATCCATCACGCTCCTTTTTGAAAGCGAACATGGACTTGTAGGTATCACGGAAAGCAAAGTTCAACGCTTGTGTTGGGAAATAACGGATAACGTTGGCAGTGTTTCCTCTCCATAAGGAGGCGAAACCCTCGTTCTTGATGGTTCTTGAGAAACAATCGCCGATACCGTTGAATTTACGGTCGAGACGACCAGACTTCAACATCTCATCCTGGAATAAAAGTTAGCATGTGCGCGTTGTAAACTTCATGATAGTGATGGAAGAGCCGCCTTTATTTCAAATGAAAACACCCGCAATCGAATCAAAGCAAAATGCTGCTGTAACCAGAGCCGGGTGCCCATTCGGATGCGCGGTAAGGGTATAATTAAAAGTAAACATGAGCTAAATCGCAACACGTACCTGATTCTGGATCAAAAGCTTGACACGCTCGATAGGAGCAGCTGCGGTCTTCGAGACTGCGGCAGAGACACCACCCACTGTTATCGCACGTTAGTCGTTGTTATCTTTGTATATTCCTCTCCATCCCGATCTATCAACAACGAGCCCAGTCGACCGTGATGACCCTCTCAGTGGCAGCGGCAGTGGTAAACGTACTCAAGAAATCAATAACGAAAGGAGGACTGTATATCATGGTCAGCTTGATGTTCTAGAAATATAACGTAAAGAAGAAATTTTCATCGCGACTCCATTGATCGACGGCGACGCCGACAGCGCGGATATCAAGTTGGCAAATCATGTTGATGCCATTCATCGAACGCAATTGAGCACCATTGACATCTCAACGACACGATCGCGATGTTTTGATGATTGAAGCTCGCTCGCTCGCGATCAACGGGTCGAAGGAACAAAAAGTTGGAATCAAACTTACACGCCCATAACGGACTCCTTCTTTGGTGGAGTGTTGCTCATGATTGCGACTGGTGATCAAAGATCAAAGAACTGAGGGGAGAGGTTGGATGGAAGGAAGAGGATAAAAAGATTGAAGATGGGGGAGTTGGATGTCAACGGGTGAGGTTTTTGTACGATTGGGAAAAGGACAGGAGACAGGAAGCTCTTGAAAATCCGTCCGCGCTAACCAGAAACCACCATAACCCAGCCCGAGATTATCCGTGAGCGGCTCCGTGGGGCCTTAGGCAAGAAGCACGTGAGTAGTCTGAGCGGGATTCTTTTTCATTTCAAATTCACTCACAAGCAGAAGTATTCTTGTATATCAATTGCAAGTAATTGATCCTCCTGCTATCATCTCATCACCGCAATTTGCTACCTTAAATAGCATTCTATTTCTTGTTTTACCCAAAATCCCACAATTCAATGGGACGCCGCTTTCACAACCCCTAATCTTAGACGAAATTCTTGCCGAAAAAGACGGGGCTAGGTCCTAGGATCTTGTTTTTGTCGAGTGGATGTTTTCATTTGATGTTGCTGTACAAATTATTTGTTTCGAGTTCAGATTATCTTAATTGAGAAAATATTTCTTAGTCAACCACAATTCTCTATGTCTATTTGTTTACTCTACTACAAAGTATCCAGCTTCGAATCGATTGACTGGTTTCGACGCTCATCTCCCGGCTCATGAATACCGATGCACAAAAGTCCATAGCAACCATGAAATTGATACCAACGATATCCTAACCCATGTCAATACGTTAGATACTTATGGAAAAGCATTTTTTGCGACCAACACAGCGTTTGCTCTTGAAGCTATTTACATATCAATGGGGAGACGGCAGCCTTCGGGAAGGCGGAAGTTCTAGCCCAAGGACTAAAATCGCGCTTTTCGGGGTCTCCAGAATCCTTGCAACATAGTGAAAATCTTGAATTCGAGAATTTAGGATCGCCTTTTGATAATTCATTGCTGCCCTCATGTCGCAAGTGTTCCAGACTGCGAGGCTGCAACTCGGTCATGATACAATGGGATTGGCCGCAAATAATCCAGACGGTGCTAGAATACAGAAATCAGCATCGTAAAGAGAGGGGGTGAGCTTTTGTATGACTAGGTTGTATTATGATTCTGTAATTATTCCAAATACCGTGAATAAAGTATATTGATTGGTACTTTAACATGTAATCGCTTACGAGGTCTTGGAATTTTTTTGAGAAGTCATGATAGGGACTTTTATCCTCCAGTTTTTGTAATCTTCAGCTTCTTTTCTCTGGTTTAATTTTTGCCAGACAATTTACTGATTCAAACGAGCCTAGGTTTAAACTGACATGAAAACTTCATCTGAAAATGTGATATCTTTTTCCATCTTTCTCCCAAAATTTTATGTTTAATCATTAACTAACTTGAATTAAAAGAGCTTGAGTATGTCAAGTGAAGCGTTGACAAAAGTTAGACTTAGAAAAGTCGGTAAATAGACTGAAGAGAGCAATATAGGTTAAATATATAAAGGCTAGAAAAGTTATCCTATAAGAATTACCTAGAGGTTAAATATGTTAATTTCCAGAGGCATTGATGACATAGTTTGGGTCTTTCTTATTAAGTTAAAGTATGAACTGATCTATGTAATTTAATAAATTTGTTAGCGAGTTGAGCTCATTCACGTTAAATATAAAGCTCATCTCAAACCTCACCATACCCCCTTTTCGATACATTTCTTATGAAATACAATAGAGCGCTACATTTGCGATAAGAACTCTCAGTAGTCAGGTAACCTCAATCATTCAGTATGACACTAAAATTAACTGACAGAAGTATTTCGTTACAGCCGCCATTTACTAGTTGCCACCAGTACACTTTTCCTATGCCTGTCTCTCCTTAGGATCTGCAGTCATCCACTTGGCTCCGAGCTGCACGATATCATGGGGATTTCTATGCTTGTACCACAAGATTCACTAGTGACAACTTGAACTTGTAAAACAAACAAATTCACAGCCTTCAGATGCCAAAAAAGTGATGGTGAGCAGCAAGATAAAGACATAGATTGTTGAAAGATAATTTGCAGTGGTAAGAAATTGGCAATGGCAGGTTGGATGCCTGCGGAGGATAAATTTGCTGAATTCAAGCTTGTTTAAGCAATAATAGATAGGCGAGACGTCAAGGGATAAATAATTCATAAATAAATAATCCAGCTCGCGGAGGACAAAATAAGTGTCAGTCACCTGCCTAGTCATCTTGGACTAAATAAGTCGACTTCGAGCATAAGAAGTTTTATTTACTTAAGATAGTTAACGAACTATCTTATGTTGTTCCAAGTTAATCCACTAAATAACGATATTTCGTCAACATAATCTAAGAAATACCGCATTTCGGCTGCCATTTATGTTTTCCACCGCGAGTCCAGCGAGTAAATAAAATATTCAGTCCAGCTTTTCTACCCAGCAACCCAAATTTGCATACCTTTCTATTACATGTCCATTCCAGCAGACAAAAGGATAGAGGTATAGTGTTGGCTACTTCTAATGTTAGTGCGTCCATACACCACACCTTCAGTGTCTCAAATAATCGTTACTACATAGCTTCCATCCTCATCCACAGATTCATACTCGAACCAGTCATGATTACCCGATTCAGGCCCACTGAATGATTTAATCTTCATCTCAACCATCGCCCATCGCGAGAACTGCCCCTTTAATTTTCCTGTTGGCTGCAGAAGGAGTCCTGCTATATGATGGTGTCTCGGGGTTTCAAATAGTAAGAAATGAAGGAACTCAGGTGGTGTAGCAAGGTTCAGCCACGACTTTACGGTTCCACGGTCGTTATTGGCGAACACGCAGGTATCACGATCTCCTTCGTTGGATATCGTTATAGTTTACAAAAGCCCTGATAATCTAATCCATCCACCCGAGACTTGCCCAAAAGGGTCAGAAGTGGCCAGGTCAATGGAGTAATCACGAAGCTTGCACCTCAACCCAGACTTATGAGATCGTTCAAATTTCTCAACTCTGTCAAATCTCACTGTCTTATCGACAGAAGCCCACGACCATGAAGGGGCTCGGTATTGGAATTCGGGTGATTGAGGTGAGCCCCCAAAATCAGAAATATACCATAACAGTGCCTGTGGAAGAGACTTGAGCCAAAAGCCAGCCACGTATTCGTCTTCCAACTTTTGTTGCAGAATTCTCGCTATTCCTGATATAGCTATTAGCTTATCCTGCGGCTTTGTGAGAGCACAGCCCGAGTATTCTTGGACAACGTGGTAGAATCTATCATGTAAATATTGGCGATTACAAGACTCTGCGTCCATACGCAGCCAGTCGCCTGCCATATTCTGGGTAGAACGAAAATCTTCCAAATCGGACGGGAGTTCATGCTGGTATTCCTCGGAGGCCAATGTTTGGTAGCATTCCCAGTACATCTGATACCGGGTGAAGTGCAGTATCCGGGGAGAAAGAAGTCTTTCCTGAAGAACCCAGCCTCTCTGGTTCAGCGGTGCGCCACTTAAGTGTTCGTATAAGCTGTTTCTCCGTGCAACATGTAACTCTATCTTTTCTTGGTTACCCCATGGCGGAGTGAAGGTCGGCGGGCGAGGGATCGAGAAATAATCTAGAAATCCGTCACCGGCAGCGGAGGCGGCGATATTGAAAACGCCCCTTTGATATATCTCTGTCATAAGAGTGGACTGCTCTTGCCACTGATGATGAATTCTGTCAGTATTATTGATTGCACTTTGAACAAGTTCTTTGAGGATGAAATCGCGACTCTCGGGGCAAAATCCTTGATTTCTAGCGTGTTCATCGGACTTGATAAAACCATAGATTACTGCACTTACATCTAGAACTGAGTCTTGAAATATACACAACGAGTCGATCCAGATGTATTCTACGCCTATTTTTGCACTCACTTGAATGGCATCCTGGAAAGTTCGAGACAATCTTGAGCGCGAAATGCCTTTTTTCAGGTCAGCACTTGTCTCTTTGGTCAGCGTCAAGAATCTTCTTGAGCCCCAGCAATGACTTAGGGTTGAGTATTCAACAGAACCGATGCTTTTTCTCAATTCGGATAATTCACACAACCTTACAACATCTTCCCCGGTTGGTGCACAAACAATGTTGAGAAGCCGCATATTTATGGATGGACTAGCCCAAAGTCCTATTGGCACCCCCTGACATTGAATATGAGTCTCGCGGCAGATGCCTAACCATCCTTTGGCAAGAGGAAATAGATGGCTGCGATCTTTCTCGATTGGCAGCAAAGGCGAAGTCAGCTGAGCCTTAAGCTGTTCATCTCGACAAATCTTAGCCAAGTCAAATGCAAGATGTCGAACGGCGTACAGACCTTGGATACAGGTCACTTCGAAGTTTATGTCAATGAAAGCATCTATCTGTGGAGGGAATAGTGGGAGGTGAATATGCAACATGATGCTGGGAAGAGCGTGGTACCGCGCCCACTGGAATTTGAGATTTAGGAAACATGCAGACGTTGGTCGAACACCAACACCTCTCTCCTCGTTGCTGCTTTCCAGTACCCTCCCCCGAAGATGATAGCAAATGTAGCACCCTTCTGCGGCGGCGGTGATGATTTCGTCCAAGGTACTATGGGGCCCCCGTTATTCGACCTGCTGGTGTGCTGGCTTTCCTGAAGATGTTCAAACATGCAGAACACAACATGATGGAAGAGCTAAAACGAGACTATTCTCAGGGCGTCGGTATGTAAGGCAAAGTAGAAGGGGTCCATCTCCGATGGGTGTGGAGGATGGAGGATGGCTGATTGCCCAATGACTTCCGCCCGCCGCAAAGCATCTGTTCTACTTGTAGAACAGGAGTTGGCTCAATTGGGTTCAACTGCCATTTAGGCGGTGTGTTGATTTTGTACTCATTTCCCCAGCAACGGCTTTGTTCTATCCCGCACGGTCGCGACTCTGATGTCAACATCTGCAGACCACAATCCTGGACTTGCAAACATCGCAAAAGCTGCTTACACTTCAAAAAGGCGCATCTCATTCCACAAATCGCAAATATTCGACAGATGTAACATCCAAAAGCATATGGATCCATCATACAGCTTTCCCGGTTCGCCTGGAACGCCCTTATTCCAAGCATCTCCTGAGCGCGTTAATCAACAGCGGCAATCACAATATGGCATGGAATCCCCATCCGCGAGCGTGCACCGCGAAAGTAAAATCCACTCAAGAGATAGCTCTGTACATGAGAAGGTCGCAGCATTTAATTCTTTAGCTTTCCAAGGAAAGGCGCTGGAACGCAAAGCCAACGATGCTGCACTCAAACGCGCGATGTTGGGAAGGGAGGAGGCAGAAAGTGAAATGCGCCGGTATCGAGAAGAAACGCGAGCTCTGAGGCGGCAAGTCGACGAAGGGAGAGCGAGAGAAATTAAAGTTGGTGAAAGGCTTGAGACGGTCATGGTGTGTATCAACAGTAAGCGCATAGGAATATTGTTAACATTATCTAGGAAAGTTATGGTCGAGCCAAGGAGACGTTCGCGCATACACAAGCAGTTTGGGAGAAGGAAATCCGAAGAGCTAGGAAAGAAGCCTTCAAGTCACAGTCTGCGATGGTCAAAGTGCAAGAAGAGCTGAAAGCGACGCGAAATTCGCTACGAATGGTAGAGTCTGATTTTGATAGAGAGAAGGAACGCAGCCTACAAAGAGAGCAGGAAGCGTTTGCTGCAAGATATCAACTTGTTGGAGTACAAGAAGAGGTTGGACAGCTTCAGGAGCAAATTAAACTCGTCGAACAAGAGCGAGATGGATTAAGAATGATCGCCAAGAACGAAGAAGTGGCGAGGATCGCAGCCGAAGGAAGATTACCGTTACCAAAGGCTCCGGAGGACGACGAGTTTGCCTCTCCAAAGAAAGCAAGAAGATCTTTGGATCCAGTCACCGTCATTTCATCAGCGGCAAGCGAGGAGGAGTTGGAGGATATGCAGATGAGATTAGCGTGGGAGCAGCGGCGAGCAGATCGAGCTTTCGATCGAGTCGAATTCTTGGAAGCCGAATGCAAACTCAGATGCTGCGAGTCCCGAGCAACAAGTGACTCTACGAAATCCCAATCAACAGTATCTCGCCAGGAATCCAATACTATACTACTAGCACCAAGCACGGTATTCATACCGGAAGAAGGCGTCTTCCGAACAATATCGCCTGGCCCAGAAGAGTCACCTTGGCTCTCACCGTTGAAGAATTCCGCTCCCCTGTTCGAAATACCATTGTTCCAGAAGCCGATACCAGATTTGGAACCACCTACTCCCGAACGACCCGAAGTCGAAATCAGAACTTACGCAAGGACACCATCATGTGAGCCACCAGCGCCAGCAATCATATCAGACGCGAATACGTCTCTATTGTCTCTTCTTGACGGGCCAAGAAGTCCAGTGGAACCGGATTTCATCGCGAGTTTCAACATCCCTACTGTGGCAGAAACCAAGCACATTGCAGAGGAGGAAGTTGAAGAAACAGCCGATGAGGCAGATACCACTATTGTGCAAACATTTCACACTATTTCGACCACCACCAAGATTCCTCTCGCAAGCGCTCCAGAACTGACACCACAAACGACCCTGCCAGCTGATCTTTCCAATCCAGCGCTCAGCCCTACGATGTCACGCGAGGAGGCTCTTGCACAAATTCGTGAACGGCGTGGAAGAGCGAGAAGTCTTGCCCAAGGCACAATGACTCCAAGAAAGCAAATGGCTGAAGGTATCAGCAGGCGAGATATCAGTGCTCCTGCTATTCGCAGTGGGAATGTAAGGGGAAGAAGTCAGATCAGGGGACCAATATAGGAGTATGGAACCGTATTTTAGTAGTCGGTTGCAGTTTTGATTAGCAGATTTTGATTCGGACAGAAGCATAGCACTAGGCGTTCTTCTGAAGGATTCGGTTCGGTGTTCCGGCTGGAATTTTATGTTTATGAATCGAGTATTTTGTAATTAAGGGGGAGTATAATATAATGTGAGGAAAATTGTCGCTCTATTTTCCTGGTCATGCTCCGATGTATAATTGTCGACTTTGAGAAGGTTTCTTGCTGGAGCTGGTGTTACCAATCATTGACATGAAGCAACAGATAAGTGTTCTGCCTCAATCAATAACACTCTTTCTATCTTATACACATATCACTTAGATTAGGTAAATGCGACATGAAATGTTCTACTACAAAGTATAATTTTACCACGTGACGTCGTGATCTCTTCGTCTAGTCGCGTCGCGTCCCCCGCATACTCGAGAAGTTACGAAAGCTTTGGAGTTCCTACCAATTTACATATTGTTGTCCGAACAAGAGAAAATTACACTCACTAGTCAGTTCATCGAACTTCAACCTATCTTGTTCAAAACGTCACTTCGATTCTGCGCGCTCAACTGCTCAATTTGTTTGCGCCCCGCCGACATCGACAAGCACTGCGTCTGGCGAACTTCATCAGTCTCTTTACCTACGTGTATTTACTCGCAGAAGTCTAAATTTTATTTCGTCGGTATTCTCCCAATCATGCCACCAAAGCCCTTCCGCCCACCGCGTCCATCCTCCACTTCGCAACCCAAACCCGTCTCCAAAGTAAAGAAATCCACAACCACGAAATCAAGAGCGAGTATCGGTCTCGAACACAAAGCTCGCGCTCAAAAAGCAAAGCAGAAACCAACTCAAAGATCTAGCGGCGCCGGTAGAAGCAGTCTTGGAACTGCCAGCAATTACGGCCTACCCAGTCTCAGTCCAGACACTACACAAGAACCTCCACCTCCCTCCTCGTCATCCGACAACTCTTCCTCCTCCTCCGATGACTTAGTAGCTTCCTCACCGGAACCAGAACCAGATACCACAGACCCAACGCTCGACCGAGAAGAAACGCTGCCCGTTGACCTTTTACAGGTGTTGCTACAGCAGTTCTTCACGAAACCAGAAACACGGATACGGAAGGATGCGCAGGCGGCGGTGGGGAGGTATATGGAGACGTTTGTGAGAGAAGGGATTGCGAGGTGTGTGTGGGCGAGGAGTGAGTTGCCGGATCCGGGTGGGTTTCTTGAGGTGGAGGATTTGGAGAAGGGAGCGCCGCAGATGTTGATGGATTTTTAGGGTGGCAACGTAGCGTTATGCTGGGAAACGTTGTAGATTGGGCATGGGATAGGCGCTCTGGTGTTTGTACGGCTTGGAATGAAGGTTTAATGCTGCATCTTAGGAGGGTTGAGAATGCAGATGTGGGATTACCTAGTACTTATGTCTATCTCGACATGTGCATTGATGTTCAAGGTGATGAAAAGATAATGTGTAGGTATTAAATTTATTACCTCCGAGAATGTCCTTGATCGAGCGAAATGTTTGGATGTGGTGTCTCCCTTTTGTTCAGATAAGTCAGATTACTCCGGTTAGTTTTCATGACTCGACACCTCTCTACATCACAATCTGCTATTGGCCGCAATATTGGTTTGAAAATAAGGATGAGGACCAAAGAGAGTACGAGTTTTATGTAATAGGCTCTTGAATCGAGCAAAGACTTCAAGTTTTTCAATACAGCCCCGAAAGTTTAAACAGACGTGTCTGGATTACACCTCTTGCACATTGCAAATACTCTATTTGTCAGTAGTCAAGAGCTTGAGACGCGCTCGCCACACTCAGACATACTGACTTAGGTTTCTTTCCTCCAGAATATCGAACCTGGATGTAGTAGTTGTCAATGAATGGTATGAATGTTAATTTAGTTATACTTTATTAGAGAATTAGAGGCATGACGTGAATCAAATTGATACGAGAACAATATTTCATAGTTTGATTGTCCAATTGTGGCTTTCTAGCTATGGAAGCGTTTAAATTTGAAGGTAAGAATTTTCTGTTTATGTATTGCCTTGCTAAAAAAGACATGGTCAAACCAAATATAGTTTATTAAATTTCAAACACTGAGATCAACCAAAATAGCCTTTCATCGTAAAGATCTTTCCAATTTTGCAATTCCTACACAGCCAATCCAAGTATGCACAATAAACCCCAGATGTTCTAGTACATGAACAAATGACAACAACAGCAACAATCAAGAATAAGAGAAAAGAAAGATGCAAGTTCCTATACGCCATCCATCCCACAAGATCTCTCATCTTTTGAAACCCTTTTCTCTCTCCTCTATGAACAATCCTCTCCACCCCTCCTCCCCTCTACCAACGTCTTCCCCTCTTCTCCAATTACCAAGCACTCAACCCCCTATGGAGAAGCAGTAATAGTCTCCCTTGGCCCCGTATACGTCGCGCTTCCGAACGCAGTGCTGAGACCCTCTCCATTGCCTGGGATACAACGGGTATCCAGCTCACTATTGCAAGTGCGGGAAATGCATCCCTTGTAGTAGCCCAACTTGGGGTCGGCGACGACGCAGATGGCTTGGTTTGGGTAGAATTGATACCAGGTACCGCCTTGGGATTTGCAGCAAGCGCCGGCTTGTGTGACTTGGTTTGCGGGGCCGCCGGCTACGCAGGCGGTGGAGGAGACGAGAGGGATGAGGGAGAGGAGGGAGAGGATGATGGTTGGGAATTGCATTGTGATGGTCGTTGACGAAGTGAAGTTTTGGTTGATGTTGAGCGGATTGATGTGATTGCCAAAATGCAAGATTCGAAGTGATGTTTGAGTGTTGAGGATTGTAGTGAGTAATGTTGAGATGCTTTGTGGATAGTTATTCTAGACTTGAACGAGGGAGATCTTCACTCTTCTTATCCCAAAACCATGAGGAGGCAACAACGGAAAATAGATTAAAAGATCACTTCATGCTTTCCTCCATTGAGTATAGCCGTAGAACAGCACGATCAACAACCTCACAGCGATCAACATTCTCGTATCCCACTCCTTGTCGGGCCTAACTGAGACTCCTCTATTGTTGTTGCCTTCGGCTTCATTTTAGCTCTATCACCTAACATCCAGCAGACGGAAATGCAGCGCGAGATTTAACCTTGCAGCCGGCGACTCCACGCTACAAGTTCGTGGCTTCCATCTATTTCTGAATGACAGAGGCCAAAGGCCACAAGAGGAGAGAAGCCACTTCTCTTGCGGCGGTGCCCGCTCCGCGGATTGACAAAACCTTCCATCTTGCGGTAGTCTGCCAAGCTAGGATGCTATATGGTAGTTTATCCTGCTTCTCATGTGGCGTTCGCCGTTTGATATATGAAAAAACTTTCATTTAGCAGCCGAGAAATAGAGAGCGCCGCGCTGGGAAGGGTAGTGATGGGTTACGGCTATTATATATTCAGCCGACAATCTATAAACTGTGGCAAATGCTACTCCACCCAATTAAATACCTATGAATAGACTTTGTGAACACTCGTCTGAGGGTTCGGTATCTTGGTACCTAGAGGAGAAACGTCGTGGTCTGCTGCAGTGCGAAGTAGTGGAATATGGGGAGAGGTTTTATTGGATGTAGAGGGAAGTTGCAGCAGCAACAAGACGGATTTTCCCCATCATTTAGAATAAGGACGCAGGATATTCCGCGGGGGCAAAATCATTTCTAAGACTTGATTGGTGATTTGTGAGAGTGCATGCAGATTTCGAGGTCTAATTCGACCCTTCTTTCGGCATTGTTGCCGAAATGAAGTCTAGAAGCCTCATTTAATTTCGCAGTGCCATGGGCGCGAAGACAAAATATTCTTGAGTTGAAGCTTCAAGCACTAGATTGCTCGAATTGAATAACAAGCCTTTTGTCGTTGCCTGTTGTGTCGCCAAGTTTAAATCCTCAAGCGGTTATTATTTCAGGGTCCAATTTTGGATGTGCCATAGGTGTATATTGCGCCCAGCACTATTTTTTAAGATTGTAGAGGAGACTCATCAAATCGAACTGCTACTCTTGTCGTCTAAGAAGTTCGTAGAGTCAACATGAAACCGAGTTTGGTAGCATTGCAGCGGATGAAGAGGCTTCATGCTCTCCCTATTTGTATAGTAAAAACGATTTGACAAAATTGAAATGCAATCAGAAAGTTTGACAGGTGTAACTGTTGATGATTACCGAAGACCTTACCATGCGGCACTTGAAGGTTCATGTTAGGATAGTGAAGTGGCGTATGCTGAAAAGCCATAAAGCCACAAGTCGAACGACACGAAGGCGTTCAAGAATAACGCTGGAGGCAGCTGACAGAATCTGTAAAACGAAGCCCCAAATTAAAAGAGCCGAAGGAAAGAGCGTTGAGAACATGCCTGCACCATCAAAAAATTTACTGAAAAGTTGAGGGTTGTCATTTCTCTGTGTCCGCGGCCATAGCTGTTGCCTGGCGATGAACAGTCTGAAGAACAGCCAAATTCGCTGAACGCCGATAATTAAATCCCGAGACAATCAAACATTGTCAAATCATCTTGATGTACTTATAAATACTTTGAACGGACTAATGGAGGATAGTCGACCAGAACCCAAAAGTTTGAAGACAACTCTCCCCCAACTCCATAGTCGATAACAATGGTGCCAATTTTGTAGCATTTTGAAAGATTGGAAGGTATCAAGTTCTCGCCTCTGGAGATCCGAAGATAGCCAAGCTGATCTGGGAATGACAAAGTGTATATCCTTCGATAGCATGACAGTAATTGCGGTCTCTTGAACATCCGTTTCTACACAGCCTTCCTCGACCAGCGATGCAACCAAAGATCTTCACGGCCGTGAGTTGACGACCAGACCATCTTGACCATCCCGTGGTGATCAACGCACCTGAAATAGCCATTTAAATCCCGGAAGGACTGCTGATTTGACATGAGTTTGCCAACTGCCAATTTGGACATCGAAACTCTCCGTTCTGGTCAATCATGATATTCGTCCTTGGCTCCAGAATCAAACATTGGCATGTCTCTTCTCCAGTTAATGGCTGATACTTCACACCAAGTACACGTCTTCATCCGGCAAAGGAAACATGCCATGATTTGCAGCCGCATGTCGAAGTGCAACAATTCTTCACTCACGCAGCCGCTTTGCAGCAGAACAAATCAACCGTGAATCAGCCGGAGCGCAAGACAGGCAAAGAAGACAGACGATGCTGAAACGGTTGATGTTTTGTTGTTGTCGCAACGGCCGATTCCTCTGACAGTTCCGTGCTTCACCGGCACCGTGCGCGGCAAAGCTGCACCAGGGGAAGCCAAGCGAGGTTCGGAAGCCTCTGGTTGCGGGCAACTCATATCCGATCTCTGTGTGACTGGTGCATTCAGAATTAAGCTTATGAGATGAACAAATTAAAGTTGAGGATCGAGGTTTTTAATGGAGATTTTATGGTCCTGGCAGCGGCTCAAAATGGCTCTTCATTACCGTAGGGTTTGGCGGGTGAAGAATCTCGCCAAAGTCAGGGGTTAAAGACGGGGCTTTGGCGAGAGCATCACAGAGACTTGACTTCGAGTATTCACAACATCATTGTACTCCGTACAAGACCAACAATACGTACAATCATGGAAATCGAACACAAGGAAACTTCCAAGCGGTCTTCATCTTGCTTTTGACACAGAACACGCAACCACCAAGGATGTCATCGGATTATCTCGACGTTCTGCATGCCATCTCAAGTTCGGCTGTCTTGCAAGCGCTCCCCCTGTTTGCGGCTCCAAGTCAACATGACCCCTCGGACGTTTGAGTGCAGGTCCAAACACGTTTCGAGCCAGCCCAGCCAGACTCACCAATCTCTTCAGCAGCACCATGGCCATGTTTCTCTGGACGTCGAAGCCAAGCTTTACCACGATCCCCTGGCTCATGATGGAACAACTGCAAGGGTTCTCTTCAAGTACGAAGATCAGGTACACGGGTGCTGGTGGTTTGGTCTGTGTTATTTATGCCCATCCCCCATCTGATCAGTGTCTTCTTCAACTCTTCTCGTCCTTGTCTTGAATTTTTTCTTGTTTATTCTCTTTCACCACTTTCATTCTCTATTAACTTAATTGTCGGCCAGCACGACACTACATTCCATTCTATTATTTCCAAAGACAAGAAGCGCTAGACGCCCATTCAAAATACTTAACTTCCGATTTTTATAAAACCCTCACACTCGTTACTTTGAGATCAGGATCTTTAGAGTCAATATGCAGTTCACTACAGTAGTCCTTTCCGCCTTGAGCGTCGTCGGTGCCCTTGGTAAGTCCATTTCCATACGACTGTATAACCCGTTCTAACAATAACCAGCGCAATCCACCTCATCCACAGCAGCATCAGCATCCTCAACAGGCACGCCTTCAGGAATGGTCACAGTCCACGTCGTCCGTGTAGGAGGAACAAACGGCTCCCTCGAGTTCTCGCCGAACGACATCAAAGCCGCGGTTGGAGACATGGTCCAATTCCAGTTCACACCAAAGAACCACTCCGTCGTCACCTCCGCCTTCGACACCCCATGTTCGCCAAAGGGAGATATGTTCTCGGGATACATGCCAGTGGCAGCTAATGCGACCAACACACCTACATACACCATGATGGTGCAAGACACAAAACCAATCTGGTTATACTGCTCCCAAGGAAAGCATTGCCAGAGTGGTATGGTCATGGTCATCAACGCGTAAGCCCTTCTCTTCCACTCTTTCCAGCTCATATATTGACACAAACCCAGTGCCGCAACCGGTGAAAAGACCCTCGCAGCCTATAAAGCCCTCGCCGCAAAGGCAACCTCCAACACCGCTCCAAGTGGCCCAATCAGCGGCTCCGGCAGCAACACCACCACTCCATCGGGTGGTAACACCGGCACTGGATCTGGTACTGGATCAGGAACCGGAACCGGTTCAAGCTCAGGCACTGGATCCACCGAAGGGTCTGCATCAGGAACTGGAGCCGTCCCATCAAGCACCGGTACCAGCCCAGCCCAGACCACCGCCAACAGCGCCATCATCGTGCGTGCCAGCGCCAGCTTCAGTCTCGTCGCCATCGTTGCTGCGTTCTTCCTATAGAGGAGTTGAGCTTGTTTTTGCATTAGACGTGTGGTTGGGAATGAAAAGTATATATACCCCCGTCGACGGGCTACGGTACTTTGTAGATGAACGAAAAGGCTTTCTTGGGTACTCTGTAATAATTTGAGACTTTATCTGAATCGGAAGTTTTGGATATTTGAATGTGTGTTTTTCTTGTGCTTTTTCTTGGATATGATTTTTCTTACTTATATTCCGCACTCTTGATGATGCGATGATAGAGTTTATTATTTAGTGGTGCGTTTGGTGATGAGATGTAGATTAAATGGATTGATGTACATACTTCGTCGGTTTAATTCTTCTCTTGAGTGCTGTTCGTTGTTGAAATGAACCAGTAGTAATATTGCTGCACTGATATCACTACTATATGTGCTCACTGAAAGTTCGTTCACGTCCAATACCGCTTGATTGCCATAATGTTCACATTCCTTGAAAGCCGCGACAATATCGAAATGGATCGATGACTTCCGGATCGCCTCATTGCCGAAGGTAGATGCTCTTAGGCGCAAAATCATGATAGAAGTTGTATACCTATATGATGTACTACGGAGACAATAGAAGTGCCTTAGAGCTTTCGATTTCCCTCAAACCTATACCACACCATAAAAATACATACCCTAAATTTTGCAGAGCTTATTTCCCAGCCGGCCTAGCTCTAGCAGTAGGTCTTTGACTCTCAGCCTTCTCACACAGAGTCGGCACAGGACCTTTAGTCTCCCAACCCTTCTCCCTCTTAACCTGTCCAATCGCTGGGTATTTTGGTGATTTCGCGAAGAAGTCAACCCTATAACACAATTAGTCTCTTTTCAAGATCCAGCCGTAGATATTTGCAAAAGATAGACAGGTTGTATGCATACCAATGTTTCAACGCATCATGAACCTTCTGCTTCGCCGCCTTCTTCTCCAGATACTTCAACATCTTCAAATCGCCCTCCGCATACAACGAATCCACCTCTGGATTGTCAAGCGGGATATACATCTTCTCAACACCTCGCAGATCCGGATTACGGTCTACATCGAAACAGCTAGTAACGAATGCGCGCGAGGCATCCGCGCCCGCGAAAAAGTGATATGACCCGTCTGGACCGTAGTGGCGTCGACCCGCGGAGACATCATAGATGGTCCCGTTGATAGCGAGGAGGATAGGGAGGGATTCGTCTGTTCCGTCGTATTTTGCTAGGTCGGCGTCGGTGTACTGTTTTGGACCTGCCTGTTGTCGATTGTTAGCTTTCCTCTTGATTGTGAATTGCTATCATTCCGGACTTACCAACCAAGCCTTCACGACATCCGGATTCGTCCATTTCGGCCTGCTAAGATTCCAAAACAAACTCTCCCTTGTCACGAAATAACTCAATGCGCAACTGGCGAGAACCACGAATGCGAGACTGCGGAACACATCAAGGGCGGAGACATGGTCTTCCTTCCTGATCAACGATGGATCCACGATCTTGCCATTGCTCTTAGTTGTGACAGGTACATCAACCTTACGTTGACGGACCGTAGATGCTTTTTCGGCCATTGCTGCTGCCCGAAAAGCGTATAATTGAAAGAGAGAGTGAGTGAGGAAATGTGTTATGCGGAGGAGGGAATGGCTATAAGGAAACGAAGAGGGTGAATGTAAATATTACTTTAGCCTTGGTTTCATTGGTGCGCGGACTTGGATATGTGTTGCGAACACGGTATGGTTCAAGACCACATCTTAGTTAAGATGAGAGGGGAGGGGAAGTCCGCCAGATTGTGGTTTGTTAGTCTCGCGATTTTGTGAGGTGCCGAGGATGGCTTGGTGATCTACAATGGAACATGGATTCAATGGTGTTGAAAGGAAGCTAGCTTTGAGGGGGTTTGGTGGGGATTTAGCTACGTAGGTATTGATTCTTCAATTGTAAAAATTGACTCAATCATAGCCATTTGAACTCTATTACAGAAGGCAGCTCTATGATTTCAATGTTGCAAGGGAAATGTTTATCTCTATGCCTTTGGTTGCTTTGTATGGGAAATTATCTGCATCCATCGTTTACCTTTCTGGCCTTACGAGCATTCGGGCAAGCCACAGTCAGCTTGCCATTATTACATCCGACTTGCCAATTTCTAAGTTTGCAGATTCCGTGTGATAGTCATGCTGCAAGTTGATCTTCAAGTAAGTTCCCACCTGTGCTGTACTGTGGCGATCATTCCGAGGTCTCAAGTTGCATCATCATCACGCCCATTCCGCCATCAAAAGAAACCATATCATAGTTGGTTGCAGAAGCATTCTTGATTTTGTATGCTACACCAGAAAAAAAAGTCCCATGCCCTTATTGCAAGCGCCCAATGCCATTTCCTCGACTACCCGTAATGTATCAATCACCCGGTCGATATTTGAAAAGAGGCAAATCGTGACATCGTTCGTAAAACTGGAAATTCTTTCTTTATTCTGCGGCAGCGACCGCACGAGCTATATATCATCAGCACATATTGCAGACTTAGGTCCATTCGAGGGAACATACTGTAGATGTTCAATTTGCTGTGCGAAACAACCTTCTTTATAACACCCTTCTCCTCCAAATCCGCCAAACACTTTCTTGCGAGGGATCCGTTAATCTTTAGACGATCGACAAGGACGGCAACGGTGACGAGACGGTATGATTGAACATCCTTTGCGAGTTTGTCGGAGATGGCTTTGTCGAGGATAACGGCGTGCTGGGCCTTGTCCTTGACTATTATGGTGGCATCAGAAATTGTTCGTTCCAAGTCGAGCAAGCGCCATCGACTGCGCGCATCTTTTTCTTACCTTTACCCTTGGACCACTTCTTCTTGGCTTTAGCCTTTCCTGCTGCTGCGGGAGCCATGTTGTATGATGGCGATGTTGGATTTGTCGATGTCGAACGAGGGGTTTGAGGAATTCGAGAATTTGGTATGAACCCGAAATAATGAGTAAGCAGATCTTGTGTGTGCCGATATCTTAGCGCGGGCTGCCATTGGTCGGAAGACGTTAGTGCCGCTTTGTGATTAACCTCTAGCCGCTTTTACCTCTATCATTCCTCTCATCTATTTTCGATCTTCAATGATAAACTCACATAACTACATTTATTCTTTTATACGAAACTTCTTCTCGGCCATTTTAGCGCTTCAAAAGCTCCCTGGATTGACGTGGAATTCAGAATAATTTTGTTTCACATAGGCCGAGTGCTTGCTATATCCATTCCACCAAGATAAACAATCAAAGAAATTAGAAACTCCAAGCAGCGTACTCGATCCAGTAAAGTTCAGGTACTACTACCATCACTAGCTTTTGACCATTTGCAGGAGCCTAATATCTAGTATCCATCCCCCGATCCCCGATAATTTTAAAATTCTTCATCCATTAATTCTTCTTCACAACCTTCTTTCGGCTCGCGGTAGCAGCCAGGGCCTCTTCTCTCCACGCCCAAAATCCAATCATGGCAGCTCCAGGCCCTCCTACGATAGTTGTACCAGCTAAAGCCCCAACGAAAGTCGCCCATCCAGTCTTTGTCTTCTGAGACTTCTTCAAGTCATAAAAGTGCATCATTGCCCACACAAGAGCGGGCCCGAAAGTCATGAGCTGATCATATCTTAAGAATCGTGCTGCTCCACTGATCAAAGTGGCTGGTGCCGACGGGCTCGCGATATCTTTGAAGAACACATCCTTGAGTGGGAATGGAGAAGTAATGCGAACGTACAGGTTGGTGGCCATAGCAAAAATGCCAGCTGCCCAGTAAACCCGACGGAGATGCTTCATATCCGCTTCTGGGTTAGAGAGTCGGTCGGTTTCCGTAGTATCTTTGATGAGAAGACTAAGAAGACGTTGACAAATGGCACCAGAGAGAGGGAATAGTTGCCAGAACAGCCCATTAATCCATTGTCGGTTGGCGAGACCGGGAGCGTTCAGCATGGCTACAGATGGCGCAAGGAACGACAGTACAATGGTTGGGATAATTGCCTTGACTGCATTCACTTGTGTAAGTCGCTGATCCGCGGCATGATAATTTCCCACTGGTGATTGCACATAATGGAGGAAGAACCATATTGGAGCGATGTATCCAAGACCTTTGGCCTGGTATGCGACTCCTAGAACGGTTGGTCTATGTATGGTCAGCTTGCAAATTATCAAGCTCCGAGGAGTCCAGCTTACAACAAATACGCAGCCGTCATATAATTCCCTCGGCGTACACTCTCAACATACCAGAGAGCTTGTAACGGTACGAGATCTCCCAGAAAAGCAGTCGTTTGTAATTTCCCCAAAGCATCGTAGGATCCAAGTGTTGGAGTGAAGAACGTGACAAGAATCGAAAGAATTTTGTCGAGTCCGCCAATACCAAAGAACTTCCTAACTAAAGGAACAATCTCGCCGTTTCCAAGTGTTACCTGGCCGGTCTTTACAGAGTTGATGAGAGATGGTCCGATTTGTGCCACTAGCACGCCCATGGTTTGCGATGCTCCATATGTCCCGAGAAGGAGTGGTAACGCATACATTGCGCGCTTTAGAAGACTCTCCTTGCCATCGTTATATTGGACTGAGGACGACATGTTTACGTTGAATTGTTATTTGGCTCCAAAAGATGGGAATTTACGGGAGGATGAAGGTTTACGTCAAGGAAATGTTGATATTTGAGCCAGGAGGTATGATCGGGATGTTTGCTTGGGCCGAGGTCTCCACTTTTCCACCTCTTGTGATTCAGCATTCCAGATTTCTCAAAGCACCATCTACCATGCCGCAACTGTGCCTTTTCACAATACTTTTGTACCTACGACAACACAAATAACGACCTATGTGCGTTGTTACTATTCTACAGTCCTGTTTCCGCGGTTCACTAACTTCAGTAGCCGACACGATCGATGGATGGCATCGTACAGCTCTGAGCAATCTCCTGATTAGCCCGTCGCGATACTTCTTGGTTTGACTAGCTCAACCTTTCGGAGACAAATTCTAATGTCTAATTAAAGGAGTTTGACAATCTTGGAGACTTTGTAGCGTCTTCGAATGTCAACTGTGATAGAAGGTCGACTTTCAGCAGATGAAGATTGTGTGATTTTCTATCGAATTTGCCCAGCTCAAGTAACATTACTGCTGAGCTTTGTTGTTCTTTGATGATAATCATCAGTCAACCAAGCCTTGCATTCTAGACGGGCTTCTGATAGGTACACAACGAGAAGAAGCTTGTATGATCAAGTGGTCCTCGCTGTGCTGATTAGTCTGATGAAGGCGGTTGACCACCGAATGCTCAAGACTCCTATTTGAACATACAATGCCATTCCCTACTTGTATTTTCCTGTTTTATTTCTCGAAATCGATGTCGGGAGTCCAGGCCGTAGTCGTCTTGTTTATAGTGCGTCGCCTCACTCATCGAGAACACGTCTCATGATCGGTCGACAACCATTTGGGAGGATGTCTAGCTTGAATGTTCTTTTCGCTTTGTGGTGCAAACGCTTTTTGTTGCTTAGATTTGAAAATCTACGCCGTTGACGGCTTCAAGAAGCCCTGCAGTTGCGTATTCGTCTGGCCCAGACCTACACAATGTAGCGTGGTGAAAAACCACCTGTCTGAAGAGGTCGAGGTACGAAGATACTTCAATTTTCAACCAAAACACCTCTGGCTCGAGCCCCGAAGTTGGTATCCTGTGTTCTCGTCTCAAAGTCAGAGTTTGATAGAGTACCACAGACGTAATCTCTTGCCAAACGAAGAAGGGGTCTGCTTTCTCTCTAAGACGTCAGAATCTCCCAACAGGTGTGCTTGGAAATTACTCGGAACACTGCAGTTCAATTGCTTGCTTTTTGGTACATCATTGCGCACATCTTGGTGGTTCCTTTCCAAGATCTCTGTCAGATTGAAGGGAAATCTAAAAGGCTCCGACGTACCGGTGGGAATGGATATGGCTTTCATGTAAGAAAAGCCACTCATCCAGAAGTCTCAAAGAATGGTCTGATGACGGCCTGCATCTCTCGGAAGTAAGACATTGATGTAAACCGAGCTATACCTTTGCCTGCACTTGCCCTCTTGTCTTTGTTTCCGCGAGAATTATCTTGGCTTGGGTAGTGAGCTATACGTAAAGCTATGTACACTTGTCATTTTCTCGAAGGTTTTATTCAACTCATCAAACTGGCTCACTGGCCTTGACTTCACAAGGCTGTTCCTTTTGGGCTTGGGTCTCTAGAAGACAGCGATTAACGTCGATTGGTAGGATGTACGAGTTTGGTTCATGAGCAATGCAAGTCCTGCATTTGTCGGAAACTACCACATATCCAGAAAACTCGCCACCCTAGCAAACAAGGTCTGAGAAGCGGTTCCTGCAAAATCCGAACGGTCCGTACTAAAGAATGGTCAAACGGTAAAGGCCTAGAACGGGCTTCACACACAATGTGTGACCTTTGATACGCTGTTACTAACAGTGTGAATCCTTATCTTTGCAAAGATAATGCACGTCTTTCGAATCATTTCAGCACAATGATTTTCCAGGGAGTTTGATGTTCTCATATATTGTCAATATGATACCTTACCATATGATAGCTTACCGTGCTTGATCAGCACAATTAACAAGTCACGCAGAATCTTTATGCTAGACCCCTGTAAGGTTATGTTGCAATGCATGGATTTGACCCGAATGACAGAGCCCTAACCGAGTTCAGTGAAAAGCTGCAATTAATTGACCTATTGGGAGATCGCAAACTCGACGTCGGAGCAGAACCTCTGTCGAAATAAACGCCCGGTCTTGCGAATCGCATCATAAACTTTCCACTTTCGGACAAAAAAATCGAAACGACCAAGAGCACTTTTTGGGTCTGATAATAGGCCTCGAGTCAGTATTGTATTTGTCTTATTCATGCTTGTATATATAAATCCAACCCGTCGCTGGAATTTTGCGAAATGTTGTTGGCATCACCCACTGCCCTCTTAACCTTCAAATTTGCATCAAACCGGAAAGATGGTTCAAAAGGCAGCCTCTATCGCATCGTCAACACCGTCTGTCAGTTGGAGGGGATGGTTATGGGACTCCGCTGATGTTTCGAAAGAAGAGAGGAGGTTTCTTCTCAAAGTAAGTTAATCTCCAGACACATAAAACGAGCTTGTCGTTAATGATTTACTCATAGTTGGACTTTACGTTATTGACATTTGGTACGCTTGGGATGTTAATAAAATGGGTAAGCTGTTTAAGCACGTATTTACGAAACGGGTTTAATGATGGCTGCGCAGATTGACACATCCAACATCACCAACGCTTTCGTTTCTGGGATGAAGGAAGATCTCAATCTTTATCAGAACCAGTATAATTATATCATTGTTTCATGGACCGTCGGCTATATCGTTGGACAATGGGTATGACTTTCCCGTGGTTCTACGCAGAAAATAGTGACTAACAATTCGCCTGTCACAGCCATCAAATTTCATCTTGACTCGAGTTCCTGCTCATAGTTTGTCATCCTCTCCAATATTTAGACGACAGTGATGATTTGCTAACCTCGTTAGTTTGGATTCCATTTCTGGAAATCGGCTGGACAGTCTTCACATTCGCGCTCGCTGGTGCAAAGTCGTATACACATTTACTTGCTCTGCGTTTCGTCGTGGGTCTCTTTGAGGCCGGATATTGGCCAGCTCTGTACTACATACTTGGTAGTTGGTACAACAAGCGTGAGTGTTTCTATGAGCAATTGAAATCGTATTCTGACGAAGTTTCGCAGGTGAACTCGGAAAGCGTAATGGCATCCTTCAATCTGCAGTATCCATTGCACCAATCTTCAGTGGATTTCTGCAATCCGGAATTTACAATTCTCTCAACGGCAAAGCTGGTCTTGCCGGATGGAGATGGCTTTTCAGTAGGTCCCCTAATCTCAGTCAGTCGCTCATCTGTGTCGATATCTAACAAGGCTTCGCAGTTATCAATGGTGTAATTTCACTTCCGGTCGCTGTTCTAGCCTACTTCTTTTTGCCGGATACTCCTCACACCGCGAAACCTACTTGGGTATTCACAGAACGTGTAAGTGCATATCCATCAACCACAAAATAGACGATTAACATTGTACTAGGACATCGAAATTGCTAAAGAGAGAATGGAAAGAGTCGGCCGTCAACCCGAAGGCAAGCCATACACGTTTAAGACCATACTAGGTTACTTGACGAGTTGGAAGACATTACTATTCACACTTATATTCAGTGAGCTATCCAGTTGTGCGATATGTCTATGTTCGTTTTCTAACGTCGACTACAGCGATGCAACCATTCACATCTGCACCATCCACCTCCTTCGTTTTCTGGCTCAAAGCACATAACAAGAAGGGCAAACCACCTGTCTACAGTATCTCACAAATTGTACGTATAAACAAGAAGTAGCCTCATACATACCCACAGAAAGCTAACATTATCATGCAATCGTAGAACGAGTATCCAACTATAGCTAATGCATTCAATGCCGTCTACTCACTCCTCACCGTATGGATCTCTGATGGACCACTCCGAGGTCGTCGCTGGCCAACCATCATCTTTGGAAACCTGGTCGCCATCGTTGTCTTCGTTCTCCTGGTTGTGACTCCAGTGTTTGGGCCTTTCAGCCATCGCGCACCTCTGTACATCGTATGTGGGATTGGTGGAAGTGCTGTTCCATTGACTATGGCGTAAGTCTTTCTATCATCCTCATTGTTATTTGATGCTAATACCCTTCCATAGTTGGATGGCAGAATTGATCTCCGATAATGCGGAACAAAGAGCTTTTACTGCCGCGTCGATGAATACACTGCAATGTAAGGAAACCATCCCACAATTTAGCTCACTACTAACGTTGTCTACCAGATACTTTCAACGCCTGGATTCCACTAGTCTGGTTTCAACAGATTCATCAACCGAATGGTTCGTCGACTCCTGCCTTCCCTTGCCTGTCTTGATACTAATTTTGCATAGTTACACCCGGTAACAGAGGTGCTGCCGTTGTAGCAGGTCTTAATGTCCTCGTATTTTCACTCATTACGTATCTGGCTCATAGAGAAAAGTTACAGAAGAAGAGGAATGGCCAACTGGCTCCTACAAATGGGGTGCTGGATTCGGAGACGCAGAGTACCGATGGGGATGAGAAGAAGGCTGTGGTTGTTGGTGACAAGGAAATCGTTCCTGTCGAGAAGATTTAGGGGAGTGTTGCATGATTGTCTGATTAATTGAGGAGATAGAAGGAGGAGAGGATTGTCTGGTTTGGTGATCAGTAGTTGGATGTACGTGATGAAGTTGGAAGTCTATGAATAGGTTTACGTTTGTTGTATCAAAACATGTTTTGTTCCAATCAAAGCAAGCCAATTGATACATTACAATTTACCCATCGCCGCGGTCTAGATGAAGGCAGCCTGACATGGGACTGGTATGCTTTGAGGCGCAAACGTAAAGTTTTGGGATTGTAACGGCGAAGCTTGATGTGCCATCTCGGCATTGAGACTTGTCGGATTTGGGATGTCAATATTTAACCTGCAGCGAGGTTATGTATTAGTTCGAAGAATTAAATGTTCATGTTTCACTTACAACCCAAAAATTCACCATCGACGACATTCAACAACATCTCGTGACACCCAAAATACCTCACAACTCCGATTCTTCACCTTCTTTGGGCACAAACTCCGTGCCAACACCGCGCTGTGCCCCCTCGTGTTCGAGCAACCCCAACCTTACACAAAGGAAAAATACGAGCATTTGCACGATTCTTATTTGCGCATTTCAACCGGGTAAATGATGCGGATTGGCCGCACGAAGTACTGACACTGCCAGAATTGGTCGCGATGCAACCTCGACAGCCCACCACACCCCCCAGCCTGACAAACTCCTCTTTGCGGCAAGTGCAAGGCCATCTCAATGCCAGTCAGTGACTGCGCATCGATTTTTATCACCGACCGACCGCCCGGATAGACGACTTTGATATGACTTGATGTGACTTTCTCACTCAGACAACATGCTGTCGCTTCTGCGATCGTGAATCTTCAATCGCCAGTCTCTCGTTCACCTTCATGTTCTCCCTCAATTAATGCCACATCACTCTTCTGCCATCCATTCGTTTTCTCCCTCATCCCCAACTTACTTATCGCGATGCTGGCGATGTGGCGCATCCCCACCATCCTCGCATGTCTGGCGGTCCGGATCGCCCATGCGATCGAACTCGACGTAGATTCCGCAGGTATATCCTCATTTTCCGCATGCGCTAGGCCCACTCACTAACCCGCACGGTCTAGACTCCATCAAACAAGCTGCGAGTACGGTTGCGTACGACATGGTATCGTTCTACCAAGGCAATCAATCCGGGCAGATACCAGGACTCTTGCCGGTGCCGCAACCGCCAGATAAAGGGTATTACTGGTGGGAGGCCGGTGCGATGTTTGGTGCGTTGGTTAATTACTGGTATTACACGGGGGATACGACGTATAATGCCATCACGACGCAGGCGATACTATTCCAAGTCGGCGAGGATTCCGATTTCAAACCGCAGAATCAAACAAAATCATTGGGAAATGATGATCAAGCGTTTTGGGCCATGACGGCGATGTCTGCTGCTGAATTCAGATTCCCAGATCCCCCGGTGGGAGGGCCCTCGTGGTTGGGATTGGCACAGGCGGTGTTCAATGAGCAGACGGCGGTTTGGGATACCAAATACTGCAATGGTGGGTTGAGATGGCAGATCCCGTTTTCGAATCCGGGTTATAATCTCAAGAATTCGATTTCGAATGGTTGTTTGTTCAATCTCGCGGCGAGATTGTCGAGATATACAAAGGATCCGTCGTATGCGGTCTGGGGTGATAAGGTTTGGGATTGGATGTGGAGGATTGGCTTGATCTCTCCTACCTATCAGGTTTTTGATAACTCGGAAGCGGATAAATTGAATTGTACGGAGCTGGATAAGAATCAGTGGAGTTATAATGCGGGTGTTATGTTGTTGGGTGCTGGTGTCATGTATAATTTTGTAAGTGATTATCTACTTTTCTTCAACACTTTACTAATTCTCAACAGACTGGTGACCAGAAATGGCAAGACCGCACGGAACGACTTCTCCAAACCCTCAGCGGCAACTTCTTCGTCAACGGCGTCATGAGAGAAGGTTGTGAGAACCCTGTCGGCACTCAAATAGGATGTAACCAAGATCAAAAATCTTTCAAAGCATATCTCTCCCGCTGGCTAACCGTCACCTCAATCATGGTTCCCTCCACCGCCGCCAACATCACAGCTCTCCTCCGCACCAGTGCCAAAGCAGCCGCCGCCCAGTGTACCGGCGGTCCAAGAGGTACGGAATGTGGTATTCAATGGGACAAAGGCGGAAAATGGGACGGCACTACCGGCGTAGGCCAATCCATGAGTGCTCTCGAAGTCATGCTCGGAAGCATGATCGGCCTCCCGCAAGAAACAGGTCAACGTCCCAAACCTCCCGTCACGGGCGATACGGGTGGAACCTCCATCAGCATCCCTACCGCTGGAAATCCTATCCCACCGACCCCCGTTGTGCCCGCCACGAAAAAGGATCGTGCAGGCGCGTGGTTCATCACGGTGCTCATTGCGCTGATCGCGCTGTTCATGTGCTATTTCATGTGGACGGAAGCGTTTGAGCATTCGGCTTCGACGATTGGAGGGGTGGCTGCGAGAAACAAGGGGAAGGGACGCGTGGAGGAGAGGGAGAAGGGAGGGCCAGAGAGGGTTATTATTGATCTGGCGACGGGGAAAAGGAGGAGTTTGGGGGTTATGAGCGAGAAAGGAGAAACTGGGGCACCGGTGGGAAGTGGAGGATTGCCGATCGTTGAGGAGGTGATGCCTACTGAGCCGAAGATGGTTAAGGGTGATCGAGCGAGTTTACCTAGGTGGAGGGGGGGTGATTGGGTTACATAGAGTGGGGAAATTAATGTTTATATTGGGGATATTTTAGATTGTATTTTGGAGCATTTTGAGAACCGCCATTTCCTACATGTGATTTTCGTGAGCAGGTGAGTGTGAAGTGATTCCTGGTGAGTATCAGAGTGACAAGAATTTCTTTAACGACGATACATGTGTGAAGTTGATAGGATTTTCATTGCTTGGGCCCGCCTGTCCAGCCACGAACGGTCTATATAGCTGCTGCATAAGGCCTGAAGTCTGCTATTCATGGCTGAGCATCATCTGAATACGCATTCACACAGAGATCGTGGTCGAAAACAACTTCTTTTCGCACAATGCACCAGCTCATTTGATCCTCTCCTCTCCAGCCACCGTTGACGTTGACTTTGCCATCGCTTGCTTGCTTTGTACAGCCGCTACAATTTTCCTTGGTGCTTTTGCCATGCTTCCCATTGGGACAGTAGAAGACGCTTCGTCGGTGTGCCATAGGAATCATCGTAGTCTCCATGTTGCCACTCGTCGTCATCTCAACATAGCGATCCTCCACCATGAATGTGCGGCGGTCAAGATCAGACCTAGTATGCTTTTTATAAGTCCGTCGGTCTTGAGATTCAGTAGCCAAAATATTGACTTGGACGGCTTCCAGATATTTGCGTTCGCCAATCCATTTCACTAGCCGATCGATTTGGAAGTATTTCGCTTCTTCTAGTACGGCTTGATAAAGTGCGAAATCGTGACCCTTTTCTCTGTCGTAGAAGACTGGAAGAACTCTAGTTCGAAGGTATCGAAGAATGTGTTCGAAGATGTGAGCGTCGGTTTCAACAAAGTATGAGCCATCTTCCTGTTTATCACCCCATTTCCCGGAGAACAGACTGTTGAAGTATAAGCTCTGACCTGACCATCTATCTGGGTCAGTGACGAAGTTGCGTTGCACTGTTTTGATTGTGGTGTACATGGTCACGCTAAAGAACGTTTTGTTATCAACAAGAAAAGTGTACGAGGCTGAGATGTTTCAGTCTTGTTGTGAGAAATTTCGTTTGACCAGACTTGACGGAGGACGACTGTTCGATGTTGCAAACGGAAGTCTGAAAGCGGGGAAAGGTCCAAGTTGATGTTGTGTAAAACAAAAATATCAATCCGGCTTTAGTTGCTGTTTACAGAAAGGAAGGATGTGGATTCAATTGGAAAATACATAAATATCTTCACTATCAATGAATGACAATCACATCGACATCATGGGAAATCTATCGCTTAGCACTGTTGTATCAAGAACCCTTAATTATATTGCCAAGATTCGCACACAATTCTACCACAAGTAAATGCTTCTTCAATTACAGAATATTCATAAGCTACCATCTCATATCAATATAGTGTCACACCAATGTCCTGGTATTACAAATATTCATTTCAAAGCGCCGGACTTTCTCAGTATGCCTCCCGGACTTCATCGATCTTCCACATCCCGCCTCAGATTGTATTCTGAGAAATGAACATCGACTGTATTTGAAACTGGGAAACTGGGAGGTTATGTGCGAAGCTAAGGCGGCTTTGGGTGTTGAGGCCGAAATTGCGAATAGCTCTAAACGCCGAAACTCGCTTATTTCCGATAATGAGGTTATTGAAGCGACGAAGTATCGTGAGGGTTTCGGCGAAAAGATGGACAGTGATGTAGACAAACTAGAAGCCGAAAGCCAAGATGAGTGTTCTATTGTTATATAAAGCGAGCCGGTTGCTCAAGTGTCTACCACATACAAATCAATTAACTATCTCAATTAATCAACACAACGCTCAACTCACTCTAAACCTAATCACCTGCTATTCATACGCCCATCTCAAACACCAACTCACAATGTCCCCTCCAGTTTGGTTCATCACTGCCGCATCTAGTGGCTTCGGCAAAGAAATCGCTCTCAACGCCCTCAAAAAAGGAGATCGAGTTATCGCAACCGGACGGAGTCTCAGCAAACTGGCCGAAGTCAAAGAAGCCGGTGCAAAAACATATGCTCTGGACGTTACATCGGATCTTAACACTATCAAGAAAATCGTAGCAGAAGCTCATGCCAAGTACGGCCGTCTGGACATCCTCGTTAATAGCGCTGGATATATTCTCGAAGCTGCAATCGAGGAAGCAAGGTGAGACATCAATTCTCAGATCAAGCGATTTTTCTAACCGTAATCTCAGTCCTAAAGAATCATTCGACGTCTTCAACACCAACGTCTTCGGCACCTTAAACGTAACTCGCGCGGTCCTACCGTATATGCGCACCCAGCGCTCTGGTGTCATCGCCCTCTTCGGCTCTCTCGGTTCCTGGACAGGTGGTCCAGCATTCGGCCTCTACGCCGGCACGAAATGGGCTTGTTCTGGCCTCGCAGAGAGTTTAAAACCTGAAGTCGCTCCTTTCGGTATCGACGTGACGGTCATCGAGCCTGGTTATTTCAGATCTGGATTTCTCAATCCCGGAGCTAGAATCTTGAGTGCAGAGCGCATTCAAGAGTATGAGGAGAGCGCGGTAGGATACGTAAGAGGAATGTTGCAGGAGACGGATGGGAAACAACCGGGGGATGTGAAGAAGGGATGTGATGTTATTGTAGATGTTTTGACTAAGAGGGGTGTTGCGGAGGGAAGGGAGATTCCGTTGAGATTGGTACTTGGGACGGATTGTCAGGCTGCTATTAGGGAGAAATTGGAGTCGACTGCGAAGTTGTTGGATGACTGGCAGGAGATTGGTGCTAGTACGGATTATCCTAAAGAAAGTTAGGATTGATGAGTAGGAATCTTGGAGGCTAGCTTACAGGGGACATAAATGTCATATACTTGAAATAAAAAACTATGACTATCAAACTGTACCTAGTGAGAAACCTAAATTCAATGGCAACTGTGCTTTTTCTTCTTAAGAAATGCTTTCTTTCTTCCAGGAAAATTTCCTTTCAAGTTTCCTTCCGCCGTTTTCATGTTCAGATTGTCCACCGACTAGAACTATGGATTGCGTGCACCTACAAGTGACCTCGGAGGGATATATATGCATGTAATCAGGATTTCAACGGTGTTGTAGCTTGAGATGAAGGTTTCATAGTTGGACTTGATTGGCGAGAAGCGGTGCTCGCTTAAGTTGGTGCACCAAAACCCGTGAAATACAAGATAACCAAGTCCGTCTGCAAATCGGAATCAATTGTCACTGACTGATTTTATGAAACTGTACATATACCGAGATTTGCTAAATTTTTTCCATATGCTTCTCTTCATTCTCAATGATATAATACATCAGATCACATGACCTTCGCCAATCCACTAATCTCAATCTGTCCTCTTTACCGAGCCTTAAATCTGACACCGGACATGCACCTGCATTCTTTCGTCCATCTCGAAGCCTTACCATATTGCCATGCGGTTGGCTTGTTGGTTTTTGAGATGCCTCAATCCTTCACGCAAACTATAGCGAATCGCACCGGCCTGCTGACCCGTCTTCGCGAAGTGTTCCCCAGCCCATGGAACCTTTGCTGAAGGAACCACCAATGTATGGATTTTCCGGCCACCCCTTTTCGGAAGACGTGCAGTTTCTTTGCAGAAGCCTCCGATGACCCGCCAATACTATCGACAAAGTGGCCCAAATCGCATATGTTCTGGATGTCGAGGTGTTGTATTGCAGCATCACCGCTTCTGGAGACAACCAACTTTACTCGTGGGGCTGAGAAGACACGCAAAGAGCAGAATATATGGCCGAGTCCCACCGGAGCTCTACTGGAGTCTTGTGTCTCCTCTTTATCCAATTGGTTTGCCTCGTGTTGTACATGCTGACGAAGGCATCCTGTCCAGTCAGAGTCTTTGGTTCGAACCTCAAGCCGACTCAGCAGCCCCCAAAAAAAGAAACCCAAGGAGGCTGAGGTTAAATACCAATCATGAGATCCTGGTCTTTGCTGAAGAGCGTGGGCAATTACACACCCTTTGATGGTTGCCGTGATAAGAAAGACAAGTGTCGATCTGGAGCTCCCAACCAACAACTTTCGCTGTTCCTGACGTTTATTTTCGCTACGTTTGAAGATTGTTTTCATTGATCGAGTTTCAGTTGTTTATTGACATTTTATCTTTCGTTCAGGCACAGTCATCAGCCACATCCCACGCAAAAGATACAAACAGCTGTTTTTCAGCCCCGCCCCGCTTACTTATCTGCGCCGCACTTGACTGAATCTACTGGATTTCCCTCTGCCGCGCGGTGGGCTTCTCTGCTTCCTTATTGCGATTTCAGGATTCAAGTCAAACTCCTTGATGGAATTTTCAGTTCATATTTGCGCGACCAAGTGTCGGTAGTTGTAGGGTTATATGGTATCAAGTCTCAGAGCTCGCGCCTCGAGGTGCTCACCCATCACAACAGTTACCGAGTCGTAGCGGCCGATATTACCAACATGCGCGCCGCAGAAGCTACGTGGATTCTAACCGCGGGAATAATATTGGGATATATAACAGGGACGTCCGCATTGTCCGGAGGCAAATCTGGAGATTTGGAGAAGTCAGATATGTTGGATCTCGATGTGTCGGACGAGGACGGCGGGATGATTGCGCAAAAGGTGATTGTTACGGTTTTGACGAGCGCATCTATTCTTGAAGTAGAAGAAAAGCAGCTCGAGAAAGATCTGGGCAACGAGAAACCACCGCATCAGGAAATTTCGATCGTTACAGTCACCAGCGAGTCCGCAGTCGTTATAACATACCCAAAAATTACCGAAGCACCATCGTTATTCAAACGCAAAATAGGATCGAATCGATGGGATCTGATACACGAGGATATTCAAGGGCGAAAACGCGATGCTACACAATGTCCTGTCGATTACCAGCTATGTCCAGATGATGTTGGCGGGGGATGTTGTCCGAATGATCGAGTTTGTGGAAAAGAGAGCTGTCTACCTACAAGTGCAGCTCCTGCCTCGGCTTGTGGAAAGTTAGGATATACTGCCTGCGCGCTCGCAGAAGGAGGTAATTATACACGTAATGCTGTGTAAATCAAAAGCTAATCGGATTGCAGGTGGATGTTGTCCAAGCGATTATGTATGTGGTCAAGCAGGATGCAGCCCATCTGCAGGAGTGTCGTACACTCAATCGTGCGCAGCAAGTTCATATCTGTGTCCGGCGTCGTTAAATTACGGGTGCTGTAAGAGCGGAATGGGATGTGCTTTGAATGGTTGCTACACTACCAGCATTTCGACCTATACTTTATTGGAAACTGTTGTTACCACAGATTCCAATTCTAAAGTTCAAACAGTCACAAATACCAGAGTCACAGCAACCACCCCCGTCCAGCCATCTGGTACCGCTTCTTCTGATGCAGGAATGATCCCCAAAATAGCATCCTCTGCTGTGGCTATCGCGAAAGTAACGGCAACTGGAACGGCATCTCCCAGCACCGGGCTGACAAAGTCACAAATTGGAGGCATCATTGGAGGCTCAATAGCTTTCCTCGCGATTATTCTAATTGCGGCGACTTTAATCCTTCGACGTCTTAACAAGGTTGCTCAAGTGGCCGCCACACGTTCTCAAAAGTCATCTAGCGGTCCTCGATCGGGGCCATCGCGACAGAGAGGCCCACCTCCAATGGCTCCACGTGATGTGGATGCAATGTCAGTAGATCCATTAATGATGGCTCCATCAGAGGCAACAAGCAGCGTTCACGGATTGTCGTACAGATCGAGTCCATGGGGCTCTGCACACGAGGTGGAAGCAAACTCTCCACCAATGTTCAACAACAGTCCTTTCACGCCGCAAACACCTGCTCATTCGCATTATCCCCGCGGATATGCGCCTGTTTCGGCGTCAGAAGCTGGATCAGCTAATCGTAACAACTCTCTGGACACAACACCACCATCATCCATTAACCCTAATCGAGGATACTTCGATCTTCCGATCCAGTCCAATCGAGACTCTCAGGTATCTCCTCGTCGTCCGAGCCATCACGGCAGGAATTGGAGCAACGCTAGTGATCAAAGTGGAGTAAGTCAGATCTCTGACCCTGCTGAATTAGATGGAGATCAAGACACCTCTCGACGGTCTAGTCTTTCGCGGGCCTTGTATGGCCTCGGTATGGGTCGCATGATTAGCGGAAGAAGACGCAGCGATCCAAATACCAACACCCTTACAGGTGGACCGCAGAAGAAAGGAGAATACTCATCGCCTGCGTCTCCTGCATTACACCACATACCAGAAGCTGCCGAGAGCCACGACAATGTCAATTACTCTCAACCTCCGACGACAACGAGGCAGAGAGGGCTAAGCGGTACACAATTACGGGAAGCTGGATTGAGCAATTCTCAGCTGAGAGAAATGACCATGAACGATACCAATCTTTACATTTCACCAGTACCTAAGCCAACACCAAAGGATTATGATGATGTCAATGGGGAGGGAAAGTCAAGGATATACGGGTAATGGAACAAACGGCATTTTGGGAGTATAACAACTGGGGTGGCGTTACAATTGCATAGCGGTCATAGTTTCTGTACTGGATAGGTGTTGATTTTGGGGTGAGATGTTGAGACGGAATTGCTCTCGGTCTCTTGTATTAGCATAATCTTTTTCTATGTTGGTGCCGAGTTTTGGTTCCACCGAAAATATTTATCACTATTATATGCGTACTTTGCTAATCAAATGCGTTTCAAACTAGCAATGGTATATTATGCTGCCATGGTGAAGACTTCTGTGTAATTGCTTGTCTATATTAAGCTACTTCTACTACAATCTCAGTTTAATGAAATTTATTTCTGTCAGCCTGGTCAGTGTTCTCCATATACACTTCAATCTTGTTATTCATCTTCGGCTCCATATCTCTCGTCAACGCACATGCAACAATGCCAATTACACCAAACGCAAGCGATGTATATGCCGTCAGCCTAAGCTAGGTCATTATATTGTTCGAAGATAAGCAGAATGAGTCAACTTACTGAATACCACGTTCATAAGCCTTCTGTGTCGCCTTTCCAACAGCAGCAATGACCTCAGGACTAAAGGCCGTCGTCATGTTCGCCGTCCCAAGCATCGCCATCATCTCCGTCACATTACCAACAGGCAAACCCGCCTGCACAGCAGCAACAGGCACGAGTTTCACCGTCCACTTCTTTACCGTATTAGTCAACACAGCGGTATAGACCGACGTCGCGATCGCGCCACCCGCAAACCTCGCAGTCCCACTGACACCACCACTAAGACCGAGATCCTTCTGCTCAACACCCATCTGAGATACTGCAATGGCAAGATATATCGCCGGCCCATACGCAGCTTGCGAGATAAACACAAACGCGATCATGAGGTTCTTGTTCCCTGGATTCCCTAGCGCGAGGAGCACGCCGAATAACACCATGACGAAGACGTAGCCTGCGAGTTGCCAGTTCCAGTGCTTGATCTTGGCGCCGAAGAGCGTGAGGAAGAGGACACCGGCGCAGATGGCGAAGCCCTGGACGAGGGAGAGGATCGAGGCGGCGCGCCAGTCGGTGGGGTCGTCGAGGTAGAAGACGTTTATCATGGTGGGCCAGAGGAGGGAGGATGAGTAGTAGAACATGTTTATAACGGCGATGCCAATGCAGGGTGCGGTGAAGTCGCGGCCGTGACCGGCTGTAAAGACGCGGGTTGGTGTTAGAGGTCGGGGGACCCAGCCGAGTTTGTGGCCTATGTTTTCCCAGAGGGCGTAGAGGACGAGGAAAATGGCGCCGGTCACCAGAGGTGCGATTACGTGGACGTCGGAGGAGGGGTAGATGGTTGTGTAGATTATTCCTGCGAGGAAGGGACCGGCGCCGGCGATGAAGAGGATCATTCCTGTGAAAGTTAGTGAGCGTTGATTGCAGGTTAGACGAGAGTAGGAGAGACTTACCTCCATAATCCATCTCCTTGAACACTTGTCGGTAAGGTAATCCATTGGGATGTTTAGGTGGATAGTAAAAAAGATACAGTCCAAGAGCAGATATCGCCTGAAGTATGGCAATAGGATAGAAATTCCATCTCCAAGTCCCAGTAACAAGACCATATCGAGCTGTCACTGGTCCAGCAACAACCGCAACGAGAGTCGCGATATCTGCGAGAACTACTCCCCAATGCCGCCACTTGTTCGGTAAAAGTTCTGATACTGCAAATGCAGCCATTTGACAATTCGCAGCTCCGAATCCGGTAATTGCCATCCCTGCTGTCACTGCTGGACCTGTTTTTGCTGTGGCGATGATGAGATGCCCGATTGTGCAAATGACGTTACCTCCCATGAGAAAATATCGACGGCCTAGGAGATCAGTGTTGGCTCCTCTGTTGCACGAAAGTTAGTTTTGTTGAGTGACCTAATGAGATTGGGAAACTCACGCGAGGGTGAACATGACGGTGATAGCGAGTGACCAGGAAGGAATAAACCAGATTGAATCGTTGGAATTTCCGAGGGAGGTAGCAACTTCAGTTTGGATAGCTGCGAAGACTGGGACAGGCCAGAACGATAGACCGTAACCCATCGAAAGGATCTAAATTGTGTTAGCGAATATCCCTTAAACGAAGGCACAGATTCTACCCCAACGACGACCCAAGTCTTTGCAGTAACAACGGGTGCTAACTCTTCTTCTGATGGAGGTGATGTTGTAGTAGATCTTTCGAGCATCTCCACCTCCGCCTTCTCTATCTCTGATTTCTCGGCCATAGACTTCATTTCGGTGGTGGTAGCCATGATCGTTCAGCTGAGCGTTTGAGAAGACACTTTCGCGCGTTCAGAAAGGCAGAATGAACTGGTCTTATAGATTGTCCTAGCATCATCTCTATTCCTTCAAGCGCCCCTTCCATATCACTGCTACTAATGGTCTAGGAGAAGCATTGCTCGCTAACCCCAGATTTTAACGAACCCCATACCCCAGACTCTCTCATGTCGCCCTATCATTAGATCTATTCCAATCCCTGCACTGCACAGGAACTAGGATGTCTCAAATTATATCCATAGTCATGGCTTTTAGCGACGCGCTAGCATTTGAAATTTAGCAGGAGGGGTTCGGATAGAGACAGCCCTACCTGGAAAACTATATCCGCAATCATGTGACATGAAGATCGATCACCGCTAGATCTAGGCCATGCAGAACCCGGGTTGATGAGTTGGAAATCAAGGAGATATACGGAGCTGGAGCTGGACATAGCACGCGCTATGCATGGAGGTATTTCATTAGGGTATCTGAAAGATGCATTCATCTTGAATAACATGGTGGCTCTCTGTGAACAGATTGTGGACGATGAACACAGATGATGTCTGAGTACCCTGCTGAGAGGTATGAATTATGCGGCGCAATTTCATGTCTCGACCTGTGCTGTTGCTCATTACCTTTTGACCTCCTCAGCATAGACCTGAAGCTCAGGCTTCTGCCAAGTCGAAAATGCCTTCAGATGTTTCATATCGCCTTCCGGATTCCAGGCTTCTGCGTTATCAGCATTAACGAGATCAAAGTTCCAGATCATTTTAGCCAAGACGAGGCGCATTTCAACGTAAGACAAGCTAAGGAGATTTTGTGTTAGCGGAAGTCAAACTCCTGGCGATTCTGGAGACCTACTCTTTGCCAATGCATCCTCGGGGTCCAAGAGAGAATGGTCGATGAGCAAGTTTATTGTCATTATCATATCCAGCGCCCTTGAGCCAGCGTTCTGGGATGAAATCATCTGGATCTTTGAAGTTATCTGGGCTGTGATGGGCACACCAAGAGCTCACGGATACTGCTGTCTGAAAAAAGAGTCAGTGGTCAACGCGAAAGCATGAAGTGCTGAGCGACTCACCCCTCCTGGAATGTGTTGACCGTCAATGGTGTCTCCTCCGTCCTGAATCATGCGAAGGAATCCAATAGGAGCTGGCGGGAAGATTCGCAGACCTTCCTCAATACAAGCACTGAGATATGGCAGCTCATTGACAGCAGCGAGTTTGATCTCCTCCTCAGTCGAAAACTTTTCACGTATCTCCGCCTTAAGCTTAGAATATACTTCTGGGTGTCGCAGAAGGTTGTTTGTTAGGGAAGCCAAAGTGCTAGCAGTAGTTTCGCTGCCAGCGACACTTTATCTATGTTAGCTTTAACCATTATTGGTAGCTTCGACAGAGCTCACATGAATAGTGCCGCATTCACGATGACTTCGTCTTGTGACAAATCGTAGTGCTCTCCTTGTTTAAGTATATAATACATGAAATCCTTTCGATCGCTTTTTGAATCTTGAAGTCGCCTGGAAGTGTTAGCAGGCTCCCACATAATCGTTGAGCTAAATCACCTCATCACTTTCTCACGACTGTAGGAAAGATGATCTGCCCTTCTTTTTCGCAAGTCGCCTGGGATCAAATTCATCAGGAAGTTTTGGGTCGAGGTACCTGCGGTAGCGAGACGTCTTGTAGCTTGTTCGATAGCTCCAGCCTTTACCGCGTCGAAGATCAAGGTAATCCAGAAATGAAAATCACCTCTTTCTAGACAGCCGAATGATTCCCCGAAGGATAAGTCGCCAATAACATCAAATGTGATAAAATTGTACCACTTCACGATATCAAACGCTTCTCCCTTTTGCGCAAATTCATGGAATCTCAACATCATTTTATCGACAAATTCTTGAATGATGCCCTCTTGTTCCCATAATGCTTTCTTGGAAAACCCATGTGAAAGAGCCTTCCGCTGGCGAGCGTGATTTGTGTTATCTGCCATAGAGATCGTGGAAACTCCGGGCATAGGATCGACGGCTCCAACGTGAATAGGGTGCTTGTTTAGATCCTGTCTGCCATTTCGGTGCCCATATATATCCTGCCATGCAGTAACGGTATTGAAAGCCAGCTCATTAGGACTGAGCCGGACGACCGAGCCGTATTTCGCGTGTATCTTTCTCGTTTCCATGGGAAGTCGTCCTTGAAGGACCCATATCGTCGCAGGGAACTAGAGATTGTCAGTGAACTGGCAGCATCCAAAGGACGCAACTTACCTCAGAGACAGCGTTCAGGAATGGTCCGGGGTACTTGGAGAGCGGATGAAACCACAAGCGATAGACCACGATTCCAATTGTGTAGACAAACGTACCAACACACAAAAGACCACAGGCCAATACAAACCGACCGTTCTTAGCTAACGGAGAGGCAAAGCCATCGTCTAACTTAATAGCAGGTGTCATTTTGCGATTTCTGCAGTACACGATGCTCGGAATCAAGTTTGGCTATAGGGTATTGATACAGCTCTTGTGGCAATGGAAGCTCAAATAATGACAGAATATGAGAACAACCTACGGATACACTAACACTGACGGTACGCTCAATGCCCATATGCATACTTACGATCAGGATCGCCTGCCTCCAAGCTCTCTGATCAAGTTATCCGACCTCGAATGGGTCGAACAGAGCTGTACGGAAGGATTCAAGCAATCAAGCATTCCTAGAACGCGTGAAGCATACGCATGCTGACTACCCCGCACTAGCCGATGCTCTGGGATATCTCTTTCGGGCCAATTCAAGCTGTAGAAATGCAGATCGTAGTACTGGAGTCGTTGATGGAGGAAGTTCAAATGACATTTGATACATTTCGGACCGATATTTTTCCGATGAACATGTCCCCACCTTTCTTCGCACCCTCACAAACCTCTCCTCCTTCCCCGGATTAGGGGAAGTCTATCGCAAATACTTTTCCGACACGGAAGCCTCTCGGATGCGGACGGCAACGAAACAATATTTGTAAACAGTCGACTCGTAAGTATGGAGTATATGGGCAAGATGGACAATCAAGCCGAGTATTCCTTTTTCCTTGGAAGAGACAACTGAGGTATATTTGCTGCGATTCCTCTCACGTTCAGATCTCTTCTGTTCTGCTTCATAAGTTGCGTCAAATAGTCTTTCTCAACTTCTTTTGATATTAACGTTTGTACTGAAATTATGACTCCCGCTCTTAGAAGACCCGTCAAGGTCGCTGGCGCCTCTGGAGGTTTCTCGGACAGAGTTCGAGCCATCTCAAGCTTAGCAGCCAACGAAGATGTTGATGTAATTGTCGGTGATTGGTTGTCTGAGATGACAATGACAATTCACGGTACCGGAAAGATCGCTAAACAAGCTCAACTTGCTGGCAAGGAGCTCTCATTTGACGAGCAAGTCCAGAATGCAATGTTTGCTGAGAACTTTATGGACTGCTTTGAGCCAGCAATTGATGACCTTGCGGACAAGAAGATCAAGCTAGCTGTAAATGCCGGCGCTAGCGATGCTGAGATCCTGGCCAAGTTGGTTCAGAAGAAAGTTAGGGAACGTGGGCATGATCTGAAAGTTGCTTGGATTGAAGGTGACGATGCCACTGGAGCTGTTAAAGCGATGTTGGAAAAGGGCGAAGGCTTCAGAAGCTTGATGCACAACAAATCTGTACAAGAATGGGGTCTGGATCCTGTGTGCGCTCAATGTTATCTTGGTGGTCTTGGGATTGCAAAAGCTCTCACCCAAGGCGCTGATATTGTCATCTGTGGTCGTGTTTCCGACGCTTCTCCTATCATTGGTGCTGCTGCGTAAGTTGGTCCTTCGTCTACTCTTTCACTGTGCTAATATATTTAGATGGTGGCATCAATGGACACCTGATCAGTTCGATGAGCTTGCTGGATCACTCATCATCGGCCATCTCCTTGAATGCGCAGCATATGTCAGTGGGGGTTATAGCGCTGACTTCAAGGATCTCTTGAGAGCCGGAAAACACATCAATTTGGGATTTCCCATCGCAGCTATTGACCATATGGGTCACGCCGTCATGACGAAAGAGAAAAATACTGGCGGCGTAATGACTGTCAATTCCGTCACATCGCAACTGCTCTACGAAATTCAAGGTCCTCAATACTACAACTGCGACGTCACAGCTCAACTCGAAAACATCAAAATCGAGCAAGTAGGTGAAGATCAAGTCAAGATCTCTGGCGTCAGAGGCCTGCCCCCGCCACCAACTACAAAAGTAGGAATTACAGGTTTCGCAGGCTGGCAAGCAGAATATCACGTTTACCTCTGCGGTCTCGACATCGAAGAGAAATGCAAATGGGCAGAAGAACAAATCCGCTACGAACTCGGTCCAGAACTCCTCTCCAAATTCACAACCTTGAAATTCATGCAAAACGGCTCCTCGGTAATCGACGCCCGAAATCAAGACGTGGCTACCGTCGACTTCCGTATCTTTGCGCAATCCAAAGATCGTGAGATTCTCAAAATGCGGAATCCAGATGGATTTTTCCGTCGCGCTATGGTTATGTTTTTACAATCATGTCCTGGCGCATCCCTAGGAAACGATATGCGACAAGCAGAGGGGAAGCCATATTACGAATACCATCCTGCACTTCTCCCTCAATCCGCAATTCCTCAGCGCGTACATCTTCTGTTCGACGCCCCAGAGCCAATTTACACCATGCCACTAGCCCCCAAGTTCACAACCTATGATCGTCAGCAACCTAGCTACGAGACTTCAAACCCGGTAGACCTTTCTACATTCGGACCTACAGTCCGTCTTCCTCTGGGGCGTATAGTCCTTGGTCGTTCCGGCGACAAATGCTCAGATTGTAATGCTGGCTTCTTCGTCCGTCACGACGATGAATGGGATTGGCTACGTTCTTTCCTGACTGTGGCTCGTATCCGAGAACTTCTTGGTCCAGAAGAGAACCATGAGAAACCGATTGATCGGTTTGAGATGCCGAATATTAAAGCTGTACACTTCCTATTGCATGATCATTTGGATAGAGGATACGATGCTTGTAGTACGTATGATACATTGGGGAAGAATGCGTGTGAGTATCTGAGAGCGAGGACGGTGGATGTACCGAAGAAATTTGCGGATAGGGGGTTTGTTTGAATAAGCGAGGTTGTTTGGATGTTCAGATATTGGTAGTAAGGTAATTAAGTAAGTCTAATTTGATTACCACATGCTGCAAATCTCGAAAGCGGGGTACCAAGCCCTGATTTATTCTGGAAATTCAATTCCGCGTGAAATACTCATATAAGATCCAGTCTACAATCTGTTCGCGCAGTGCTGACCTCCATCACATTCGTCCATCTCATCACCCACCACTCAACCGCTATCCATATTCCAAAATGCTTCCCCCAACCCTCCCAAAATACAAAAACCTCTCAATCCCTCCAGGAATGCCGTAAGCACTACTCTACTCTTCTTATTCGTTCCCCTACTAACACTGACCACCAGCGCCCGCACATCCTGGAACCTCTTTTCCACACCCACCCACCAAGACTCCCTCGGCACACTCAACCAGATCACAACTTTTGTAACTCTCTCTGCCGCCTCCGAAATTCGCAGCGGTGTAAGTGTGTCTCTTAACTGGGGACTCGAAAACTTAGATTGTGCGGGCTTTGGACGGCAGAAATTAGAGAGGAAGGTTGTGGATTGGAGGAAGGAGGGGTTGAAAGCTGCTGGGAGTGAAGAGAAAGAAGGAGGTGGTGGGGATGGAGGGTTGTTTAGTTTTGATGATGAACTGAGGTTTAATACACAGATTGGTGAGTGTTCTTTTAGTAAGAAGAGGGGTTGGGATGCTGATGAATGGGGTAGGAAGTCAATGGGATGGTCTACGTAAGAATTATATATTCGATGTCTCCACAACTATTAAAAATTACAGGACACTGGGGCCACTCCAAAACAGGCTTCTACTACCAAGGTATCCACCACAACGACCTCCTCGCTACTCCCCACCTAGGAATCGAACGTAAGTCCCCTTTTACCCCTGGAGACCGCCCTAACCCCAAACCCCAGACATATCCCAAAAAGGCGGTCTTTGCACCCGCGGAATCCTCATAGACTACCCCCTCTACTGCTCTCAAAATAACATCTCCTTCAACCCCATGTCCACCCACTCCATCCCCCTTTCCACCCTCACCTCCATCCTCGCCTCCACATCCACAATCCCGAGAGCAGGCGACATCCTCCTCCTCCGCACCGGTTTCCTCTCCACCTACCACACTCTCACACCCTCCGAACGCACCTCACAAATCACAAACGGCAGCGCCTGGATCGGTGTTCTCGGCGACGAAGCCATGGTCGAATGGCTCTGGGACACTGGCATCGCGGCTGTCGCAGCTGATAACATGGGCTTCGAATGCTGGCCACCTGTGAATAAGGAGTGGATGTTACATGATCACCTGTTGGCGTGTCTGGGGATGCCGATTGGGGAGTTATGGGATTTAGAAGGACTTGCTAAAGAGTGTGAGAGGAATGGGCGGTGGAGTTTCTTTTTGACGAGTGCGCCGTTGAATGTTAGGGGTGGGATTGCGAGTCCGCCTAATGCTTTGGCTGTTTTTTAAAGGGCTTTCGAGGCAGTTAGGTGGTCAGTGGTAGAGGCTGATATAGGGGGTGGGAAACGCAGATCTCGCTTAATTGGATAGGGGGCAGAGTTGATTTGATGCTCCAATGTACACATATCATCCCACGATGAGAGTGAATGAAATACGTGTGATTGTGAAATGAATGATTTCATATTAATGCGAGGATTTAGAGCGATAAGTCTTCATATATAGGAACATCTCACGGGCTTTAGAGAAATAATAGGGTAGACTGGTTTCTTTTCCAGATTCCTATAATATCTTCAAATCTACTATGTAGAACTTGACTAGACACTTAAATCGAAGCTTGACTTTCGTCTAATTGTAATGACTCTATAAAACCACGATAGTAGCAAGGACATACTTGATTATCCAGGTAGGTGGCTCCCATACCACGAGGTCTCGAAAAGAGATTTACAAGACAACCAAGGTGAGATCCACCACCTATACATATGAGGATCTGACCAAAAAAGTATCGGTGTTCTTTACTAATCTATCTTCCCAAATCTTCATAAAATCACATCACCCGCTGATTTCCCACGTGCCCTTACATAATCCTATTGTACTTGGCCCACTACGGTAGACCTCTTCTTTCTACCTCCCTCTATTTCACCCAACAATCGACATCTCCTCAACCCAATTTCCCATGAAGCCAAGTCGTCAAACCCACCCTCTCATAGCAAGCTCATTCCTCATCCAATCCAAATGGACATGTCGTCTCGGCCACTTTACCCAGACGCGCCCCACAAAAACACCATGTCCAACGCATCGGCACCCAGCGTTGTCACGCGCGTTAAACCCGATACAGCAGACAACAAGTCTGGTACGGTGTACGTTGCATTGCATTTGCATCTTGCATCCACGTATTTTAATTCCGACTTCTGTGTTCCTTTCTTTCCTGCTTTATTCGGTATTTTCTATTTTGTGAAACATTTTTCAACATGTCTACATCCAAACCAATCGTGCTTCACATCGGTGACCCAATAGCCTGGAACCATGTACAATACGAGACGTTCTCGTCTAAATTTACTGTGATCCGACCTAGTACCGAGGAACGACAGCGCCCTGCGTTTATTCAGGCGCTGCGTGAGAAGCGGTGGGGGGAGTTCAGTGCGATTTTTAGGCCGTTTTGGAATACGGGAGGGGAGATGGGGATGTGGGATGAGGAGTTGATTAAGGAGGTTCCGGAGAGTTGTAGGGTGTTTGCGAGTGCTGGGGCGGGGTTTGACTGGGCTGATGTTAAGATTTTGGGGGAGAGAGGTATGTTTAGTTTGAGTGTTAAAGTTTGATTTATACATTATGAGATGAGACTAATTTCAAGATAGGTATAATATATTGTAACAGGTATGAATACTCTATCAGTACTAAACTTCATTTTTTCGTCCTTGTTCAACTCGGTTCCTTTCCTTCTGAAAGCTCAATAGCCTCTCAGAAGTCCTTCGATAACCTGTACTACTTACATCAAAGATGTCTTCCCATGTCATGTTCTATTCTTTTTCATATTTCATTCCTCATAACCTCTCATCACACTTGAATCTCCCTCTCAATCTCCCAATTCTCCAATCCTCTCATCAAACTCACATTTCCCTCACCACTCTCACCTAATCCATTCTATCATCATTTCTTCCACCTAGTTCAATCAACTCACACGCCCCAGCGCAGCAGCCTCCTCCGAATCCGTAGCCGACTTCGCAATCTTCCTCATCCTCGCCACATTCCGCAACCTCCAATGGTGCACAACCGCCTCCCTCACCCCCTCAACATTCACAGACTGTCACACCAACGCCGCCATCCTATCTCACAACCCACGCGGTCACACGCTTGGTAAGTCACCTTTTCAAATAACCATAATCCCAGAACCACACATCTCACAGGCTTTCTTTACATCTCATTACCGGCTCATCTCCACCCCAAGCCCTTCCCTAACAAACCCACAGGCATCATAGGCCTAGGAAACATCGGCCACCTCCTCGCGCAAAAAGCGTTCTCAGCTTTCGGAATGACCATCCACTATCACGACATAATCCGCAAACCCACTCTCGAAGGCCCCCTCGACGCCACCTACCACGCAGATCTCAACGCCATGCTTGCCCTCTCCGACTGCGTCGTGCTCGCCACGCCCGCCAGCCCCGATGGACGACAATTGATCGATGGGGAGAGGATCAAGCATTTTAAGATTGGAAGCCGGTAAGTCGTACCCAATAAACCATTCATCGAGGATAAGGTAGATTGATGTTTGGAATAGTTTCATAAACATAGCCCGCGGCTCCCTCGTCTCCTCCACCGCCCTCGCCGACGCTCTGGACGCCGGAATCCTAATCGGATGCGGTCTCGACGTGCACGAACACGAGCCAGCCATCGATCCACGATTAATCGGGCGGAGAAACGTGACGTTGACGGCGCATAACGCGGGTGGGACTTTAGATACGTGAGTTCTCCTTAACCCTTATTTATTTGAGCAAACAACTCGATAAGAGAGAAGCTGAAGCGAAACTAGACACATCGGCTTCGAATCCCTCAGCATGAAAAACATCACCGCGGTATTAACCGGCCAAGCGCCTTTGACGCCTGTGAATCTGCATTTCCTTCCGTCGGCTTTGAAAGAGAAAGCGAGTTTGTAAGGTGTAGAGGGTGGGAGCTGGGGGGGTTGGGGCGAAAGATTCGATTCTTCAACAAGATGTTATTTAAATTTCTACAGTTTAGAAACGAGATGGGTTTAATTTTAAACATGCGTGTTTTGGTATACGCTCAGAATGAAAGGTCTTTGCACTTATGGTATGTCGAACTATAATAGAAATGTTTTTAAGTTGTTTGCGTGGTAGCAGGTGGGGAAGATAGGTAAAGTACCTAGGTAAAATGGGCGTAGTGATGAAATCGTTAGTAGATTCAGGGCTGTCGACTGAGCTAAAGCCACATATGTCTTTTGGGGTATCTTACGGGTATGCTCCTATTCCTGTCTCGCTTATTATCACTCTGACCTCTTCACTCAACAATACCTATCAGTCAAGTCAATCCCACATTCTCAAGACCTCACACAGCATCAGAAACCACCAAGTCGTATAAAAGTTTGTATTAATCCCCACATAACCCTCTCAATCCCAGAGAAGTCAAAGTTTTTAATGTACACCCCTCACCCCCCATTCCTCATCACCTAACCACCAATTCCACCCAGCATGATTCGCAATGCAAGAAAATAATACACTTCACATCCCTATCCTCTGAAAAAAAAAATGAAAATATACAGCAATGTCTCGAAAGACAAAGCAAAAAGAAAAGAAAGCCAACGCCAAATCATAGAATCATATGCCAGACTCTCCCCAAACCGTAAGCCGAAACTCCCAGATCGAGCAAGCAACCGTGTGATGCTCGAGCGAATAAGAAAACGCCGTTCTTGTAATATGTGATGCGATGACAAACGAAAAGCCAATGCCGTTACAGTCTCCTTTTCTTCCAAGATGCAGATTTTATGGTTCGTCAACAAAGAATAGATCGATCTCGTCCTCCAGCTCTTCATAAGGACGCCACTTGGCTGGTTCATCCTTACCTCTCTCCTCTGTTTCTCGATCGGGATTTTTCTCCTTCTCTTCTTCCGCGCCATGAGTGAGATCGTTGAACATCTGTGCTACATCTGCACCGCCCGATGGTCCAGCACCACCCGCGAAGGCATCTCGCATGGGACTGTCACCACCTGGTCCCAATGCCACCGAGTCCATCCGACCAATACCGGCTTCGTTGAACATGCCTGGTGCACGAGGACTGGCTGATGATCCAAAAGCTGGACTAGGGAGACCTCCTGCATGCATGAATGCGTGTGGCGCAAATGCCGGGGATGTGGCGCTCTGGGGACTCATAGTGAAATGTGGATCGTGAGAGCCAGCGTAGCCTGCGAGATTTGTCGGATGGTGACTAACATCAGAAGACATGAGGATTGGACCACTGTGCATTGAAGCAGTGCCAGCAGGGAAGGTATGCGATGTTGGTGTTCCAGAGTCAGATCGTCCTGGTGCTGGTTGCAAAGGCTGTGGACGTGACGAGGATGGCTCGCTGGACTTGCGCTTGAATTGATGAGGCTTCGTTCGAAGACTCTGCGGGAGCTGCTCGGGGTCGTCTACACCATGTTGTGCCATAAGCTTCTGTAGCTTTGTTGGTCTTGGTTTTCGAGTAGACTTGGAGTTTTCCAACACTGGCGGTGGCTCGGGAGCGACTGGAGACCACTTGTGGAGTTCTTGTCTGAAGAAGTTTGTCTCAAAGGCAAGCAGAATCTCTGCACCTTCGATCTTGCGAAGATAAAATCTCTGCGTTTCACATTCATCTGCTGTGGCCATGACTGGATTGCAAAATGGTGCAACATGCGATCGGAACTCCTGAGCATTATCAATGATCTTCGAAAGAATATCCTCTTCATCTGGCTGAAATGGAAGTGTGGCAATCTCATCTTGCCAAGCTTGTAGATCTTCCAACTTCGGACGAGCTGCATCTCGAGGAATCCGAACTCGCCAATCACAGATAGGACAAGTATATTTTTCGTCATCCTTGACCTTGCCGCGAGCAATCTTGAGACATTTGCCGTGATACCTGTAATTGTTAGTACTGGTAGATTGTAGACGGAATGGAGACTCACCATTCATGACACAATTCACATTCTATCATCATACCTGCTTCGATACGTCGACAAATGCAGAAGACTTCACGAAATCTTGGATCCTCCCAGCTATGCAACTTGGCTTCAGACGGACTTGGCTCTCGTGATGCAGGTTCAGCTGGCAATCTTGGCTTGTCCGCGTTAATATCGAAGCAGTCCACATTGCGCTCTAGTACATATTCCATGTGAGATTTCAATATGTGAAGTGGAGCATTAGCCTTTCCGAAAAGCTTCTTTCCTTTTCGCATCCAGTCTTCATGCCGCTTTTGTTCCTTTTCCAGATCCAGCGTCCCGTTGGGCTTGCTATTCAACTCGGTCAGATTTTCCATCGTCTCGCGTACTTCGGCATATTTGGGTCGCTTCAATGGATCCTCCTCTCGACTGCGCTCGTACAACGACACGATCTGTCGATGGGCTTCCCTTTGTTTGTTGAGGATTTGTTCAACTTGTGCCAATGTTTCAGGAGAAACAGGAAGTGCAGCTGCTTGAGCTTGAGCGGAAAGCGCTTCAAGCTGAGGATAATGTACCACCTCGGCAGTAACCAATTCCTTTGCCTTTTCCTCCCACTGCAACCCATGACTTCTCTGCTCTCTGTAATGAATCAGATAGTCATTGAACTTGGGAATCTCAAGCTTGTCGCCCTCTTCGATAAGATCAGAGACTTCTTTCAAAGTAAGAAATTGGCCACGATTATCGCGAGCCCTATCGTTCCACTTCATCTGCTGCACAATCTTGTCAATCTTGTCAATCTCCGGCATATCGACATTGTATCCCTTGCCAAGTTCTAAAAGCTCTTCAAACTCAGAGGTTTGATGAAGTAAAGGGTTTGCAATGGCAGAACGAGCGTCTTTCTGGAATTTGTCAATTGCCTCCGCCCGCTCTCGTAATTGAGTGATCTCGGGACAGTCAAATCCAATTTTGTCAGCGTCTTTCAACAGTTTCTTGACGTTCTCGACCTTTCGAAGTTCGCGATCTCGCTCCTCCATTTCCGCAGCTTTGCTTCCTTTTCGCCAAGCCTTTTCATTCTTACGACGATTTTGCTGTTTGCGCACGATGTAATTGGTCGCTTCTTCTACCCACTCATTACATCGCTCGACGAAAGACTTTAACGTAGGTAACGATTTGAGAGGATATGGTATGCGCTCACCCTCGTTGAGTAACGCTCGTAGGGTTTTCAATGGTGGAGTAGGATCTTCCTCCAAAAGCTTTTCCACCTTTTCTTCCCATTGCTCAGGTAACTGGGCCTTCTCCGCCACCTTTTGATACATTCCTTCAATGGCTTCTGCTGTACGACGGTAATGCAAGGTGTGGCCCTTTCCAGCTTGGCGTTCTTCTGCAGACATTGTGCAACAATCATATGTTCCGGCATGCAGCATGCACATGACCTTTCCACTTTCGTCGCACTTGAATCTGGACATGTACGCGTATGCCTTGCAATAAGTGCACTGATATTCCTCTTCTGGAACGTCTTCCTCGTCGATTACAAAACCAAGCTGGCACTTCGGGTCATCCTCACCGACTGTGTCGGTAACAGCGCATGGACCTTCGTGTTTGTGTTTATCCAGATACAGCTTTCGCTGAACGATTTCACGATCACGAAGTCGTTCCAGAGCAGGTGCCAACCATTTTGCAGTCTGAATGGTGACCGCACCACTGGCCCCTTCGGCGGCTGTCCATAGTAGCTCATCGTGCGAGAAACATGGTTGACGACGGAATTGCTGTAGCCGCTCGACACCAGCATCGCCAAAAGGTTCCCAGTCGTTCGGGGCGAAATTGACAGCTTCGTTGAAATTGAATCCATGATTGAAGCCGGCGTGGTAAGCTTGAGGGAAGGTAATGACAAGTTGGCCAGCTCTTTGATCCAGGGCGTAAACCCGCACACCAGCTTTCTTCAGCTGCTCGGGCGTCAACAAAGTAACCAACTGGAAGAGCAAATCGGGCTGCGTCTCGAACAACTCCGGAACAGCATCTCGCATAGCGGCTTCGAACTTTTCAGCATCTTCACCAGGAATGCCATACCACGTTTTGGTCGCACCAAAATGTTGGTAATTTGCAGAATATGCGTAATGATCTTCATTATGCCAGCAGAAAGTTGAAAAGATCATGCCAACATACAGCCATGGAACAGTCATACCAGAAATGTCGGATTTGATGTGACGGAAGAGGGAGTCAGGATGATACGGCAGGATGTTCAGATTCCAAGGATCGGTGGAATATGGATCCTGTGGGTTCTTTTCGATGGTTGGGAAGCCGCTGCCATGAGTGGTAGAATGAATATCAGCACCGTACTCAACCTCCACAGTTTCTTCCAGACTAGCAACGAGTCGCCAGAACTCCCGCTCGATATCATCCTCCGTAACAGGTCTGGAGCAATTGAGGACCGGATCGAATGGCATTTTGTTTTGGAAGTAACCCTCCTTGAAATCGGCAGCCTTCTCTTGAAACTGCTTCAACGAGTAAATACCACCTTCCTCGAATCCGAATTGCCCGTCGCCAACAAGGCATCTAGGACAATTCCAGTCGTAGTCTGGTCTTGCTGCAACTGGAGGATCGAGACACTGCATGTGGTATCCATGGTCGCAGGATTCACAAATTAACAAGTTGCCCTGCTCATCAGGCTTGGCACAGTGTTCGCACTTCTGAATAAGATTTGAATTTAGATTTGAAGATAACATGTCAGTATTAGATTTGCTTACCTCGCCAGGAGCTGAGGATCGATGTTCACCAGGAATTCTGGGTGGTGTTGGTCGGAACAAGGTCATGTGAGACCCAGCGACGGTTGGTACCGAATCTGTGAATACGTCAGCCATCACTCATCATTATCAAGTCCGGAGCTCCAGGACAAAGCCAGGAATGAACACCACAATATGGAACATAGAGGATGAACATAATGAAAAACATACCTTTCTTGAGTCTCTTACTTCGTCGCCCGCTGTTCTCGGCATCATCAAGTGGCTGACTACCTTTCCGCGAACGTGAATCGATACTATCATGACTTAATTGACGTTTCAGGATAGGATTAGACGTAAAGCCATTTACGACCGGTGCAGAACTGAGTGCCGATGGGCGATATTCTGGAGTATTCTTTGCGGAAATGACCGGACTGTCAAACGGAGGTCGTCGAGGCGGGGTAAAACTGCGCTCTTCACGTTCCCGATCACGCCGTGGAATGTTGACCGGAGCGAATGTCGCAGGAGCAGCATTGACCGGAGTAAAACCCCCAGCATTCACAGGCGTGAATCCAGAAGTCACTGGTGGAGCTGGTGCTGGCGTTTGTGGAGGTGGAGGAGGAGTTGCTGCAGCTGCTGGCGAGTCGAGCATTGGAATGTTCTTCATGGTACGCTCAAATTCGTCTTTCATTGAGGCGTTCAAGGCATCGTGAGCTCGCATCGCGGGTGATTCTCCTCTCAGACTCGAGGGAGTATTTTGATATGATTTCTTGAGTGGGGAGTTTGCAGGTGAAGGCGTAAGAGGTCCTCCGTATTCAAACTCCAGTTGTTGGTGTACACCAGGTTTTGCCAACCGAAGATATTCCTCGTATGGAAAGAGCCATCTCTGGTAAGAATTCTTGAGCGATGTCGACAGCGATGACATGATCTTCCCGCTGTATCCCAAGTCTCGTCCAATCTCGGCCCATTTCTTCAACTTGCACACTTTTTCGAAACCACCTCTCTGCTCGACGGCTTTCTTGAGCTTGTATAGGTCGAGAGGCCGTTTGTCGACACTTGGGAAGCGATTGAGATTTGTGCCATGCTGTTTATGGAATTTTGCTAGCTGATCGAGGTATGTGAGGTTTGCACGCGTACCTAGAGTTGTGTCAGTATACCGAACGAGTGTGTTATGGCCGGTCATGCGGATCTTCGCATATGTTGTCACTTACTGCCTTCGACTGAGTTCAGTTCCTGCTTTCTGGTTCGGAAATGAAAACGCTGTAAGAAGTCAGCGTATGCGGATAGAGGTCTCCCCGTGTGAAAAATGCATCGTAGTCTCAGGATTGAAACTTTGTGGGAGTGCATCGAACACCGCAGGGCGTACGTACCTCTGTATCGATTGCAAACTCAGGGTTCCACACGCCAGGAAGAATAATCTTGCATATACCATATTTCGAAGCCTCCGGTTCAATCTTCCTGATGTATGCGAGAGGATCTTTAAATTCTTCCTCGGTCGGTGTGTAGGCTGGTGCCTCTTCTAGGCCGTGTGGGCGAATTCTCTTCGCAGCCTCCCGACTCGCCGTTGGCTGTCCCCTCCTCTCCACACTGGTCAGATCTAATGGCAGAGAGTGCATTGCGCTCAAAGGCAACGGAGCAGCAGCAGGATTGTTCGCATTTCCGTTTACTGTCGGCTTTCCTCGTGTGGAAGTCGCCGTGCTGGCCGTAGCACTGGCGGGCGAGGCTCGCATCGTGGTGGTTGAGGCCGCCGTGGCCATTGGGACTTGAACCATCGCGACGGTGTATGTTAAGGAATGTAGGTCGGAATCGCTTCGACGAGGTATTGATGCATCCAACTATCGTTCGTTCGTCGTAGTCATCGAAGGTGGTGTTCTCGCAGACTAGATATCAACCCAGCAGAATCGGATATGTTGGCCGACAGCCCCCTCCGCACATGGACTGAACGAGAGATAAAACCATGCACTGGTCGAGGTCACTTTCTACCGCATATGCGTCGTTGACTGGCTCGATCGATATCTTCGATTGATTTTTCTCGGGGCTCGAATGTCGAGCGTGGTGTGCTGGTCGAATATGTCAGATTCCAGCTTGCGTATGCGGAGTGGGTGGATTGATATTGGGGAAGTTGAGTTGGGAGAAACGGCGAGGCAGGATGGCTGTGATCAGCCCAAATGGGCCAGAATGGAGCGCCGACTAGTGAACCAGCGGCAGAAATCCGCACGTCAGAGCCCTGTACTTCTCCCCAGATCGGGTCTGGGCGGTGCTGCTAGTGGTGCAAATTTTATTACATTTGTGATATTTATTGTATTTGCTTGAAGCAATTCACTGGTAGAGCTGTATGAGGTTCACTCCTTGGAAATAATCCCCTTCCCTCCTCTTCTTTGCATTTGCCATCCCCATCTTTTTGGGGGTGGTTCTTGGTCCTGGGATCTCTGGTTTTGGCGATTGATACCGACAGGGATAAGCGTCGACCCGAACCCACCTGTGTTCGCTTACGCACCAATGAGCATGACTTGACGTTGAGATTTGGTGCATCTGGACGGATGTGTCGAATCATGGCCGTTGCTTTTGATGAACACATCGGGCGATCCGACTCACCGAGGAAGGGTTGCATTTCTTTGTCACGCCAATTCACCGTGGGAAGGGAAAGTGATGGGGTGAGGTCAGATGAGGTGAGATACATGCAGCTATAAAGAGTCAAGTACATATAATGTAGTCACTTCTGTAGAGGCTTTGGCAGCATTAATCCAATTTGTTTTTGTCGGTACAACTTACCCTTGGATATGGATGCCTCAGGCCAATATAGATTTTGTGTGTTGCACCAGATCCCACGCCGCCCTTCCACCCTCCACCCTCCACCCTCCACCCTCCTGCATGATCTCCCGACGCCCATGAATTCTTAAAATAACGTGACGATAACCGAACTTCCATCGGCTCGGAAACCTCCAATCCACGTCAACACCAGACAGAGCCTCATTGTCTCATCCAACGACAACCGATGCCTCTGGACCGTCCTATCCCTGCATTCTACTGTTGTTATCTTCTCAGATCAACAGTATCTCGTGTGAGTGTCTATGTGGGCTCAACTCCAAATCCAGGTGAGAGAGATGTTTGCCCCTGTGTTGTTTTGTTTATGCTCACCCCTGGATAGTCCGTCGGCTCAGACAACATAATGGTTTGGCGAAAGGAGGTGCCGTACGTACGGCCAGGACGAAGCTGAGACCTTGGGAGATGACTTGTATTGTTACCGGCTTCCCAAGTCATATTGCTGCTCTACAATTCGAGTAAGTAGTCGCTTGTTTTCGAGGAGGGTCACGTGAAATTTGTCGATTGAGTCAACCTGCGAACGCCATCTATTCGTGGCCACTGTGCACCCTGAGTCATGCGTTCATACTTTATCGTTGAATGCCGATATCATTCGGTATGCACAGCATGATAGGTAGTTCTGACTGACATCTTCTAGATGGGCTTGGCAGAATCCCCACATCACACTACATATTGCATCTGAAGAACGACTTCAGCATGCTACCCAAAAGAAGAGATCAGGCCATCCTAAACGACCACGGCACTCCGTCTCGTCGCTGCTATCCAATCTCCATCTTCTCCTACGCTCGCCTTCTTTCTCACGATGGCCTCTGGAAATCAGATTCTTTTCCAAGACAGTCTACCAGGCCTGGGTGAGATGGACCAAGACAGTAAAGGATCCAATCCAGGACACCATTCGGATAATCAAAGATTTTCCTGAAGGAGGAGGCAAGGGCTCTGACGATGAAGACGCAGAAAAGGGGACCAGCAATGCCATCATATACCGCCGCATGGCCAACCTACCCATCGATTACGAAGCTCAGAAAGGGCATGTCGAAAAAGCTCAAGATATGGTAGACTTTGAACGAGAAGGAAGCTGTAAACTTTGCAAGCAAGATCTCGAGCACTCTAGTGGTCTTTACATCATTTGTCCGAGCATCGGTTGTGAGACGGTCACTCATATGACTTGTCTGAGTAAGCATTTCATCGAGAAGCAAGATCAGGACGAGCTTGTGCCGATAGTTGGAAAATGTCCGGGTTGCAATTCGGAACTTCGGTGGGTGGATCTTGTCAGAGAGTTGAGTCTTCGGATGAGAGGGCAGAAAGAGGTGCAGAGCCTTCTAAAGGTCAAGCGAGTTAAGAAGGGGAAAGACAATGCGCTGTCGCAGACAATTGTTGACTCGTCTGATGACGCTGAGGATGAGGAGGACGACATCAATGAAGAAATGGATACGATGCAAGACTTCGCGTCACAAAGTGTCGCAGCACCCCTCGGCGACAGCTGGCACATGGCCTGCGACCCCGAGGAGTCTGACGCAGAATCTATTGCATCATCCTCCTCTTATTTGAAAACCTCAAAGATAAACGCTGGACCCAAACAAAAGCCAATACCGACCCTACACAAGACTATCGAAGACAGCGATTGGGATGATGCAGAAATTTTGGATTGAAACAGTTGCGTGAAAGTTGACCTTATTTCGATACCCCTGGATACAATATGAAACCTTATTACCACCCTTACCCGTGTTTCTTGGACAATTACTCACCACGTTGGGCATTTACAGTTTGATCAACCAAGGAAAAACGAAGCTATTATCAAACTAAAAGGAGCGATTAGTGGCCTTGACAACAACAGAAAGAGGCAGCAAAGGCCGAAGCGAAAGTGAAGAACGACAAAATCCTAGCCGCGATGAAACTTTCACACACAGTGGAATTTGTTGAATGTTTGTCGTTGTACATCCACTTTCTTCAGATTCAATTGCCGATCCGTGCTAGGTGTCAGTGTCACTTGAAAAGGGCCGTTTGGATATCCGCAACCGATCAACCCCGCATCTTCCTCCGCGATTCATCGCTCTTCTTCACAAAACCCCAGTGCAGAATTATTTACGAGCATAAATTCCTCGCTAGTTGCCTCAGCTGGGAAATTTTACGATCAAGTGGGGAAAGCTAACGGCTGGTGCGGAGACCCCACCCCCATCTTTTGCACCGCTGCCGGGGTAAGAGCGAAACTAGCTTTTGGCAAACACTTTTCCCGGGACACCTTTAACATTTTGGCAGAGGATTAGGAGCCGAAAAACTGCCGCGGTGACAGGTTTCATGGTCTAGGTCTTGTTCTATATCTGCAATTCGATTTAGTTTGCCCAGAGTTCTCCCGTTTGACGTGTGAGGGGCTGGCAATTACTGTGGAAGAATTGATAGACGTCATGGAGTTGTATAAGAATGCTTCAATCGCTCTTCAAGAATTTTGGTCATCGACAGAAATTCCCAATACCATGTTGTCTTCTTTGTTCGGACTGTGTGCTGTTGCTGGAGTATGTTTGGCTACTCCGAACCCTAACATACATGCACATACTAGCCTGCCGTCAGTGACAGTTAAGAATGGCTCATATTCTGGTGTCTACAATCCTACCTACAATCAAGATCTTTTTCTGGGAATTCCATACGCTCAGGTTAGTCCCACGGAAGATGGTGAAGAGCTAGTCTGACTTAATTAGCCCCCAGTTGATGATCTTCGCTTCCGCGTACCACAAAGCTTAAATGCTTCATGGTCGGATGTTCGTCCAGCAACTGCCTACTCGCCCTTTTGTGTCGGCTATGGTGGCGATGATCTTGGCAAAGAATTGGCAGAGGATTGTCTTTACTTGAGCGTCATACGGCCGAGTAATATTCAACCCAATGCTTCTTTACCGGTAGTAGTATGGATCCATGGTGGTGGACTTTTTATGGGTGGCTCCAACGATGCTCGTTACAATTTGAGCTTTCCCGTTCAGAATAGTGTTGACATGGGAAGCCCAATGATTGGTATAAGTATCCAATATCGTCTCTCCGGTTGGGGTTTCTTAGGCGGCAAAGAAGTTTTGGATAATGGAGTTGCAAACCTTGGATTCCGAGATCAACGGTTGGCTTTGCATTGGGTTCAGGAGAACATTGCTGCTTTTGGTGGAAATCCGCAGAAGGTCACCATTATGGGCGAGAGTGCTGGTGCACAAAGTGTTGGAGCACATCTTCTTGCTTACAATGGTTTGTTGTCTCTCAAGCTCTCACGAACCACGCTGATATGATCTAGGACGTGACGATAAGCTCTTCTCTGGTGCCATTGCAGAAAGTGGTGGACCTGGCGTGATGTTCTTTAGCACTACCAACGGAACAGGATACAACACTACAGCATATCAAACTAGTTACGACACTATCGTAGCCTCGACTGGATGTGGCAACACTACTACAAACACACTTTCTTGTCTTCGTGCCTTACCTTACGAAACACTAAACGCAGCGCTCAACTCCTCAATCCCAGGCGTCGGGCCCTTCCCACCAACAATCGACAACGACTTCGTTTCAACCTACCCCTCCATTCAACTCACCTCCGGAAACTTCGTCAAAGTTCCCCTCCTAATCGGCACTAACACCGACGAAGGCACCGCCTTCAAACCCGACGTTTCCGTAAACACAACCACCCAATTCCTTTCCGTCCTAAACGCTACCCTCTACCCAGCACCCCCATCCACCTCCACAATCATCTCATACCTCTACCCTAATATCCCCGCCATCGGCATCCCCTCCTTCCAAACCTGGCCCTACGCCCCAAACTCCACCATCGCCATCGCATTAGGCGCCCAAATTCGCCGTCTACAAGCCTACTTCGGCGACCTCGTCGTCAACGCCCCTCGTCGCGGCGCGAACCACGCTTGGGCAGCCCACGGCGTGCCCTCATACTCCTACCGTTTCGACGTCACCGTCACCGGGAACCCACCGTGGGTCGGGGCGACTCATTTCCAAGAAGTCGCTTTCGTGTTCAATAACACCCGCGGTGAAGGCTACGCCGTAAACCCATTCTCGAATCTCACGGCCGCGCAGACGCTGGCGTTTGACGAGTTGGCGCAGCACATGAGTCGCAGCTGGGTGAGTTTTATTGTTCATGACGGGGATCCGAATTGTCATGGGCTTAAGGGGAAGGTTCTGTGGCCGGTTTATGATACGCGAAATGGGGCGTTAGGGCAAAATATTGTGTGGAGTGCGAAGGGGAATGACTCGGCTAGTCTGGGGAGGGTGGAGGTGGACGATTATAGGATCGAAGGGATGGATTTCATCGTTAAGAATAGTTTGGCGGTATACGGACGGTAGACGGGAAGAAATATGCTCGAATACGTGATTTTCTGGGGGGATAAAGTTGAGATGTTGAATTCCAAAACCCTGAATATAAAATTTTGACGGGACGTCGGAGTTGCTGTGTCGGATTTTTGAAAATTGTTGTTTTCAGATTGTGTACTGCGATTACTTGATTTTATTTTGATGGGCTTGGGTTTGGGTTTTCTTAGGGTGAGCTGGTTTGCACTTCCCACTCCCGCGCATTTTATCCGATCACATAACGTACAACGGAGGAATTTGTCAACGAAGACTCGATTGTAGAAATAGAGCTTTCAAATTCCACCGATCTAGGCTCTCTCATTCGAAGGGGTTGCTGAGACATAGGATTCTTGCTAATGGATTCTGCCGTGGGAATTGAGCATTGCTTTAAGGATTCTGGACTGTTCAGACCGAATGCGTGAAGTGTCGAGCTCCAGGAAACTCATGATCAATGTCATTCTGATGAAAAAGGAAATGGCATGTCGCTGAAATAACATGAGAAAACGGGTAATAAAAAGAATGAAACGAACGTTCGAAGAGTTGTGAGGTGCGTGTACTTCAGATTGTTGGTAAAAACAAGGACGGCGTGTCCAACCCATGTCTAGTCGATTTGGAGATCACGTGACGATAAATGCTGGATTCCCGTAAATTATCACAATCATCTTCCTCTACGACTCACATGATTCAGATCTCAAATCTCAAATCCTAACACTTCTTTATCATATAAAAACTTATCTCACATTCTATCCTCCCAATCTCCACCAAAACTCCTCAAACCACCACCCCAAACCTAATTGGCCACTTCCAACGCCACAAACCAACACGTCATACACAGCCCCAACACGCCAAGCGCGTTGACATTTCAGCTCACCTCAAACCAGGACGGAGGAGGACTTTATTTTGACCTCACTTGCAACATCTCACGATACTTCGCGACATTTTAGGATATCTACGACGTTTACGCAAGCTTCACGATCTTTAGCTTAAGAGAATACTGAAAGGAAAACAATAGAAGGACGATATTAAGATGGCGCCAATCAATGAACAAAAGCCAATTGAGCTTAATCAACCTAAGAGTCAGGCTTCTATGGGTATGTTTTATATCTTCATCATTCTCTGTCTACCTCACACCCCTCATTCTATCCCCCCATCCCCACCCATCCTCCCCTCTCTCCATTCTCTCACCCTCATCCCCATCCCCATCCCATCCCCCAATCTAACACCCCCACAGACCTCACCCCTTCAACCACAACCAACAACTCCCAAACACAACCATCCGCGCACCAGCAAACCGCCCAAGAGCAAGAAGAGATGACTCTTCGCGGTGGAGAAGCCTGTCCGGGACGTTTCTGCTTCATCATCCCATGTCCTATCCCGTGTAATTTTTGCGTGTTTCCTTGTCCTTGTTAGGGTGCTTCGGGCAGGGAGGGAGGGGGAGGAAGTGGGAGTAGAGATAGGGGGAAGGGGAGAGGGGAAGTGGAATGGATGCGATGGAATGGGAATTGAGGGCGGGTGGGGGAAGGAGAGATGAGAAGAAGAGGAGATGAGAAGAAGAGGAGATGAGAAGAAGAGGAGAAGAAGCTTTTAGGATATCGAGAAAACGAGCGTATGTAATAAGAGCGATTTAAGATGAGAAATGTAGCGGGTTAGGATATATATTCACGTCACGTGAGACGATTTTCAATCCGATTTATCAACAGTGTGTTAACACACATTCTATCATTTCAAGCTCATCTATCTACCTCCCTCTCCCCCCCCCCCAACTTTCAAACCCTATAAACCCATCTACATCCCATTCTGCGCTTTAAACTTATCCCAACTCTCATTCAACGTCGCAAACACCAATCCAGCAATCATCCTCGTCTCCGTCGTCGCATCTTGCGCAATCTATCACAAATCAGCATTACTCGCAATTCAACGGCGATTCAAACATACCTTATCAGGATGACACTTCCCAATCGCCTTCATATAATGAATCTTAACCTTATTCCCCTGCACCAGCTCATGCATACCCACCTTCTTCCACCCGCTCCCCTCCCACATCACATCCTGCAGACTCCCTAGCAGCGCCCTCAAATTATCCCTCTTCCCATCCCTCCACGCGCCAATCTTCGCGTCTACCTTATCAGAGAGAGCGAATTTCTCATCATCAGCACGTTCGGCTTCGATGTTAGCGGCGCGAAGACGAGACACCGCGGCACTATCTTGACTAGGGCCGAGATCTGAAAGCGCGGATTTGACAACGGGTTTCGGTTTGGGTTTAGGGGTCACGGTACGGACCGGCTTTGGTGCGAGGGCTTTTTCGCAGCGGCTGCGACCTTGAATTGCGGTTGCGCCGCCAACATTGCTTTCCACGCAGAGTTTCCATACCTCGAGAGCTTCGCGCCATTTTTCCATTTGCTCTAGTGCTTCTGCTTTTCGCATTAAAGCCTTCCCCCAGAACTCACGCATGTCTTTTTTCTCTGACCCGAGGTCGATGGTTTCGCCCTCGCCACGAGCTGGCCCGATGATTCCAATTGCAGTATCGGCGTCGGTCACTGCTGATTTTGGAATTCCAGTTTTCAAAGAAGTAAGAGCTCGATTGCAGAGCAGGATGATAGATATGGGATGTGATGAAGGAAGGGACAGTAAAGATGCAGAGTATGATTGATGAGCAGCGGCGTAATCTCCTCGCTTAAAATGAGTAGTTCCAGCAAGTCTGTTTTCTGTAGAACTTGATAATGCATGAGAGGATAGCAATGGTATATTACGGGGAGGTGCTTTTGGTCGAGTAGGGATAGGCGTCGAAGGCTTAGACTGTGCTGGGGACGGGCGCTGAGATGGTCGCGACGGTGCTGGCCTCGACTGTGAAGGAACACTGGAGGAAAATAGAAGATCCGGTTCTGGTTCCTGTTGGCGTTGAACAGGTTGAGGAGCAGCCTTTTTTCTCCGCGCAGGACTCACATAAGCCTGAGCTGATTGTTCCTCGACCGCTTGTTTAGTTATACGGGATCGAGGATCTGACGAAACTTGCTGTTGCCAGCGTGGTGCAGCCATTCTGTCGACTGGTCGTGTTGGCATTGCAGGAGAATGATCACGTGAAGATGGTGGTTCTGTGAAGCGAGGTTCAGGGGCCTTCCCTTTCTTAGGAGGAGGTCGACCACCAGATTCAAGCATCAGTGCTTCATCTGTTACTTCAGGTGCCGCAGCTTTTGCCTTTCTTGCCCGAGCTCTATCAGCTTGCTCTCTTTCAGCAGCTTCTCTCATCCACTTTGGCTGACTGGGATCCACATCTTGTTGAAATTCAGATACTGCTTTTTGCACCTTCTTTTGTGAGGTCTTCCATAGAGAGTTTGCAGACTTGAATAAATTGTTACCCATAGCCGCAGCAGTTTTTGCAAGGTCTCCTTCACCACTTGGTAATTTATCTTCTCTCCGGACTTGTGGTCGTTCCTCTTCCTGCATCCAAGACGGCTTTTGCTCTCTCCTGCTTCCATTACGAGATGTATCTCTGGTACCACCATTCGAGGAAGATCCATTGTTTCGACTTGAATCTCGCCCTTGTTGTTTCTTCTTCGCCTGGCTATGTGCATCATTTAGAATCCAGCCCACGGCAGCTTGAACATCCAGACCAGAGCCACTTTCCGTTAGGGCTCTTCGCGATTGTTCAGCTGAGAATCCCATGTCAACAAGTTCGGCAACCACTTTATCCCAAGGATCGTCAGATTCGGATTGAGGTTCTGGCGTCCTGGTCACTTCAGGTAGAGCAGGGCTTCGTCGCTTGATTTCTTCTACTGGTTTTCCCAAGTCCCCCAAGAAGTCATCATCGTCTGCTGGCTGTGTATTTTGTGGCATGGCCCTACTCGCTGGCTTCATAGTCCCCAATCCGAAAGGATCATCATCATCACCAAATGCACCGCTATCCAAACCACCTGTTGGCTGTTCCCAAGCCTGCGGGTTACTTAAATCCGTAGTTTTCGACACTGTAATTCCCGGTGTATGCGTCCGGCTCGTTGACGCGGCAGGAGGTGGATAGAAACTCGAATTGTCAACCTTTGTATCCTTATTGAAAGCTGCGAACAGATCATCGTCTCCCGGACTAGGCGCGTTTCGTGCATTTACAACCGGGGAGCTCGCCCTCGCAAAATTGGCCGGTAAAGGTTTTGGAAGTGGAGTGTTGCTTCGCGACGATATTGTAGGTGTGAGTGCTGGGCTGATTGTCCTACTACCTAGACTCTCCCAACTCTGCGCGCCTCCAAATTGTGCATCGTATTGCCTCTTCTTCTCTTCATCCTGCCTTCGCTTTTCGGCTTGTAGCTTTTCGTGTTGCTGCTGCAAGGTAAGTGTACTTGCTTTGGAGGAACCAAATGATACGAGATTCGAGAAGAGGTCTGGAGTTGGGGATTTGACTGGAGCCGCGAATGCAGAAGTTGTGGATGATTTGGATAGACCAGAAGCTTGATTCGAGAGAGGCGTCGTCCGCCCTGAAAGTTGAGGAGGTGGAGTCGGCCGTAATGAAGGGTAGTAGTTTCCAGTTCCCTGAGGTGCTTTTGAGGTTGTTGCGCTTGTAGTTGCGGACCAATCTAACCCATTTAAATCGTCCATTTTGGTGAGTAGAATGTTTCAAAGGAACGCATCAAGGAAAGTGTGTTTTGTCGTAAAGTCATTAGTTCGTTGAAATGAGATGTTTGGAGTTTGATCAGAGCGCGTGTCCACTCCTATTAGGATTGACGACTTACCATATTCATTGCGCAAGTGAATGGTCTGGCCAACGTAGCTCTATGATTAAGCGCAGCGCTCCCGCAACTATAATTAGCGCGCTCTGTCACGTGTCAGTTATCTTCGGTATTCCCTTTCAGCCAGATCAATGTCGCAATATGTCTGATAACCGCAGGCAGAACGAGCTTAGACGGTCTGATCATAGACATTAATATCTAGCATTTCCGTGGACTTGTACATTGGAATGTCACTCATGTGGTTAGACATTGAACGTGATCAGGTTTCCCGATTCGGCATGCAGTATTGTCGAGAATCTACGGAAGCGGCTGATACTTGAGACAATGGCTTCGGCAATTGTTACTGCTAGGAAGGACCTTCGTACTTTCATACAGTACTGCTCGTGGTCCTACACACGCAGACAGCTTTGGATTTCATATTAGCCCTCTAGCATTGAGTAATCAAACCGCGTGAAGTAATGGCTATGATAGTTTAAACACTCGTTGATGCCATTGCGTACAAACACAGTCTTTCGCGTCCCAAACTCGAACCTATTACTCGTTCGAGTTGTCGTTTGGTTGCCCGATATTCCTACCCCTGATTCAAGCGAGGAGCGTACTCGGTACGCGGGGGCGGGTTACATTGTGGCACTTCCAAGTTCCATTTGGGTGATGAATACGTACCCTGATGTATCCTTGAAGAATACGAAAAGACCTCGCATTGTGTCTTCAATAAGGTTACAACTTGATAGGAAATGAAGATCTGATACCACGACTTGCTCTTCAACGACGTACAGAACATCCTCAATGTCTTTTTGACTGAATCCGTTGCGATCAAACAGAACCAAGCCAGCAATATCTACCAGTTTGCGTTCCATTCGGTATTCTTACTTTCAGCTGGACTGGTATGAATGGAGTCGGAATGGACGTACAAATAAGGGGTAACCTTAACCGTCCCCATTGCCAAAGCTTGGGTAGTGATTACCATCCAACCGAACCGCCATCATGCCATGTTCTTCTCGTGGTACCTGCATATCGGTGCTGCCCGTCAATCGAATTATCCATGTCCAATATCCATTTCCCACGGGCCACTCGACTGGGAAAGACTCCGACCCAGCTACGAATAAGACGTCAATATCGCGTCAACCAATCCAGAGCGATCCAACAGAGGTTGGCAGCCGCCACTTGAGCCAATGAAGGAGGTTAACATTCTTTTACCCCAGCAGAACATCGTTCTTCTCCCGGACGGCCTCGCGCGAGAACCACATAGTTGGCGACCGCGGATGAGGGTGTTCTGGATCCGCCATTGTACTGGATGGAGGACTCCGAAGAACGAGAACACAGAGGAAGGTCATTGCAGATATTGCCAAGGAACCATATCCATTGCCCACCATGCCACATTCTAACACATTCCGGATCTGTGAGTTGCTTCCGAATTCTGCTGTCTCTCTCAAAGAAGTCTTGTCTTTTAGCTGCAGCCAGACCAGGTGGAGGTGGTGGGTGGATCTATTGAGAGGTGCAAAAAGGGGACAGACAGGTCAACTAGACAACCATGGTGTAGTGCTGCAGCGCAGAGCGGGAAAACTTTTGCCAAACTCCGCGAGGGAGCAGTCGCGGATGGCAGATGAATATTTTCAATCGTTTACAGTCCTTCAAACTACATCATCATTCATGCTACTATTCCGGACTGCTACAATATTGCTGCACCTATATTCTGCAACTCGCGATAACTAGCTGCGCAACATTCTCTTCAACCACGTCTAACCTATTCCCACCCGACGAGCGTCTAGCTTCCCTACTCGTCCCGCCGCTTGCACCCAACAACCTACGCTTCATTGTTGACCAGTAATTGGAGACAGACGGCCAGAACTCCTGAATACTCCACCTCGAATATTTGTTTATCTAGTGTGCTTAGCGCCACTCAATTCCGCGCCCTACTTCTCCTCCCACCTCGCGACGTGCTTGGGAATAACCTCATTTTCCCAAATTGTGAATTGAACGACGCAGTCAAGCATCAATTCATCAGCACGACCGAGTGAATCGCTGTATACGTTGGTGGTGGCTTCTGGACTTATCCGCTTATCAACCTCAATTGACTCTTTGTCTGGTCTGGACCGCTACAAACTTTTGCTGCACGAACAACATCAACAATTGCCTTGATCGACCCGAAGAACATCAATTGTTCGCTTGTCGAAAATCCTCGAAGATCAATCATCGATCCGCAGTCGGTCGCTTATCATCCAAACATTTCACGATAACACGGCCCCGCTGTGTTCACGAGTCCAACCAACATGGGTCTCTTCTCACGCAAGGACAAGTCGGGCTCCACCACCTCTGGCAGCACTCGAAAGAATTCGTCAAATCTTGGAGAGATACAGTCACAGTCTTCACATTCGCAGTCTTCCCTACGATCCCCCATCACACCGAGCAGCCATAACAAAATGTCCTTTCCACCCATAATTCCAAAAGTTACAATGCCCAAGGCTCCCGATCCACATGTCGACCCAGCAGGATATCTAAGAAGTATCGGAGCGGTGAGAGAGAGATGCTCATTGATGTTGGCAAAGGCGAAGAGCAATCAATTAAATCATTTCGATGTCAACATGGCGGGGTTCAGTGACACCACCAAATTTGTTGTTTCAATTATGAAGGTGCGGGGCATTCCCCCTCCACCCCAATTCTGCAGTATTCTACAAGTGCGCAAGCTGACGTGAGAATATACAGCGCGATTTTGCTCCAGATTATGCCAGTATTCCGCCTCATGGCCGATGGCAACATTTCAACGTTGGTGGAAAGGATCGTATCGAGGAGCTATCGAAGAGCTGGCCACGCGACGTAGATACCTCCGAACGATGTCGCAGATACTTGGATTTGTTCCTTATTTCGGTGTTACTGGATGCAGGTGCTGGAACTTCGTGGTCGTATAAAAGTAATGAGAACGGACGGACATACAGGAGGAGTGAAGGTCTGGCTATTGCGAGTCTGGAGATGTTCAAGGCTGGCAAATTTAGCAGCAACCGACAACAGCCACATCAAGTTGATGGAGAAGGATTGAGAAGCCTGACGGTGGACGACATGCGTGCAGGTCTACAGGTCACCAAAGACAACCCAATTGCTGGACTAGAGGGAAGAACGGAATTATTGCAGAAGCTCTCGGAAGCTATGATGAACCATACATATTTTGGAGCTGATGGACGGCCGGGGAACATGCTTGGTGAGCAGTCACGAAGTATGGCTTGATATATACTAACAGTACTAGATTATCTCATTTCACACCCTACAACCCAAGCTTCGTCAGTTCCTGTTGTACTTTTACCTACCCTTTGGAGTGTGCTCATGGATGGACTTGCTCCAATTTGGCCCGCTTCACGAACTGCGATTGACGGCACTCCGCTCGGAGATGCCTGGCCACTATCAACGATGCCGGCTAATTCTCCTTGGGAAACCATCGTACCGTTTCACAAATTGACTCAATGGCTCTGCTACTCGCTCATGCAGCCAATGACCAAACTGATGCATATTCACTTTGCGGGTGCGGAGCTTATGACGGGACTTCCAGAATATAGAAATGGTGGACTCTTCATTGATACAGGTGTCTTGACGCTGAAAAAGGCTGATGCTAAGAGGGGCCTGGAGAACTTTGCCATCAACAGCGAAAAGGAAGGCAAGAAGGCACTTGAGGTTGTGCCAATGTTCGCTCCAGATGACGATGTCATAGTTGAATGGAGGGCAGTAACCGTTTGCTTTCTAGACTTGCTTCTTGAGCAGGTCAATTCGACTCTAAATCTTAATGGTGCAGATAAATTGTCCTTACCACAGATGCTGGAAGCTGGGAGTTGGAAGGTAAGCATTGTCGATCAATTCTTGTTATTCGAAGCTAATCCATAACACAGGGCGGAAGAGAAATGGCTGAGATTTCAAGACCGAATACTCAATGCCCTCCAATCGCCATTCTCTCCGACGGGACTGTTTTTTAAATTATTGTCACCGGCTTGGTGCTCATCAAAATTACTGGTATCCAGGTGTTACACGCTTTTCCAGCAGGTCCTCTGGATAATAGGACTACTTTAGGGAGGCTAGTGAGTGTTGCTTTTGGAGACTGAATGAAGGATTACTGTGTATTCAGGATAATGGCATAAAGCTAGATACCCTGCCTATAATGAACGATATTAACACGCTTTTCTTGTGATGGGTTCTCGTGCCTGGTGGTGGTACGATGAGTGTGTCATGTGACCGTCTCCCGGGAGTGTGCTGCAACATTGAGTGGTAAGTCAATTTATGCTCACAGGATACACTTGCTGATACGTATCAAATTTCGCCTAGGATAAGTCAGGATTCTCGCTAATGTCTGCTGTGTTGTTCTATCCCGACTTTTACGAAGCTCATCTTTCATTGTGGTTGTATCACGTGACCAGCCTCCTTTGGTGCAAATGGACCCTGTTAGCAGGTGGTTTCTCGTTCCAATCACTCATGGCATTGCGCATATTTTCCCCCACAATTTGCAGCGCCATTTTTTCAACTGCTTAGAGTGCAGACTTACATTCACACCCTGTCGATTGAATCATGATTTCAATATAGCGATGATCTAACATTTTCATATACCACACTTTATAGAGCGTACCTTCAACCGTATCCAGTCAACATTATGTCGACTAACCAGATGACACTAGCGCACAGTGTAGCTTGTAGCTATCTTACGAATCCGGACAGCAATCTTTATTACCACCAGCTTGAAATGTTCCTCCTTTATCTCGCTTAGCTGCAACCGGCGAGAATATACATTTTCGACCACGATACAAAGAAGTATGGAGCTCCGAATAAGGAAATGCTGCGCACAATGGAAGTGGATAAAGAAATGGCATTGGATGACTCTTTTGATTCAATAACTCGCAGCATTTTTATTTTGTTTCCACCTGCTCACAGATTTCTCAGCGAAATTCGAATTGAGCAGCAACTGTCAAATCATGGCTGAAGCAAACTTCTCACGACGAGCTTCTAAAGCGCCGATGCGAAAGCCAGCGACTATAAACCCGCCACCCTATTATCCGGATCGTGCAGCATGGTTCGACGCAACAAAGGCACCAGTAGATAATGCAGGTGAAAATCTCCTCTACTTCTGGCGTGGGATTGGTGCACGAAACGAAGAAATCATTGCCCTCGAGAAAGCTATCATCACACAATTTACCGAAGAAGGCATTTTCGAAGTCGACGACATCACGGACTCCGAAACCCTCACCAAAATGAGTTTGATTATCAATAATCTACTTATAAAGCTACCGCACCTGATTATTTCTTGGCCACAAGCTCCGATCCCGGTCCCATGGCTAGAAGATTGGGTGATGGCTCTGCTCTTGGAGATCTGGTGGAAACGTCAGAAGAGTGCCAAAGACGGATCTGCTTATTTTGGCGTTGCGCTACTACCTCCTGGAACTCACATTGATGATATCTCACCTGCTGAGACTTCTATTCGGGCACCACCTGCCTCGTTGAGAGGTCTTGTGATTTTTAGACTCCTGGTTATGTCAGAGGATTCCAGAACCGAAATTGCAACCGAAGAAATGCACGCTTACAGAGCATTGCCTCCGGATAGTAACAAAATGATCGACACTCACTACAAATTTGACATCCTGCGTCGAGAATTCGAAAATGTACTCAACTCTACCGATGCTTTCAAAGACAACAAAATTAATCTCAGGCACGGGAAGTTTGGCTATGAAGTCCGTAAGCGGTTCAAGGAAATCAAACGACAACAGGATTTCGAAAATGCTGTTACCTACCTCTTCAAAGGATTTAAGAAAGATGGCGCTCTCGAGTTCACATTCTACATGGAGAACAAGAGTGAAAAAGCCATTCGTGAGAGCCGACAAAAGGCTTCGACGAGAGTCAGGAGTCAAAATACTGCGAAGCCAAGTCCAGGTCCTCAATTCTTTTCGGTTGTGGAAAATCCTCTTCCGACACGGAAAGTCACTTCAGACGAGAAAACTTTGCAGGATTTAGAAAGACCAAGATCTACAGAACCAAGAAAATCAAAGGAGAGCAATCGCGTTGCTAGTCCGAGTCAAGGAGTACACAGAAAATCATCTTCTGCATCAAAGGCTAGTTCAGCACGCGCTAGGCAGTCAGATCTCATCGACCAAGTTACTACTTTACCTCTCTCACCACAAACTGGTCGGTCAGAGACTGTCGAGCAAGTTATTGAAGCTCCGACCCCGGCATCTGCGTTTTCGCTCTCGCCCACTTCGCCAAAGAAACCGTCGCCTATCAAACGGTTCGGCAATTATCTCAAGAGAGGAAAGGGGAAGGCTAAGGCCCAGTCAGCAATCCCAACTCCTTTGAAAGCGTCGCCGAAAAAGGCCGATCCGGGCTCTGCAACTAGTTCTATCAAACGCGGTGCAAACAACAGACCGCGACGTCCTTCCTCCACAGCAAAACCTGCACCCGCACCTCCTGCCGCCGCCGCGGTGGTGTCTACACCTGTAGCTCCACGTCGCGCTTCTCAGCCTGCCCGTGCTCGCAATCGTCTATCTGGCATGTTCAAGAGACCCTTCACGCCGATTCCTGAATCCCCCAAGTCGGTTATCCAAGAAAAGGTTGAAGAGGAGAAGACTGAGGAGGTCAAGGCTGCTCAACGAGATGAGAAGTTCAATACTTTGGGGAAAGAGCTTGAAAGAGAGACCTTTGTCAAGGGGAAAAGTGAGGAGGATGTTGCCGTGGATGATATTCTTGCGGCGTATCGTAGGACGGATGGGGATAATGATGACGAGGAGTTTTTGGATGAAGTGGAGGAAGAAGAGGAGGAAGCTGGGGATGGAAGTCCTGAATTCAAGGCTGGGCAGTAAGTTTCTTGACTCTTTCCGTAACATTGTACTAACTGACATGCTGTAGACTTCAGAAGATTGCGAACTCGCCGGAGCTTACACAATTGCAAGATCCGGATCTTTTTAACGAATCTTATCCACGCTGGCTTGAATGCTGTTCTATGTTTAAGATTGATCCTGATGATCATAGTAATACGGGACTTATCAGGATCGCGGGTCTTAAATCTCGCTTGTATCCGTATCAAGCTTTTGGCACTTGGTGGCAAATGAGGAAATCTCGTGAAGTTGGTGGTGGATTCGTTGGCGGTAAGTATTTTCTCAATGCTTTTTCTGACCCTTTGCTAATAAACATTTGAAGATGAAATGGGACTAGGAAAGACTCTATCGTTCCTGGCCTACATGGTGGTTGAGCGACAACTCGCCTGGCTTTGGAACCAAATCCATCTTTCTCGTACCAAGTTGATTGACGATGGTAAACATCATAAGACCGAAAATGACCCTCGACCTTGTCCATCCGAGGGTGAGCGACCATACTGGATTTCTTGCCCGTGTTCAACTTCCAATGTCACTTCTCAAATGAAGCCGAAACCAGGTGTACGCGTTGCACTTGTTCCGCAACCGCTTGTCTTTACATGGATGGCCGAGTGGGACAAGCACATCGATACCAGTGAGAAGAGACTTGAGATGAAACTAGCAGTCGCTCACCCGCCAGCCTTCGAACTAGGTGGAGGTGCCGCGAGTGTAATTCTAGATGCAAGAACTCCAACCTCTCGTGACCGCATGAAGGCTGGTCGCGTTTTCTCGGACATCAAAAAGAAATGTGCCCATGATGAACCGCTGTTAGGTCAAGAACGTATTCTTCTCCTCACGACTGCCCAGGGCTTCAAATCTGCAATCAAACATTACGAATACGAGACTGAGATTCAAATCACCAAGGACAAGAAGAGCACGACTAAGAAAGTGAAAAATGCTGGTATTGTCTTTGGTATCGCTATGGTTGATGAGATCCACGAAGCTCGTCCTAAGAAAGGAGAGAAGAAAGATGGAATTATCGCAGAAGTTCCGATTACGAATTCGCCTTTCCTTTGGGGATACTCTGGAACCCCTATCACTAACTCTCCTCGTGGTCTCGAACAATTGCTCTTCGCTCTTGAAGATCGGTCGCCGAAACTGCGTCTTCAAAGCGGGGCATTGCAGTCATCATGGCAAGAGGATCACGATCTTCAGAAGTACACCTATCAGAATTTTGATGAGGTGTGCAAGGAGTATGAGAGCTGGATCTCTTCCAACACGGAAACGAATTTGGGCGAAGAGTTCAAAGAGCGATTCGCTCCGTTCTTGACAAAATTCTTGTTGAGAAGAACGGCTGAGAGTAGTTGGTTTGGACGACCACTCATCAAGCTCAAGGTGCATTATCATCATGATGTTGTGCTCAAACATTCTCCTGGGTACGATAAGGAGATTCTGGACTTCAAACGGAAGTTCGTGGATGAGGATATCAAGAAAGCTGTAGCAAAACTCAATGAGGGTGATGCAGAGGGAAGCAAGACTCTTTCGTTCCCAGCACAGTATACACTCGCTTCCAAGTTACGACTCTTTGCAAGTTTCCCTTACTTGGTCAAGTTTGCTCTTGCACCAAAAGGACCTGATCATCTGGAATTTGATCGTGAGGAAACTCGCATCCGGGGCGCATCAAGTCAGATTCAGCGAAGTCTTTATAGCCTGCATCTACGGCATATCTGTGAATCGTCGCCGAAGATTGCGTGGCTCTATAATTTCCTGAAGGAATTCTTCGCGAAAGCAGAGGAAAGTTGTGATGGCGACGGAACTCGAGAACGGAAACTCATCATCATGAGTTCCTTCGACCCAGTCCTAATAATCCTAAAACTTGTAAGTCCCCTCAACCCCCTTCCAAACCATACTCACTAACCCCCCACAGTTCCTAACCCGCTACTTCTCCCTCCCCCCCACAAACCTCGCAACCATCCTCTCCTCAACCCCCACCCGCGAAGCAACCCTCCTCATAAAATCCTTCTCCGAACTCAACGCCACAACCCACGAACCCCTCCCAACCGCACGTCAACGCTCCAAAGCGTCCACCTCCCCCTCCACCAACCCGCTTCCAATCCGCATCCTCATCGGCAACACCGCGAAGCTCGGGAAGGGACTGAATCTCACCCGCGCCAGCACGCTCGTGCTCTTCGAACCCGATATCGTCTTCCAGCGCGAAGCCCAGATTTACTCGCGCATCCACCGTATAGGGCAGCATGCGAGCGAGGGCTCGAACTCGTATCGGCTGTGGTGCGAGACTGCGACGGCTGCGGCGCGTGATCGGAGCGCCGGCTGGCAGGGCGAGGAGTGGGAGTGGGAATCCCGCGTCGTGGATCGGGTTAGGAAGCGCGGGTTGGCGTTTGGACGGAAGATGCAGGATGTAGATGCGCTTGGCGCGTTTGATTTCGGGTATGACGGGGATGGGGAGGGGAGTGTTGTGGATTTTGAGGCTATGTCGGAGGTGGTGTGGGTGGGTGATGTGAGGAGGGGGGATTTGAAGAGGGAGAGGGATGGGGGGGAGGATGGGGGGTTGGGGAATTGTGAGGAGGTGATTAGGGGGGTTATTGAGGTTAGGAGGGAGGAGAGTGAGGTGGGTAGGGTTTGATAGATGTCTTTGGGTGACGGATAATCTTTTGGAATTTGGGTTGGGAGTTGGCGTTTTGATTTTGGGATTTTACTTTTTGGCCTACTAGAATTAATGTGTTTGAGGATTGGATTTATAATATTAATATTAATGCTTAGAATTGTTTACACACTTCAATAAGATCCCCTCTTGCAGACACCATACTTCAATTCTACGTCCTCTAGATTATTCGGTTGTGGAGCAGATCACGCGTCGCAACTCGCTTAATCGAGGGATCTCGTAACAATTTACGACGATTAACAGTTATAGATTATTATAATAGCCATGGAAGGTATATAGCTTTTACAGAGCTAAGTGTATATTGTATCTCACTATGCATTTTTATGATTTATCGAGTGCGTCTCACAGTTAAGTGCGTACATAAGTCGCATAAATTTTTCATTGCCTATGGATTAATGTTGCAGTCACAGTTGAGCATACCTGGAAGATGATAGGACAGGATTCAGACATTGGGTAAATCTGATCAAATATACACCATGATCCGGCTGCCACTGACTTGTCCGCCGCGGGCACAATTTCAGTCAGCTTAACAAGCGGTGGATACCAGAAGTAGAATATTATATTACGGCCCGAGAATTCAACGCGGCCTATTTCTTTTCCCCCAAAAAAGATTTACAACAAAGAGAAAGAAATTCTGAAGGTGAAAAAGGATGTTCGAATTTATTTTGACAGTTATAGGTGATTTCGTGGTCGGCCTGTTGCAATCGCCGCGACCATGCCAATACCGCCCATTTTGTTCATAGCCTATCCACCTCTTTAGCTGCAACAGCGCAAATTCCCCCATCAAGCAATGATAAATCTCAACTCGCTTGCACCTTACAAACGGAGCTCCGCCATACCACTCTAGAATCCCGCTTTTCTCGCCAAAAAGGAAAACCCCTCACTGCACTTTTGACTTTTGATTTATATACCTGAACCCTGCGTAGATCCTCGATCTCGTACGTGAGATCTAACTTGGCAGCGGAAGCTTGGGGTTAAGCTTACTCTTCTTTTTGTCAAAGCCTTTGCCGATCCCGCTGCGGCTAGTTGAGGATCGGATGTGGGATCTGGGAGATCAGCCGCTTTTGTCATGGTGCAGTTGCTGTAATGAGTGGGATGGGAAGTTAGTTGGTATTTGTTTGCTTCTCTTGTGGTTTAATTGTCTAGTGAATAGAATTTTTTATGGGTTTGTTGAAGGCATTGTTTGATCAAATTAACGAAACCAAGTCAATGACTTCCGCAGTGAGGATAATGAGCGATAAAGTCATTGTACAGAATCGCCTGGCTTCAGAGACGTCCACAAATCGAGTCTAACTCTCGCACTCTGTCATGCATAGCGCTATTTGTTTAGTTCGGGTCCAGGTTTTGACTAATCACTGACATCGGTTCCCCACATTGAGCTAATTCTACAAGTCCGAGTTGATCTTAAAGCTTCGGCAGACTGCAATCCAGGACGGAAATCGATTTTCCTGTCTTTAGGTCACAAACTGCTCACAACATATTAGCCAGTGAAGGGCATTGCTAGTAATTTGCAGTCGAGATGGATCGAAGCAAGTGGAAATGATATTGCAATTCTACCCCGTCCAACAATCTTGCACAAAATTTTGTTGTCTTTTGAATTCACACAAGGCAAATTATGGGGATGTATAGACGAGCGGTTTCCAGTTCAGTAATCCGCTCTACATTGTAGGGTTTGACTAGACTGTTGTCTCGCATCCGCGTTGCAGAGTCTAGGCTTGTTGGTTAATAACTCCGCAACTCTAATGCATGCGCGACTTCCCAGTCCCAAGTATTATCTGATCGAGCCAATAACAATACCGGGTCGAACAAAATCAAGACTGCAAGCTAAGATATGCAGTAGCTCTAATATGCAGTGCTATGTTACGCAGAGTGATTCGGTAGCTGAGAAGTAACACAGAACGGATGTCCATCTACCAGCGCCAGCTACGTCGATCTGCATTTTGCTTTCTTGGAGAGCCGCAGAATTCCAGGATGTCGGGCACCCGTGAAATTCTAGAACAACATTAACGGAGTATGCAGAATCTGAAATGACGTGGCTGTTCAACAGGTGGATAGAATGGTCAGAATGTAGATATGATAAAGAGACAGGAATTCGCAAACTTTCGGCTCATCCCCCGTTCAATCCTTCATCCTCTACCGCACCATACCGTACTCCTGCACTAAGACACCTCTAATAACCCTCATTCTCATCAAAATGAAGTTCTCATCAGTCATCTTGACCTCGGTCCTCTCCTTGCTGGCCACGGCAACCCCGATAGAATTGGATTCTCGCGCAGTCTGCAAGAAGACAGATCAATTAGCCACATTCCAAGACTTGACAGCTCTCCCAGCATTGTCACAGATCAACCCAATCGGCACCTACAAGGGCCTCCAATATCGCTCTTTCAATCTACTCCGTAAGCCTCTTCATATTTGTTGTACGAAAACCCAATATTAATAATTTCCTCAACAGAAGTCGGACTCCTCGGCGCCATCCCTCCACCCGTGGGAATCAACCCTCCATCTCCATTCAACGTCGCCGCCAACTCCATCACCGGCACCATCTTGACCGGGTCCCCAGCATTCATCGCGAGCTCTGTCAAGTCTTTTGATATTTACAGCACATACATCGCCTGCGTTGCAAACACAGCTCTCAGTGTTGCTGGACTCCCAACCCAATGCACCATCTCATTCACCGCGTATAAGAAAGACAAGACGACTGTTTTTGACACCGTAAATGCCCAATTCAATCCTACTGGATTGTTGAGCGACATGTATAAAGTCGTGTTCCCAAGCTCGTGGACGGATTTGAGACAGGTTGATATTGCTATCGTCCAGGCTACTTTGACTAGTACCTTGAGTGCGTTGTTTATTGATGATGTTAAATACAAGACTTGCTCTTAAATTCAACGAGGCTAGAGAAGGCTTCTGGGAGTGATTTAGGAGCGGATACTCGGAGCTTGAGGGAAGATTATGATCGGTGAAAGATGTCTTGGGCATGGCGTTAGGATGGTGTCATGGACTTTGAGCGTAGCTTGAATAGCCCCCTAAAATAGTAATTTGATTTCTTCAATCTGTTGTGTCAAAATGCCATCGAAAGATGCCTGGGCTAAATTATCATAAGTGAGAACTTTTTCAGTGATTAGCTTGGATGGATACGTCCAAAAGATTACCCAGCCGTTTACATGAATCATGTTAATTCTAAGACCATCGCTCCCCAACGCAACGAGCGAGGTTATCAGCAAAATATCATAAACGTAAAGAGAAAAATCACAAAAAGAAAGACAATGATCAGGCTGGGGCTCGATCCCAGGACCTTCTCGGAACAAGTGTTAACGATGTTAACGAGATGTGATAACCAACTACACCACCCGACCATGTTGTCTCGTGACCACAACTAAGCTTTTTAGTATTATAAAAGTATTCTGAACAATGGATTTTGTGTGAGGATACTCGGTAAGCGAGGTAAAACAAGAAGGGAGGGGGACGAATATAAGGAAAATGGGGGACTTGTGGTCTGTGCGTGAGCAAGCGAAGTATGAAGATGATTGAGTTCAAATTGGTAAAGGTGAATTGCAGAAGTATTTGATACTGTACGTATCACTTATGTGACAACTCTACGGGCAACGTTACGTCTTTGTTTCTATGTCGAAATGGAATCGCGATACTTTGTTGCTAAATACCTAGGTACTGGACAGATAGATAGGTAGATCCTATGAGTTGGTATCGATTTGAAGTAAATATACTATTTGGCGACTTATTGCAGGGGTTCAAGTGAATGAACACAGTAGTTCAACAGAAGGTGAACGCGAAACTTTGCAAATTTCATTCTCAACACTGTCTTTCGTCCCCAACCAAACTCTTATCGCTCGTCTATTCCTTCCTCGATCTGCGTCCTGTGGTTGACAAGAGATATCTTATTTAAATATCGGTTTGCTCATCATTTTCCTGCGCCGACTTGTCTGAAAAGTAGTTCTTTGAGATATCGACAACAGCCTTTGTCAAGTCATCCATTGCTACAACAACTACTGCCACCATCACTCCTTAAGCTGTTGTCTTACGATCTGCCTTCGCGCCAGTGCAAGACGCGCTTTGGTACTTTGCGTCGTCTCGTTTCACTTCACTAACGGGGCAGCACGAAGAGTGTTGAAATTCTGTACCCTCTACTTCTCACGATTGCAGGATATGACACTGACAACTGGCACGTTCGTCAGATTGTAATTTGTTTTTAGTTCTCTCTGTCGCAAGATGGCTTTTGGAATTGGTCTTAGCAATGCTTTGAATCCAATGGTGAATCAAATTAGCTTGTAATATTTTTGATGTTCTTTTCATTGACTAGTGGCAGGAAACCTTTTGGGAAACAACTCACACGAGGGCCAAAACTGAATCTGTATCAAATGGCACCTTCAAACAATCAATTCCGTCAATCGCGGTTGGCTCCCAAAAACCATTAGCAAAACGTGTAGCTGCAAATGGGATTGACACTCCCACTTTGGGACATAAAGCAAGAATTGTTCGTATGCCCAAAAAATAATTTGATTTTGAGACGGTTCAATAACATTAGATTAGGATAACTCATTTCGTGGTCGGGAACTGCCAGGTTTGCTTGTAAGACTTCCTGACTTGTCTTCTGGCATGAGTCTGTGGAATATTGCTAATTCAACTAGAATGCATCTCAGCTTTCACTCTTAGAATCAGTTCATGAGCCGGACAGTCGACCAAAGAGCTTCAATTTCGACGGCAACAGTATAGTTTCTGCTGATAGTGATGGGGAACCCATTTTACTTGAAGCCGAGGAAAACAAGTTTGGACGATTCATCGAGATGACAAGAATTGACCCACCAATGAGACGAAACCACACCGTCAATAATATGGTAAATAGCTAAATAACTCGACCGTTCCGTGCTTGTCTTTTCGTTAACTATGTGATCTTAAGTACTATCAAGATATATCGGAGTCAAATAATGGAATGAGACGTAGCGCAACTAGCTCAGATGGCTTTCATTCGGGAACCCATCCTTCATACCAGTCATTCTTCCAAGTAGTTCTTCGTACTGATATCCTCCAACCAAAGGTACTGATGATTGCCAGGCTGACTACATCTACACACCAATATCGCGCCCTTCAATTTCACCTCAACATACACATTCTTCTATGGGTTTGCCTTCCACATTGACCTCGACGACCGATACAGTAAATAGTGAAATAGTAAAGTTCTCCAGCCTGTTCTACAACTAACACTTTTCTAACATAGAATAATCAGAGTTCATTCCAGCTCCCCATGAGAATTCTGACACCAACCGGACTCAGCGTCATATACCAACCAGCATGCGATTGCAATGTAGCAGCCGAGTACGGACCTCCAACGTCGACTCGTCACCCAGCTAACTGTTAGCACAGTATTATTTTCGTCCACGGCCTATTCGGACACACTGAGCACACCTGGACATTCAACGGCCCACAAGCCCCGATCTCGAAAAGTGACATTTGGTCTCTCTATGGTCTCGCCTCCAAAGTTGACGATCTTGGCCACAAACCAAGCCCGAAGGCACCCAAGATATTCTGGCCAGAGAAGCTTTTGCCCGTTTCGTTTCCGAACTCGCGTATGTTTACCTGGGGGTTTCAGAGCGACATCAAAATGTTTTTCGATTCGAGTGACGATAAGAACACCTTGGATTATCTGGCAAATCGCCTGTTAGAGGATGTTTTGGACCATAATTGGCGAGGTCGATGTAGTGAACGTCCGATTGTGTTTTTGGCTCACTCGCTGGGTGGGTTGATCGTGAAAAAGGTATGCTCCTCAAGAACCCCTCGCATTCGTGCTTACCATATATCAGGCACTTCTTCAATCAAACGCTGGTAGTCCACTCCGGAATATTCGCGAACTTCGAGACGCTACCACGGCTGTATTATTTCTGGGCACTCCGCACCACGGGTACGAACCAGACAGACCAATGCTTGATATCGTTACCAAAATCATGAATGCAAATGGCCAACCCACACCACGATCAACAATGAAACTGCTCGCCGAACAGCTCAAGGAAATTGACTTTGATGAAATGCATCAGCGATTCAGAAATATGGTGGCTATTCAGAGAAGGAAAGGGTCTGACATAAATATACATAACTTCTTGGAGAATAAAGGAATGCCGCTGTTTGGAAATTGGCGGATATGGGGTCATGTGAGCTCCCTCCATTCCACAGGGCGATTTTCATTTTACTGACAAGTTTAAAGATTGTTCCAGCCGGAGCAGCAAGCGACGAGAAGGATTTCAACAAAAGCTACATAGAAAAAGACCATGTTGGATTACCGAGGTTCGAGCATTCGTTGGATGCAGGCTATCTCGTGATTCGAGACGTTATCATGATGAGTATCAATAGGGGACCCATGCGCATAATGAATCCGGGATGAGTAATGATGCAGAATCCTCTTGCACATAGTCATACATGCTAGATCTTGGGCGACGGGTAATGTGTCGGGAAATAGATAGAGGAATATTTAGAGGAGTTTGCAAAGGTTAGGGGTGTTACAATTTGGTTGATGAACACGGAGTCTGGAATTTGTATCTGGTTTTGAGGGAGATGGGGGTAGATAAAATTGCTTGTATGTTGATGATTGGTAATAGAAGTTTGATTTTTGAGGGAAATGGAAGCTTGCTTTCTAATGTGCAGTTGATTGATTTTCAAAAAGAAATTGAGCCTTCGGTTCTCCACGTCACGTTATCTAGCTCCATGGAGTCCATCATAACCCTCCAAAAGAATTACTTATAGACTTATTAGTGTCCCATGTGTCTCTAAGCAAGTACAAAAGAGCTGAATTCTCATCAGAACATCAAGTCTACCAGTCTTCGCTTGCAATTCTGTGACCATCTGCTGCTTACGTACAAGTGCTATATCTTCTTCGTCGATCCGTTTCTTTACAATACATTCTATACCATTAGTCATAAACACATTCTCCAGCGAACAACTCGAGGTATTCATTACACCAGCCCTCAACCCTTCAGACCAGCTTTCCTCCCCCTCACCACAAAAAGGGGATCTTCACCCCCCCAAAACGACGCCTTTCCCTCCTTCAGCACGACTTCCTCCACATCCTCCCACCCACCACTAGCCCAAAAATACCCACCAACCCACTTCCTCCTTTCTTCATCATCCATACTCATCCAAGGCCCAATAACCTTCGTCGGAAAACACCGATTGCTAAACGCCATATGCGCCGTCCCGCCCGTCTTCAACACCCTCCTCATCTCCTCAAACACTTTAATAGGTTTCGTAAGATAATCTACACTCACATTACAAATAACCACATCCACACTCTCATCCTCCATCTCTTTGAATTCCGGTTTCTCATTTAGATCCTTGACGTAGTATTTCGTTAAATGAGCATTTTTCTGGAGTTCTGGCGCGTTCATGCCGATCCCTATCATTTTGCTTGGTTCAAGTGAGTCTGGGAGATGTGAGACCCATGATGAACAGAGGTCGAGGACTGAGTGTTCGGGTTTGATGATGGTGGAGTAGTAGTCTTTGAGGGTGCTGATTGCGCCGTCGTCGATATGTTGGACGAAACGGGGTTGGGAGTACCATTGGGAGTCTGCATTCTCATCTTGTCGGATGAATGAGTTTGGTGGATAGGTTATCGATGCTGGGTATAGTGATCTGAGGAGTGGATTGACCATTGGTTTTGCTGAAGTTGCGTTGGACATGGTGAAAATTGATTCTCGAGTTTGAAACTTAAAATTTGGTGAGATTGAATTTTTCTTCAGGTTCAGACGAAATATTTGCAGTCCTGTATTCATTTTTGGCACTTTTGATATTATATTTCATGTTGCGTTTGCTAGAAACGTTGTGGTTGTTGTCGTACTTGCCCCACAATCTCAGCGTCATGGAAAAAGTGGGTCTGATTGTCAACGTCGTCGTAGCGAACGCGAGAACTTCCAACGATTGCAAAACCACAACATATTTGACGACGTGAGCATCAACGAGAAATCGCATATCTCCCAATATCGCATTATGTGCTTGCGAACTCAGTTTTGTGTGAGTGCGACAGAATGCTCCATGAGTCGGCATCTCCACGAGTAAGGCGATGGCGATGATTCAGAAGCTCCTGAGGAATTGCTTCAAATGCTGCATCCATGATTTAGGAGTTATCGGAGTTTGAGATGTGTCGCCAGTTTTCGCCAAATGTCACCTAATTATTGAACAACTTTCGACCCAGAACCTATCGATAATTTGAACCAGTTGGTATGTTGTCTTGCTCGTCTTCAGGCAAAGATCCAAGGACCATGTTCCTCGACGTGGATTGATCGCGCTGATCGTGATAGTTTTTCAACCTTTGGCTTCCTATTTGTTTAACAACACCAAAGATGCCATGATGTCCTTCGAGGATACATCTTGCCTGATCATGGGCCATCTTTGGCTTGCAAGAACATGGACTTCCGCTGAATTTGTACCTGTCTTCGAGACATTAGCTCCACCCCTCAAAGCCGGTAAGTGGCCACATGGGCGACGGATCACATACCTTCCAAGCAATCAAAGCTCATTGATACACGCTTCACATTGTTCCAAGCATTTGCCGGCAGATCTTTCCTCTGTTCTGTTCCTACCTGAGCTAGATTCCAGCTCATAAGTCCTTGGTCAGCATCCCACCGCTGAGCATGCAAGAAACCATCAGATCTTTCGATGCACGAAATTCTGCATTTGCTATTTGATGTCCGACACTGACATCTTTCTCGTTTGACCTCAGTCTTGTCATCGATTTGAATCGCAGCGAGCGCAAGTTTTGCAGAAGAATCTTGGCTCTTCAAGAAGATCACTAGCAATGGCTTCGATGGCTTGTGATGCAGGTGTGCTTTGCCTGTACCTGTGCTCACTGTCGTGATCGAAGAAACGGTACTTCGCGACATTGAGCTTGAATTCGTCATACTTGTCATTACGCTTGGCGTACGGTTTCGGTTTCGAGTCGAGAAAGAGCGTATGCTATATCGACTTGAACCTACATTTTCCTGTGACGGAGTAGCCGATCGGCTGCTTGTGTCGCTTGGTCTTCTATCAAATGGACTAGGTCCTCTGCCTGTATCGTTTGGTCGTCTCTCAAACGGACTAGGACCTCTGCTGGGTGCTTGCGGACTCAGAGGCGATCTGTCCCCGGGCCTGTTACCCAATGACATAGAACCCATAGCAGTGTTCAAGGTCGTCTGGCTCATGTTGGCGGGAGTTTGAGCTGTGCTTGGCGCAACGGAAGTTGTTGATGACGAGGTACCAGAGCCATATGGCTGCGGTAACCACAACTGGAGCCTTCCATGTTCAACTATCGGCGCTTTCTGATCAGACACGAAGAATGAGACCGTGACCATAGCCTGGTCGTATCTTTCGTACACCTTATAGCCGGTGAGAAGATGCTGGAACCGTAAAGTTTGTTTTATGTCTTGGAAAGTTGGTTGGATCTGTGTACTTGGCGAATTTATAAGCACCTCCAGTGATTTCTGCCGAGAGCTAGGTGTGGCGTACAGCGGCGTCAAATTGACGGTCTTCAGATCAATGTCCATTTTGAACTCTTGTCGCCGTGCGCCTTGGTTGCCTCTTTCTTCTATGGACTCGACCAACCGGAATTTCGATTGTTCTAGTCGGTAGACTGTCATCTCTCGTTGAAGAGATTGTGATGGTGCTGGCAACTGAATCTTCATTACTTCCTCTAGAAAAACCTCAGAATGAGGTGATATATGCTCAGCGATGTTTTCTGCCGGCCAGATGCTGTATTCATCGTCTTGCACTAGGACATTCAAATTTGGCGCGATAAGCCTTTGAGCGGATGGAGCAGTGAATCGCTGGGATTCTACTGACACGTCTTCATTCAACTGCCGGATATAGCCTGGCCATTGAGAATCTTGAGGAACTTCTCTTATTCGGCTGCTTTGAAGGAGGCTCCTGATGATCCAGATACATTTGAGGAGAGCCAGATATTGCTTGGGAAGTGGTGTGCGCTCATTGAGGAAATTTCCTGCCGTGAAGTTTCTCGTGCTTTCTCTGAAATGCGCTATAAAGGCATCTGCTCCGGCTTTGAGAGGAAATTGTCCTGGGAACCTCATTTCTGGATGAATTCTTTCTGCACTGAGCTGAAACTTCCTTTCAATTTCCAACGGAACCACCAAAACAATGGCACCTGTACTCCTCGCCTGTTCATAGAGAGCTTGTTCAACATCTGGTATCAGTAGACCCTGAAGGTGCAGGATGCTTCTGTGAACCGCGTCTATTCGATCCGCCAGATCTCGATGGATTTCGGATAAGAGGTTCAACTCCAAAGGCTTCAGCAGGATAGCAATCTTCGCATTGTGCGATTCCAACCGTCTGCGAAGTCCATCTACTTTCGGCTGGATCACAAGATTCCACTCGAAGTTGTAAGCAAAATTTCGGCTTTTTCTGAATTCATAATTTTCCTCCAGAAGTTTTCTACATTCGATCAGCGTTTTCTGATAATCTCCGATGATTTCGTTCAAGGACGATAAGTCCCAGTCTCTCTGCTGAAGGGGTCCTCGAGATCTTGCAAATCGAAGAGACTCTTGCGCCCATGTTGCTCTGGCATTCTCGACGACTCTGGCTATGTTATTCAAGTTCTCGGCAAGGCTCTTGATGTCACTCCCGAATTCTTGATATTGCTGGCCTTCAAGTGCGCATGTTAGTCAGAACCTTGTCAAAAAGGACGCAATCTTTTCATGCTGGTTTAAAGATTGGGATATCACGCTTTACATACTTGCATCGAACTCTTCTCCCCATCCCAAGCGGTATATTTCCCACGCAAGGCCAGCGATCCGTATTACGTCTCCTGCCGAAACAGACATGATTGCATTATACTTGCCACCAAAGGCGCTTTTTGATAGGATATTCACCCACGCCGGTGGTTCGGCAGCGCATCAATCTAGGAAGGAGAGTGAGCGTTTCAAATGTGTTCGTGCGGGTACTATTGAGCGGAGCAAGCACCAGGTATCTTGCGCCTGTCTAAATCGTTGCTCAGGGCTGAGCTCTTGTCTATTGTTGGGTGGTGGTACAAATCGATAAAGGGCGAGGAACTGGCGAGGCAGTATACGGGGCTCCGCACACAATATTGGTAGCGCCCCGTTTGTGTTGAGATCCAAATTTACTTTGGTATGTTATTGGACCCCATTTGCATGTGCACCTCGAACGAGCATGCAATAGTGGAAAACATCCAATGAAACGAAGAAACATTATCACATATCAGGGCTTGGCTGAAGCCACCAAATCCCTCCAGCCTTGTTGATGGGGATGAGTTTGCCCGATATTATGTTGGCACTTGGCAACGAACGCCAAATTTGGTCAGGTGTAGCACTTCTTCAAGGTGCCTCCAGCCTTGTCACCAGCACTTTGATCTTATTATCGAAATTCCTTCCAGAAGGATTTGACTTCAATCGTGCGAATTGACGGAACTTGGACAGTCGCAACAATGGTTTCCATGACGCAAATAACCGATCCGAGAAGCGACCCACGATACCCAGGAGACGATGACAGTAGTTTTAATTCCGCGATCTTGGATATTCTTCCAGAGAATATACCGAATACAATTATAACCAAGGCTCCCGAAGAGAGGTTTCGTTTGGGGTATTGGTCAGTGATTGCGTTGGTGGTAAATCGTGTTATAGGTAATTCACAAGCGATGACTCCTGATATTGGGCTAACAAATTCGCAAGGTACTGGAATTTTCAATTCTCCGTCGACTATAATGCGTGGTACTCGCAGTGTTGGCGTTACACTTTTGTTTTGGCTAGCAGGTGCGATATATACCATTGCGGGGACGCACCTGAATATCGAATTCGGGCTCACAACCCCACGACACAAATTCGAAGGTGTAGAGCAGGGCATTCCGAGAAGTGGAGGAACATTGAACTATGTACGTGTTTCAAGCATCGGTTCTCGTAACGGGCTCAGATTTCATGCGACCCGCTGTGTCGATAGAGAAAGTGGTGATATTCTATGTGATAGTGCCTTATTTGCTTCTTAACTTGCATCATCTGTCACCGAAGCATTGCGCCGATGATCCCTTCAACTTCAATTCCTGCACTTCAATTTATTCATGTCATATTTTGCTAGCCTTTACTTACATAGACACTTGGGTACATCTTGCTAACGACGTCGCAGCTTCAATATGTCTTCACGTGGCCCGCGTACCGAGAGAGAACAGTTCTCTTGGTGACCTGCGTGTTTGCCGCGGGGTATATAATAATCGGAAACATGGCTGGCAATTGCTTGATATTTGGGATACGAACACTCGAAGCTGCGAACGTTACAGTTACGAATAGCGGAGTTCGAGGTCTAGCAGTCGCCGCTGCTACATTAGCCTGCTTAATCCATTCTTTCTCGAGAAGAGGAGGCATATATTTAAATAATGCTTTTGCATTTGTCAAGGTTTTGATGCTGCTATTGATCATCATAACTGGCATATGTGCGTGGGCTGGTGCATTCGATACCAAAACATATGCTACGCAAAATATGGCTGTCACCAATGCGTTTGCTGATGCTGCTGATGACTCTTACGGCTATACGAAGGCTTTTCTCGCCGTGTTATTTGCTTGGAGTGGATTTGACCAGCCTAATTATGTGAGTTAAATTGGTCATCTATTTTTACGAGCAACCATTAATGGCAGCTAGGTTCTGGGAGAAATTGCTAGGCCACGGAAAACGATGCCAGTTGGAACCTCTATTGGAGTCGGGATAGTGTGTCTTTTATATCTTCTTGTCAATGTAGCATATGTATGTGTCCGCTACTGCTACCTAGACAACGACTAAATTTCTTGTGTAGATGATTGTCGTGCCCAAAGCGACTCAAGAAGAGAGTGGTAAGAATGTGGCTCTTGCGTTTATGGACTTGACATTCGGCACACTTTCTGGCGATGATAACCAATCGAAACGTATTCTTTCGGCATTCATGGCAGTTTCTAGCTTCGGGAATATTGTGGTTATGACTTTTACGGCAGCAAGAGGTACAATAAAGGAAAGGATACCATATTGGCACCATATGCTAACGCAATAAATAGTCAAACAAGAGATCGCAAAAGAAGGAATCTTGCCATGGGCCAAATTCTTCGGACAAAGCAAAAACCTATCTTTCGGTCGTTTCTTGATGTGGATTCAGAGTGACAAGCATTCTTTCATCAACCGACGCTTCCACTGGCTTTTAAAGCAACCCTGGCTCGACCCTCGAGAACACTCTCAAGAAACTCCATTTGGTGCCCTATTTCTGCACTGGTGCTTCACAATTATCATGATCCTTGCGACAATCAATCTGAGCCCCACCAACGCCTACGGAGTTCTTGTTGATCTATACTCATACACTTTTGCAGCGATATTCGCCTTTAGTATCGCTATCGGAATGCTCAAACTACGTTTCAGTAGCCGCGCCCAATGGAGACTGAAGTCGTCCTTCAACCCATTCTTCAGCATTCTTGCAGCTATGGTATTTGCGATTGGAAGTGGCTATCCAATAATCGCCTTTTGGGTTCCACCCAATGGCAAGTTTGCCCAACAATCGACATTTTCTGTGTCGTGGTATACAGCACCTACTGTTGCATGGAGTATTATGGGATTAGGATTACTCTGGTATCTTGGATTTAATTTGTATGCTATGAGAAGAGCGAGGAAGGATGGCGTGGAGTTCCAAGTCCAGAAAGTACCTGAGTTCGATAGAGATCCAGCTCCAGATGGGCCGCCGGTGCAGGTGCATGAAACTGTGTTTCTCGCATGGGTCGCTGAGGAATTTACTGGACAGCCGCAGATGGAGGAGGAGGGGCGGAGAAGATCGAGGGAGAGTTTCTAATATGTTGTGGATCGGTAATGGTCAGAGGTCAATGGCGCTAATCTAAATATATATGTAAGTAGGCTTTCAAAAATATGTCATCATACTATTACTCTTTCGATGTTTTTATGCTACGAAATTATAGGGTGTAATAGCTAAGGAGCGGGGTTACCGGATCTGATAAATGAGTGGCACGTATATCAGGCTATGTGTTAGGGCAATAGGTAACTTTTGATTGCTGCGCTTGTAAACATTCAGCGCTCCTGATTGTTGCGCTTGTAAAACTTTCAACGTAAACGAAATAAGCAATCGCTTCTCAACTGATGCATGCAAACCGCATGGAGGCAAGAATGTCGCGCCAATTGACTGTCCAGAATTGTACAACAGATAATCACATTATTTGTAAGTAACTATCTTATCCCTTCTGAGAATTTCTTATGCTCATCATCGTAAGCAGGTTTACGACATCCTATCGAAATAATTAATGCAAGCAAGTCTCTTGTGATGTTGGTCATTGATGGAAGTTGACGAATAAAGTTAGGTTATGTTTGCGAAGACACCTAGGAATCCAATTTTCCCCTCAAGTCTCACTAATTATTCCGCGGTAGCCTAAACTGTATGGTCCATACTGTTAAAGCAAAAATCTGCCCGCACCACCTATTTTCAAAGATGCCCCGACATGGTGATTCTCAATCTCTATTAAGGCCAACGTTGTCTCCCCTAAAGTACTCTGCTCTCAACGTTGGCCCCTTACCGACATAGGATACATCGTTCTAGAGGACTATTTGTTGTTCATTATGTTTGGCAGCCGTAATTTACTCACTGTGCTAGGAGCACTGCTGCCAGCAGCTGTAGGCCAAATGGATGGCTCTCGCTTCGCATGGTATACCTCCGCTGCTGGAGATTTTGCATCTGCTTTACCTATCGGCAATGGAAGAGTCGCTGGTGCTGTATTTGGATCTGCTAATGAAAAGGTGACTTTGAATGAGAATTCAGTCTGGAGCGGACCATGGCAGAATCGTGGCAACTCCAAATCTCTCGCGGCTCTACCTAACATTCGATCGCGCCTTCAATCCGGCGACTTAACTGGAGCTGGAGATCTCGTTCTTCAAAACATGGCTGGTAACCCTACATCACCAAGAGCCTACAATCCGTTGGTCGATTTGCTACTTGACTTTGGGCATTCTAGCTCAAGCTTGACGTCGTACACTCGCTACCTGGATACTTCTCAGGGTACCGCATTTGTTACCTACAATTCTGGTGGAGTTAATTACACGTGAGTCTAAATTCTATACCCAACTGTTACGCACCAACTGACATACTTTCCAAGTCGTGAGTTCGTCGCTAGCTATCCAGCTGGAGTCATGGCTGTTCGACTGTCAGCTAGCCAAACCGGGAAACTCAACGTCAATTGTGCTTTATCCCGCACTAGCTGGGTGACCGATCAACGCGCCACAATTAGCAACAGCATCGCGGGATCGAATGCAATCATTCTGAAAGCGAATAGTGGCCAATCGAGTGGCGCTATAGCTTTCACTGCTGAGGCGAGAATTGTTAACAGCGGTGGTAAGTTCTTGAGGGTTCCCCGAAGAGAAAACCCTGGAATTTAACCGCTTAAAACAGGTACTGTTAGCAGTGATGGAAAATCAATATCTATTAGTGGCGCCACGACTGTCGACATCTTCTTTGACGCTGAATCGTCTTACCGCTATGCCAATCAAAGTGCCTGGGAAGCAGAGGTGCAACGTAAATTAGATGCAGCGGTTAATTCAGGCTACAACGCAATCAGAAACTCTGCCATTGCGGATCACAGCAGTCTAATGGCCAGAGTCAGTCTTGATCTAGGAGTAGGCTCCAGTAGCAATCAGGCCACACCCACCCGTTTGAGCAATCACAAGAGCAAACCCGAAAACGATCCTCAACTCGTTACACTGATGTACAATTTTGGCCGTCACCTCTTGATTGCATCATCTCGCGATACCGGTCCGTTGTCGCTGCCTGCCAACTTACAGGGAATCTGGAACAAAGACTACAATCCTTCTTGGCAGAGTAAGTACACCATTAACATCAACACGGAGATGAATTACTGGCCAGCCGAAACGTGCAACCTCCAAGAAACGCACAAGCCCTTATTTGATCTCATTGACGTTGCCGTGCCTCGTGGGAAAGCTATGGCTCAGCTCATGTATGGCTGCAATAATGGCGGCTTTGTGTTGCATCACAATATTGATCTATGGGGAGATGCTGCTCCTGTGGACTACGGAACACCTTATATGATGTGGCCCATGGGCGGTGCATGGCTCTCACTTCATCTGATGGAACATTATCGGTTTACTCTCGACACAGCTTTCTTACGAAACCGTGCTTGGCCAGTCCTCCAAAGCGCTGCGAACTTTTACTATTGCTATCTCTTTGAGCATAATAATTACTACAGCACGGGGCCATCACTTTCCCCAGAAAATACATTCATTGTTCCTTCAAACATGAAAACGGCAGGTTCTACTGCAGGCATCGACATTGCACCTACAATGGATAACTCAATGTTGTATGAACTTTTTACCGCGGTCATCGAAACTTGCAACGTTTTGGGTATCACAGGCACTGATCTGGCAAACGCCAAAAAGTATCTGGCGAAGATCAAGCCACCCCAAGTTGGATCTAGAGGGCAAATCCTCGAATGGCGAAATGAGTATGCTGAGGCCGAGCCAGCGCACCGCCACATGAGTCCCGTTTTTGGCCTCTTTCCAGGGTCACAGATATCGCCGCTGAAATCCACCACTCTCTCAAACGCAGCTATGGTATTAATCGATAACCGCATGAAAAGTGGAAGTGGAAGCACAGGTTGGTCACGTACCTGGGTCATGAACCTCTACGCTCGTCTTTTCCAAGGCGATAAAGTCTGGAGTAACGCCCAAGCCTTCCTGCAGAAGTTTCCAAGCGCCAACTTGTGGAATACCGATAACGGACCAGGTACGGCTTTCCAAATCGATGGAAATTTTGGTTTCACTTCGGCTATAGCGGAAATGCTCTTGCAGAGTCATGTTATTGTACATCTGCTTCCTGCTCTGCCATCAGCTGTGCCTACGGGAAGTGTCAAAGGCCTTGTGGCAAGAGGGAATTTTATAGTTGATATTAAATGGTCAAATAAGGCTCTTACCAGTGCAACCATCACTTCAAGGAGCGGGGGATCTCTGGCAATACGTGTCCAAAATGGAGTGGCTTTTTCAGTTAATGACGTTACGTATACTGGCCCGATTGCAACAATAGCGTCTGGGGTATATACAGTCACACTTGGTGCTGGAGTCAGTTAAACAATATGGATCAGTACATCACAGTGGGCTGAAGAATAAAAGGGATGAATGAAATTTTCATTTTCATTTAACGATAAATCCCCTTCATTTGATATTTTGAGACATTCATATGAAAAGCCAAAACTGCTTTATAATATCTCGCTCTCACTATGTTCGCTTGTTCCAGATGTTCTGCTTCCGAGGAAGTTCAGGGGGTGTTGTTGTGAGAGACCGGAGATAAGAATCGGTAAATTGTAGCAATTCAGCGCCATCGTATTACCTGCCCTCCGGAACCATATTTTCTTCCATTATCAGATCATGCATGAAGATCTAATCTTATCAATCTCGTCTCTTGCATAACATCCCATGATCCCGGGATTCTCCAGATATTCCTCCATGCCGGATTGTTCGAAAGTTCCTCAATATGCCGAACGGCCGAGTGATATCTCCGAGCTCGGACTTTCCAACGTACGTACCAGACAATAATTTCAGGTAACTACTAAACACATTTTCTCCTTCTCTCTTTATTTCATTCTTACTAAATATCTCTGGATTAAGACTTCTCAGTATGGCTCTCGAAACTCTTCGCCTCATCTTGAAGTACTCACCTCAAATCCTCTCTTTCGCACTCCAACTGATAACCCAAAGAATCCGCGCCATAATCCACAACAAAACATATATTTCCACCGAAAATCCAAAACATGTACTCATCATAGGCGGTTCCTTCGCTGGCATTCAACTCGCGAAACGACTTGCTGAAACTTTACCTACCGGATACAAAGTTATTTTGATCGAGAAGAACTCGCATTTCAATTATACGTTTAATTTTCCACGGTACTCGGTTGTCAGAGGGAGGCAAGAGAGGGCGTTTATTCCTTATGATGGACTTGGTAGAGGAAACCCTGTGGGTGTGTTTGAGCAGATAAGAGGAACTGTGGTGAAGATCAGAGAGGACGAGGTTGTGCTGGAGGATAGGAGGATAATCGGTTATGAATTTTTGGCGGTCGCGACGGGAGTTACGCAAGCCCCTCCTGCGAAGTTGTTGGCTTGTGAGAAGACTGGAGCTTGTGGTGAGTTAAAGGCGTTACAGGATCGGATATTTGAGTCGAACACTATTGCGATTGTCGGTGCTGGGGCCGTGGGCGTGCAGCTTGCTTGTGATATTAAGACATTTTATCCTGATAAAGTTGTTACTCTGATACACTCGCGGAAGAAGTTGCTTACAAGTTTTGGGCGCAAGTTACATGATTATGTGTTTGGGAAGTTGGGGGAGCTGGGTATTGAAGTCCTGTTGGGTGAAAGACCGAGTTTGACCGCGAATGGCGACTGGAAAGCTGAGGATCTGACATTTCAAAATGGAAGTAAGCGATTGTTTGATTTGATTGTAAGTTTACTTCCCAAGAAAAAAAATCTAGAAGGCTTAATTGTTTAGATCCCTTGTACAGGCCAATCACCAAACTCATCTCTATTGGCTTCATTTTCACCATCAAGTATCTCTTTCGAAAATGGTCAAATTCTCGTCAAACCAACACTACAGATTATTACAGACTCCAAGTTAGATTCAGAAAGTTGTCTTACAAACATCTTCGCGCTCGGAGATGTAGCAGATACCGGCGGTGCCAAAATGGCAAGAGCAGGAATGATGCAAGCTCAAGTTGTATGTTCGAACATCATCGCTTCTATCTCTGGCGGGAAAATGAAAGCATACAACCCGAGTCCGTTGGAGGGTAGTTTAAAATTGAGTCTAGGAAAGGTAGGTCTTCTGTTCCGGGATTGAAAACCGGAGATACTGATGTTGCCTCTAGGATAACGGTGTTGGATATCTACAGGATTCAGATGGTACCGAGATTTTGGTCCCTTTGAAAGGTGGGAAAGTTGATTTTGAAGTTGGAAATGCTTGGTGGCATTTGGGTGCTAAGTATGACGAGAAGAACTTCTAGGACGTTTTGTTCTGCTTGATGGAATTGTATTAAGATTAGTTTGAAACTGTGTTGGTTCTTTAATAATTATCTATGTCGACTGGCCAGACTTTTGACGGAAATTGACCTTATTTAGTCTCAAATTTCATTTCGCCATATTAAAATGAGATTTCTACATATGATCTTGGGTTGCGTCTCGGCATTCGGTGTGACTTTATGTCAAGATTCCTCGGTGTTCTCAACTTGAAGTATTACGTGAAACTCTAAGTTCAGGGTTACGGATTCGGACTTGTATCGAATTTCAAGCCTTGTCCGCAGAAACTAGATGGGACCAGTCTGATTACTGATCCTGCCACTAACTGATGATGCAACGGAAGTCTTCAATCACATATTGCCTAATTGTGTCAAATCCCGGTAGAAACTAATGTTGCAAGAGGGTCAAAAACTAATCACTCGAAATAGGCGACATGGGCGAAATGGTCGTTAGTAGGGGTGAAAATTGGATTACTCAACATCCCTTCTTAGTTCAGGATGCTTCTACGAGTAGCTGAAATCGTTATGGAGCTAATATTGTATTACTCAACAAAACAATCGACGTAAAAAATTAGTCCCTTATAAGTCAATGTTACTCGCCAGTTTTCATTCAATTCTCCACTTTACAGAACAGTCATTTGCTCCTGCCCAACTCTACTTTCGAACACCCACTCAGTCGCAAGCCAATCAAATACTTATCAATACACCTTTCTTGCAGTAGAGATATAGACTTCAAACATGTCTCTACCCAAAATATCAAAAATCTTTATCATAGGCGGAACCGGTGCTCAAGGCCTACCCGTCATCAAATCCCTCGTCGCCGACAAGAAATACTCCGTTAGAGTCCTAACTCGCGACCCAAACTCCGCTAGAGCCAAATCTCTTCTCGCTCTCGGCAATGTCGAGCTTCACGAAGGAACCTTCGCCGACGAAGAAATTCTTCGCTCCGGCTTCCAAGGTTGCGATGGTGCGTTCGTGAACATCGACGGTTTCAACACCGGCGAGAAGTCTGAAATATATTGGGCAATTCGAGCGTACGAAATCGCATTGCAATCCGGGATCAAGTTTTACGTCTATGGCAATTTGGATTACGCATCTAAGAAAAGTGGGTATGATCCGAAATACCGTGCTGGGCATTATGATGGGAAAGGCAGAATTGGAGAGTGGATTGTGTTTCAGAATCAGGTGAATAGAGAGAAGATGGGAGCTGCGTTGTTTACGACTGGACCTTATATTGATATGGCAATTGCAGCCAAGACGATCATGACGCCAACTGTTGAAAATGGTGTTGTTACTTGGAGACTGCCTATGGGCACTGGAAGTATGCTTGCGGTGGCTCTTGAAGATTGTGGGGTGTATGTTCGCTGGCTTTTCGATAATCGAGAAAGAAGCAATGGGATGGACTTGGAAATCGCAATTGAGGATGTGAAATGGGCCCATTTTGCCAAAGCTTTTGAGGAAGTGACTGGACATCCAGCGAAGTATATCGATACGAGTTTGGAAGACTACTGGAAGGAAAGAGAGACTTTCGGGCAGATGCCAGCTGGGTATAACGCTGTTCCAAACGACAAGAGTACTATGAATGTTAAGGATAACTTCACTGGCTTTGTGAGCTTTCATCCCTCTAAGGCTTTGATACAAAGAGACTAATATTTTTTCCTAGTGGAATGTTTGGAAGTACAGTCTTCTTAAGCGAGACTACAACATCCTTGACGAGATCCACCCAACGAGAATCAAGACTGCTGAGGAGTGGCTTCGTATGGAGGATAAGAAAGGGATTGAGGATGGAAAAGGTACACTCTGGGACAGAATACAAGGTGAAAACCTTATTCCTATCTTGAAGATTGGCGAGGACAATTGGGGTGGAAAATTGTGACCCTCAGAAGGAAATGTGCGAAGTGCTGAGTACGAGAATTTTAATCCAGATGTAAACAAGATCATGAGATGCGAACAGTAGATAGAATTTTGAGCTCTGAACCGTTTAGAGATGCGGAAATACAGATCAACTGACAATGAATTCAGATAATACCAAAGATGACTCGTAAGAACATAAGTTTCGAATCATGAGAGAGCAGAAGTATAGTAGTTGTCGCGGGAGTACAACGTTAGAAATGCTAAATGTAATATCGTGTATGTTAATGAAGAAACGTAAAGGTGAGACCGGAAAATATGACCGAGAACTTTGCGACCGAGGTTTTTAGCAACCAACCATAAGGTACGTCAAAAACATCCGTCGAGATCTAAAAACTCGAAACAAACCACTTCAAGTCTGTTTCGATAACGTATAAGTGATACAGCAAACATGTGGTATCACCTCTCCTCCCTTCTCTCCTTCTCTACCTCGTCTCTCCATCTCGAGATATGGTGTTTCTTCCTGTCACCGTTGATCTTCTTTCCCCTCTCCTTTTTTCTCGATTTGCTATTCTCTTTCTCCGAAATGATCTCATCGGCGTGGCCATCAAACGCAACCTTTTTCGCCTCGCTAGTTGGCTCTTGAGGTTGAGTTGGACTTGCCGACGGATCCTCATAACCAATTTTCAGAGACATAACTTCAAGATCAAGACAAATCGGTTCGGGAGACCATGTATACGCGCCAACCTCGTATGATTCCTTTTCCTTATACAACCTCTGTAAAGAGTCATTACCCTTGACCAGCGAAGAATAAGCGAGTGTTGGTGTGCTTCGCGGTGTAGCTTTGCTTGAATCCTCTTTTGGTAAGTCAGGTATATAATGATCATATTCCCATTCTCCTATTCTGATCAGTAACGACATTTCGGAGCATGGCTTGGGAACAAATTAAGGCTACCTTTTAGATTCTTGCGGGCGCGGAAGTAACATGGTGGGTACTCGCTCCAAATCCAATCAGACCAAGGTTGTGGTGGAGGGTCGGGGGCTTTGGCAGTCACGATAGTGTTATCGTTTGATTTGACAGATTTCGTCTTCTCTTTGCTGTGTTTGTTGGCATGCTTTCCAGGCATGATTTGCAATTTTTCAGGTTTTAATATTTCCAAAGTCGTCACTTGTGAGTACAACAGGAAGCTCCCAGATGTGGTCAGTTGAAAGAGGTGTCCGACTTAATGACGGTAAGACTTGCCAGATATACTGCAGTTGATTTTGGTGCGGGCCAGATTCAACCGATTTTCTCTGAGTTTTCAAACGCAATCCCGCCGCTCCGCCTACTAGATTGCCATGTAGTTGTCTTCAGAGCACATTTCTGCGGTCATTATGTATGTCCTCCCCTAAAAAGCAATTGTCCAATCGGTTGAATACGAATCAGCCAATACTCTGGAGGCCTACGCACATCAGTGCCACGTCGTACCTGTCGGCCACACCTCTGTCACGTGTCTGACACCGATACTAACCAATGTTAGTACACGGTCGTAAGGCTGTCATATCAGGTAGATAAAGGCATATCATAAGGCAACCGACGAGGCGTACAGCTGGAAATTTTGCCTGACAAATAGAAGAACGTATTCCGTAAATGACGCATAAGACCGGCCGCCCGCGGAGTATGAAAATCGAGGGCATAAAAACCAATTGTGGTCCGCAAAGTTGGAACCTGCAAATGTCAAACGATGTGTAAATTGCACTAAACATTAGATTGGCCATCTGGCCATTAGTCTATTCTATATTTGCTTCTTGATCGTACACTGTCCGACGGACTCGAAGGTGTAGTAGCGGTGTTGTCTTTTGACTTGATTTCTACCACCCTCATGTCTAAACCAACTCGAAACTGCTTACCACGCCACATAACTGTTGTACCACCTAAGCAAGCCCAAGTCCATATGGGAAGTTGAAGGACTTCTCGTCCAATCCAAGCAAGTATATATTGCCCCAAGGGCCGTCTAGATTTTCCGTCAAGTGGCTTCGCGAAAGATGGTGTATCGGAGTCGACTTCGATGGTAACACCTGAGTGCAGTTTGGCGTAAGTGAAGGAATCCAATATCATCCAAGCGAGAACACTGCATAGCCAGAAAGAAACAAAAGCAGTCCATGTTGATGGGATTCCCAAATTGTCATGAACCCAAGGTAGTGTCGAAGCAGCGAAAGCACCATAAGCAGAACATAATAAAGGTTCTACTCCAGGCTCGACGAGAGTAGCCAAAGTAACTGTCCATTTCCTGACGCGTAACCACCGGACACGGCGGGCTCCGTACTCCCGAATCGACATACCAGCCATTGGTTGGATTGCCAAATCACCAAATACGAGGCCGTGCTTTCTGTATTTTGTACCTTGCTTCTCTTCTTCTACTTTCTTGCGCCACAATAAATCTCCTATCAAATGATCTTCGCATATATTTTCGGAGAAGAAATCAATGCCAGGCGCGTAGTTCGAATTGGTCGATGTAGTGAGATAATTTAGGTGCGATCGCCGGAACATATTGGACTTTCCTACGATGCATGGTGCCACCGAGACAGTGTTAATTGCAGTATAAAACTTAGCATGGGACCCTGCCATGAACATCTCTTCGAGTCGTCCTCCACCAGTTCGGAAGATCGTATCAAGCCATGTCTCGCATTCGGGATATTCGGTTAGATCGTTTTCGCTTTGACTGTTCGTACTGGAGACTCGTAATGCCTGATCCGAACTAGCTGAAAGTAAACCTCGAGTCTCTTCGCCCACACTTGCTCCCACGCTATCGACAACGAGCGGCAGCTGGTGAACGAATTTATATGGGATGGTCCGAGAGCCATCAGGTTTGTATCCGTATAATCTATCCACCATCCGCCCAGCGACACCCTTCTCAATCCATATATTACAGTCCAACGTCCATATCACATCGCCTTTGGCCTCTCGATATCCACGGCTCATGTTTCGAATCTTTGGATTGGGACCGAGGTTATTAATTTCTCCATGGCCGCTAAGGTTTGGATCCTCTTCTTCTACAAATATCGTCGCATCGAAGCCAGGAAAGTCTGCCAGCAGACGCTGAAGCACTGGGTATGCCGGGTCCTCCTTGGAGGCTATACAAAAGTATATCGTCAACTTTTCAGAAGGGTATAATTGCCGAAACGTCGCAGCGAGGCATTCATATAGTTGGGGCTCCAGGCCCTTCACGGGGCGAAGCACAGTAACATGGGGTATCTCGTCGCTCTTGAGGGTAGGTGTGTATGCGGGTTTCGGTTTCGAAGAGTATCGTCGATATCTGGCAGAAAAGAAACATCAGCAACCAGATGATGTACCAGGACTTGCGTTTGAGGACCGTACAGTTGGATGAAGCCGATTGTTTGTACGCCAAGTATAAAAATGTACCAGATACCGCAGGCCGCAGCTGCGGCAAAGACCGATGGTTTTATGCTCAATTCCTGATCTCTAGCAACTGGAACAGCTAAATGGGCGGCCGTTGGTGCGACATCTTGTCGAAAAAGAGCCATTAAGACAAGTTATGAACCTCCATACACGTTGAACCTGAGAGCGCCGACATGATTGCGAGACAAATCCTGCGATGTGCTGAGTTGTCAAAATTTCGACCCACGTGACGATGAATAAGGTTCTTCTGACGCGCCGTGCCGTAGTCGAAAACGCGCCAACGAGACCCACAATCTTGAATTAACTTCAACGACCGTCCGAGAAGTACTACGATGCACATTCCAAGAGCCCGCTGTGTTATTCATATTTGGGAAAGACTATATCTCTTATCGAGTTTTGGGACAAAAATGGCCATGAACCATTTAAACCTGATTTCGGAGACCGGAATTCAAAGATTTTCATCTTTTCAAACTCACCCTTTTTCCATGTTGTGTTTATCCAAATTTTGAGGCTCTTCGGACGGTAGAGTTGAAAAATCCATTCGACCACAAGATGCCGAATGTTGCTCGGAATTAGTCGCGGAACTGTGTTCGCTGGACGAACAGATCACTTGTACCGTCTTAGAACGAGTCGGTGGCCGCGCTGTATGTTTCATTCGGGGCTACGGCAGAGAGCCACTGCAAAATACCATTGTCTGTCTCGTCTAGAAACGTCCTCAATAAAGAGCAAGCGCTCGAAAAACTCGACGTGACCTGGGGATGGTTCCAGGCATGCTCGCTCAGGATGTTGACAGCCTGGCACAGAACTCCGGGGTCTTGGTGCGAGCACGAAACTGTTTCTTTCAAGCAAATACCCAACGTAGCTAAGAGAGCAATTACTCATATTTCTTCAGCGGTTAGAACAGGTTTCTGCGTACTCTGCAAATTTTCGATCCTTGCTAAGCACATGGTAGCCTCGTGGTCTTCGAATCGCTATATTATTGCTTCCATGTAAGCTTATATGGTTGAGCTACTCCTGAGCGATGTGAGCGGTGTATGATATCTCGCAAGCATATTGATTCCCGAAGACAATGTAGATTTTACCTTCGTAGCCACTTTTAGGGCTGTTGTTGGGGTAAGAGAGCGGAAGTTCTCCATAAATCGATTTGTTCAAAAGGAATGAATGAACTGAATTATAAGTAGTTGTTTCTTTCAATGATAAATTCTCAAAGCAAGGTAGCTGTTATACAGCTGCGAGTAACTATCTGACGTTGAAGCCGTATCATCTAACGGCTTTCAACGACTAGATCTGAACGGATCTCACTGACACTCTGAGCCTAGAGCAACCGAGAAATCTGCAAAGTCAAAATCACAGAGGACCACAGGTATCCGATCTGACAACCACATTGTACCTTCCGATATGTGTCAGAATGCCTTCAGACAGGAGCAAGAAAGTTGGAAGATAACTCACCTATCAGTATCAAACATCTGGCCACATCTGTCCGAGTAGATCCACAAAGCAGTGGTTCACAATATCCCTAACGTACCCAGCTAAGTAAGGGCAGGATGGTTCAATGTGATCGGGCCTCTCAGAGCAGAGAAAGACTGATGATTCACCAATGCAAGCAATACGAGCGCAACTATGCCCGAAGACTCGACATCTGTTTGAGTGTTGGTTATGTAGGAAATTGACGAGGAGGTCGACCTCTGCCTTCGGTGCCGCTTTCCACGGGTGGCCGATATTCTGAGTACAAAGCGGAGGGTATACCTTGTTACGACGATAAAGCTTGAGTGAGTTGGGGTCGTCGAGAAGTTCGAGATCTCGAGTTAGGCTTTGGTGGTTTGCGACCACTGACAAAAGTTAATATTGAGTCTTCAGCTTTGACTTGAAGACTAAAGGCAATGTGTGAAGATGAGACTCGTCGGAACACCAGCGAAATAACGGATCTAATGAAGAAGATTGCTTACGTTCGGCAGGGATATCGATGTCAGGGTGAAGAGCCTTAGCTTGAGCGTAGACCTCTCCAATTGTGCCGTTCAGAGTTACATGGTGACCGCCAATTACACCACTAAATTCCATGGGCTTAATAGGAAATGGGCGGGGTGCGGCTATAGGGTTGCAATTTGAGATGCGAAGTACGCTAAATAAGGTGAGAGCAAAAGTAAGAAGCCTCATCTTGGTAGATCTGAGGAGGGTGATTGGAATAGGATGATTTGTTGGATGTCGATCAGGATGACTCGATTTGAACGGGATTGATGTTATTATATCCAAAGCATGAAAGTTATTGAGAAGAGTCTTCTGAAAAAGTGAATGAGTTGATTCGGTTTCATTTCATTTAGGACAGGCATATGAATCACGATCAAAAGTATTTACAATCACTTGATCACATTACTTACCGCCACTTACGTGATATTCAGTTAGTATCATAGCTACAATTTATCTTGGCCGAAGTAATTTTGGGACGTTGTTACCTCCTTCTCGAGAAGACCTCTTAATTTAATCAACAGCAAAGTTAATTATAGAGTATAGAGTGGATATCCGACAGCTAGTAGAAAGGCAGAAACCTAGATTCTCTTCGTAAATATTACAGACATTTAAAAGTATAACCTCTTATTATACATTCTATTTATCAGATAGAGTCACAAATTACAACTTCCAAGCCTAGGTAATTCAACTAACTTAAGTAGAGTGGAAGCCAATCCGATATCAAATTAAAATAAAGTGATCATGATTGGCTTTAAATTCACCTTTTCAAAAGAGACGTTTTATAGACCCCTCACTTCCAAAGATGAAGGACATACTACTTCGATTTAGAAGGTGAATCAGAGCTCCTCTGAAAAGAGAAGTTGTACTAAATCTAAGGAGATATATCTTATACCCAAAAGACAAGTAACGCGTCTGATGAGTCGGTCAACTATGTGTACACATTGATGTTTTCTTGGGCCTACCCAGATATCATGCCCTAAAAAGTGACCGTTATTCCTGTCATATTGAGACAGCCTCACTATTGGCTTATTGGCCAATTAAAATCCATGAAAGCTCTAAGATCACTTACTAGTAATATTGAGGAGGGTCTTGTAAGACTGACTCAAACTCTTTTCCTCAAATCTTTATTCTATCAGATAGCATATAGAGCCACATATTAAAACCCAATAAAAGTCGTGTTTGGATTAGATGAAAGATCAGTGATTTTTAAGGTTCGAGAGGGAAGAAGCGCTAGCTTAATCCCATATATGAAAGTAAAAGTATTTATGTCTTCAAGCTCGAAAGTGTCAAGAGGTAAAATAGGTGCGATATCATTACTTGTTTTTTTTTTTTTTTTTTGGGAAAACAAAACAAGACTTGCTTGAAAACTTGTCGCTATGAAAAAAACAAAGAACCAATAGAAATTGACTAACGCCGATATATCCTTCCGTAGTTCTCTATTGTTCCTTAAAGTAGCACTGGATTATGACTTGGGGGTACTTTTTGATTATTTCAATTTCAATGGATATCGGTGTACATTATGCAAAAGGTCGCAATTGTACGGAACACGAGACTTTGACAGCTACGAGGAAAACACCATCTGGGATTACTTGATAAAAGAGTGAGTGTCCCTTTAATCTTTAGTATAAAGGTTAGTGCTCTTTGATAACGATGACGGAAATAAGTTATAATATCAAGCATCACGTGCCAATTTGAAAAGCTGAGCTAGAACAATCACGTGCCTTGCGGGGATTACCGGCCTAAAATTTGATCGATTCCGGGACAGAAAAATCAAAACCTCATCCTTCTCTTGCAACAGGTTCAACGTCCGCACGACAACGTTGTCCGCGTTGTTGAGATCGCTCGAAGCTGTACGTATATCTTCACTCCCGTAAGCGACTCTATTCCAATTGTTTCCCTCGGTCGCTCCGACCCAGCTTGCTATGATGACACGATACGATGCTTAGGAGAATGACTCTGACTTTACGATTTCTTCAATGGTGGCTCAATTCCTTCGGGAAGACTACAACGGTATCTGAGCAACGAAAAACAACATCCCCCGAATAACTAGTTTAATAAAGATAACGAATTCTTGCTGACTCTGTCGTCGCCATAGGACTGACGAGATGACTGTACGATAGCAATAGCATCATATCATGGCGGACACCGCGAATAAACCTACCGTCAGCAGCGGTGATGCCGCGACCTCTTCTGCGACTCCTTCGAATCCTCCACGAACAAACAAAAACTCGGCCTCTAAGAATAAGCAGGCTTTGAACAAGCTCTACGCACTGCCCGCTCCCCTCCGCACATTTCCTATTCCTAGCTTTGTACCTCAAAATCCTATATCTCTGTTTCACGTGCTCTATGCTTGGGTATCGCAAGCATTGAGTTTGAAGTCCTCAGCTTTCGATCCATTATACCAAGGCTGGTTTTCACCCGAAACTCGTTCAATTCATGTTACGGATGCCCGCTCCATCCGTGGGTTGTGGGAGCAAGGTTTCTACGGAAAAGGTAATTTGAGTCGCAGTGAACCAAATTGGTTAAAGGGAGAAAAAGACAAAAGAGCCACTGGGAAAGGCAAGGCCAGAACTAGTGAAGAAAATACATTGCGACGGCGAGCAGAGCGGCAACAAGTTAAATGGGAGAGAGCAAGGTTGCAAAAGGAGGCCATTGATCAAAAGATTTTTGAAGAGGCTACTGCCAATAGTTCACATATAGTCGTCAATGGAAATTCTTTGCCGTTGGAGGCTGCTTCCGAACCTGCCGAGAAAAGCAGCCTGCTGGCTTTGAATTTGCGTGATGAGCCTGTATCGATTTCCCAGATTCCACATCTCCCACCTCCTGTTGGACCACTAGAGCTGCTTCGTCTTCCGAATTCTGACACGGAAAGCGTTCATGGGATTTTCAACTTTATGCACCAAAAACCACCGCTGCAAGATGAATTCGTTTTCCCAAACTTAGCGCCACTGAAAATTCCACCAAGGTTATTTCCCTCTCCAGTTGGTCCACTTGAACTCTTGGCCTTGCCCAACTCGATCGATCCACTGTCACCTGTCGACGTCGAAAGTATCGAAAGCGTCTCATCCTTTGAGGAGAAACCAGGATATATTTCTCCCACCGAATCCCCAGATGAGGACTTGATCGTCCACGATTCGAAGATAAATGGTGGCGGATTGGCCCATGCTTCCCCAAATGGTCACGCGAAGTCTAACGTCGTATGCCGACCACAAGATGTGGAAGAAGAAGTCGATCACCCCGCGAAAAAGCTGCAAGAGCCTATCAACGGCGTTGCTGCACTCCCTCCGTCTCCAAAAATCAAACGCCAGAAGAGTGTGAGATTTTCACCTACGATTGAGCACAACACATTCATAAAGTCAGAGCCTCCGAGTCCAGTACGCAAAGTAGAAGCGGCAAGCTCTACTTCTATAGTCGAAACAATACCGGCATTAGCGGAGGAACTCGTTGAGATAAAGGATCAAGAACATACACAATTATCACTCGAAGAAGCGTTCTTTCTATCATATGGGATGGGCGCATTGCACATCCTTGACCCCGAGTCAAAGACTCCTATTCCAAACAATCGACTTTTCGATCTCTTCCGTCGCACATCATACTTTCCTCCCCGGTCCGATGCTGCTACTCTCGCGCCTGACGATCCTTTCATGTTAAATTACGTTGTATATCACCATTTCCGTTCTCTCGGATGGGTTGTTCGTTCCGGCATAAAGTTTGCCGTTGACTATATGCTTTATGTTCGTGGTCCTGTCTTCAATCACGCTGAGTTCGCGGTAGTTATCCTTCCATCTTACAGCGATTCATTTTACGATAACGATACTGCGGCTAAGGCTAAAGAGCGAAAGACATGGGCGTGGATGAGCTGTGTGAATAGGGTTATCACACAAGTGAGGAAGACTCTTCTTCTTGTTTATGTCGATATACCTAAGCCTCTTGAAGCGGAAGAGGAATTAAAACTTGGCATTGATGGGGTTTTGGCTCGGTATAAAGTCAGGGAAGTTGTGATGAATCGGTGGGTCTCGAATCGACAGCGAAAATGATCAGTCAGACTACGCATGTCATAATGTACCATCACGTGCTTTGTACAAATAAAATGTGGACATGCTTTTGAATTTCATATCGATAGCACAGACCTTTGAAGAAGAGCAGTTCCGACGATGGACACTCGCACTATGAAGTTGTTTCCCCGAATCCTACCTCGAACCTGGTCCAGCGGACGCGTTCACCGTCATAATGTCAATCCGTATGCAGCCACAACTGCGGCTGACCGTGGCTTTCGGTCAACCTCACCTCATCGGCGACGGGATTCTCTTCCAACAACAACGATTATCATCGGCAGATCTGAGAGTCTGAAACTCTTAAGGTACACCAACTACCTTGCTTCATCGTAATCCAAGGTTCCTGGCAAATCTGTAGACTTTGAAATGCGACTACTCCACATCAAGTCGAGGCAGCTTGAGATCTTTTTTGGGGACAACATCCCCCCTTATGCAATTTTGTCTCACAGATGGGGAGAGAAGGAGGTCTCTTTACAAGACATACAATCAACGAGATATCTATTGAGCCGACGATGGTCATCGAAATTGGAAGGGACAAGAAAAATCGCAGAAGCTCAAGGTCTTGATTACATCTGGGTTGACACGTGTTGTATCGACAAAACGAGCTCTTCTGAGCTTGAGGAAGCTATAAATTCCATGTATCAATGGTACAAGAATGCTGTCGTTTGTTACGCATACCTGGTAGATGTTACGGACTTGGAAGTATCGCCTGGATTGATTTCGACGTTTCATGAAAGTACGTGGTGGACTAGAGGCTGGACATTGCAGGAACTTCTCGCGCCCGCCAAAGTTGAGTTCTACGGTTCTCAATGGAATTATCTCGGCACTAAGAATCAACTGTCTGGCATCATTCAAAGCATCACGGGCATTCCGCGTGTTGTCTTGATTGGTATGAAAGAACCGGGAAAGGCTAGCGTTGCTCAACGTATGTCGTGGGCAAGCATGCGAGTCACGACAAGGAAAGAAGACCTGGCGTACGCTCTCCTAGGTATATTCGAGGTAAACCTGCCGATGATTTATGGCGAGGGCGAGAAAGCATTTTATCGTCTGCAACAAGAAATCATGAGAGTGACTTCCGACCAATCGATTCTTACTGGAGGCCATGTTCTCCCTGCACCGGAATTCACTTCATCTTGGGATTTGGCACTCGCCGTGTCTCCTCATGATTTCCGGGATTGCGGTGAAGTGGTATCTTGTCAGGCCTATACGGCTGAGCAATTTGATCTCTTTGGACCGATCGCCGACAAGAAACCGCAGGCCTTCGGTGCTAACATGCAAATCAGGCTTCCTCTATACGGTAAAGATGATAAAGGATATTATGCGGTCCTCAACTGCTGCGGCGATAAATCTAATGAATTGGTAGCCCTGCCGCTGCCAGTGGTCCCAGCAGCTCGGTCAGGAAAGTTACTAGGAGATTTTGCATATCTTGGCTTATCTTACAGCACTGTCCCTCGCGATATTGCTTCATTCTACGAGTACAGTGTAATTTTAACCTGCCAAAGACCCGAATTTGCAACACCTATCTCCAATGCCACTCACGATTGGTGGCACTTTGACTGTGTCACTGATCCGTTGGTATGCCCCTTAATTGAAGTCTTGTCTACAACTTTGCAACCCCCCGAAGCAAGACATTTCTTTTCATCGGGATCACTGCGAAGAGTCGAAAAAGACGAGAAATTGATCGTACGTTTCACACATCCTGATGATATTTCAGATGTTGCAGTGTGCGCACGCACTGTCTTCGATACCGAGACTGGGGAAGTGCGATCCATTATAGGTGTAGCGGATGCTAAGAAATCCTTGGACGAGCATCTCAACCACAAATCACCAAGTGATTTTCTTTCGCGTCCTGTCTGCCGATTCGACCCTTGGCCTTCCTATCTCAAGGCATCGGTTTCAAAAGAATCCCATGAGGAAGGCAACATATTTGCTGTCAAGATAACTGTATATTGGTCTTCGTTTAGTCGGCCTGATCGCTCGATGATTGTTTCTTCTGAAAAATTTGGTTCGGAGAAACGCGCGGAAGAGAAGCGTGCACTTGGGGTTTATCTACCTGTTATCGCCAAGTCTCTGGCCGTGCTATGGACTACAACAATTGCGCTATTGATATTGATCTTGACGATTCCTTTGATCATCTTTAGGTCATTTCCACGTGCTATTGCTAGACAGTGGCGTTTGCGGTTGTTGTCTCAAGGTTAAATGATATTTCAACTCCTTGACATCCTGAGCGTCTTTCACCTTACATTGTTCGGTGTGTCTTTGGCTCTTGCAATCGGCATCGGATTATTTGCAATATTTTTTGAAGTCCTGGAGATCTCGCGCGACATAATTTGTCAGATAATGTTTGCCTCTTTGTGGTTTTTGGCTTATGGTCTTGGCACTCGCGCAATTTATATGTTTATTTTGGCGATAAGCTCGGACACCTCAGCCCTACTAACGTAAGACTCCTCCAGGATTTCATCGGGGTCTGGAATTTTGGAATCGGTTATTGTCGAATACAATTGTGTTGCTTACTTAGTAATAGGCTATTATGCTGATTAGAGCATAAGCAAAGCACTCGACAACCTCAATTGCTCGCATCCGAACCAATAATTCGGCTGCTTCGACTGCCACAATTAGCCCACAGACGCCTCGATAGTGGCGCATTATTGGAGATTGGATATGAAAATACGATGTTCACATATGCTATGCAGTTTTCCTTGGCTTCGGCAAAGTGGTGCTTCAATGCTAAGATTATGGAGTACCATTTGCCTACTTCGACTCGGTATGCTCTTTCTGGGGGCTAACATTCGCCTTCTTAGCCACCGTGTAAGGTTATAAAACGGTCTTCTTCATACCTCTCTCAACATTACACAAGCTCTATCTTCATCACACTTCCCCATCGACTTCACTCCACTTCACTCTCAATACTTTGCGTCTCATAACTCCATATCAATCATGCCCGAAGCAGTAAACGGACTCGAGAACGATGGCGGTCATCAAGTCAAGATGGCCATTGGAAGGACCTTGGATGACGTCCCGGCTGCTACTTCGTCCGACAACATTCTATGGACCAGGGATATGACTCAATGCTGTGCAATAGCAACGTGTGACTTGGAAGGTGACGACGGCGAGGTCCAAAGAACTTTATATCACGCCCAAGGCTCCAATCCCACAAACGCCTACTTCTCAACTCTTGTTGGAATGATTGACCCCGATCATACTACTCAGGTTATTATCGGCAATGGCTCAGATGATGATAGACGACAATCATTTGAGATGTTTGCCGTTGCTAACGTCAAAGAGAAATTTACGGCTGCCATGAACACGGCTAACAAGTCTATGGATAACGTGGTTTTCAAGATTTTCTTCACTTTGAAAGCGGATGATGAGAGTAAAGGCTTGTTACCGGGAAGTTTCGGCATTGATGAATCAGGTTTCTGGGGGAGGATCGTGTTGAAAGATGCGAAGAAGGATAAGGCTGGAAAGAAGGGTGATAAGGATGAGGAGAAAGAGGATAAGGATGGGAAGAAGAACGCTGAGGCTGGGAGCTCGAAGAGCAAGATTGCTTCTACGGCTAGAAGTTTCATGGCAGCTGCACCGGGGGTAGCAGCTGGTGGTGAGGATGAGGAGGATGAAGATAAAGCGGGCTCAGAGCAGGACGCTGAAGATGAGGCTGGTGAAGAGGGGAAAGATGATGAGGGTGAGGATGAGGAGGGGAAAAATGATGAGGAAGAAGCTGGTGACGAGGACGCCGACGAGGAGGAGCAAGGCGACGATGATGAGCCGGCGGATGAGGACGATGAGAACGAAAAGGATGAAGGAGATGACGAGGAAGCTGATGAGGAGGGCAATGACGAGGAAGAACCAGATGGAGACGAGGAGCAAGAGGGTGGAGATGAAGTTGAGGAAGGGGATGAGGGTGCAGAGGCGGAAGAGGGTGAGGAGGGTGAGGATGAAGAAGGAAAGGAGGAGGAGGTAGGTGATAAGAAGTAAGGGTTGTGAGGATGTGAGAAACGATACTAGAAATGGTTTAGGTCGCAAATTCGATTAAGGAAGTTACTGCTGCCTAAGATGTTATCTGTTCGCTATTATATGTGCTGTTGTGAAGCTTGCCAACTCGCTTTGGATTTTGCAAGCTACTACGTCGACCACAGTTTCTCTCGTTTTTAAAAAAACAAGGAAGCTCATGACTGAAGATGTTTCATGGTATTATATTTACTAATCTTATGGGGATTTTGGGGTGGGTGGGTAGATGGCGGAGGTGGTGAGGGAGGTGGTGGATTCGGTGTCGATGTGAGTGAGGGTCATGATGTTGTTTTTCTGTGGATGAAGAGCCGAGTCGTTGCTGTTAGGTCGCCAGGATAGGACTTCTTTTAGTGTCCTGGTAAAACTCCAGCGATTTGCGTCTTTGTGGTTTGATAGACGAATACTGTTGGTTTCCGCGTAATTTGGCGGCAAAGATCACCCAAAATTTGCTGAGTTTTAAGAAGCATGGACAAAGTCAAACAGAATGTCAGATACTGTATTTCCAACTCATGTAAAAAGGGCAGCTGCCTACCTCGCCAATATGTTGGTAACCTATGCTATTGGACGTGTAGAAGTGGATGAAACGGTTAGGGGCCGGCAATGGGTCAACGTTGCGGCGCATGTCTGCGAAGGGCGGTCGTGTTGGAACATGGCCAGCGTTTAACATGAATGTCAATGAAGCAAGTAAAAGAAGTATTTTGAGGCCTATTAATAGAATCACTATTCTACAGATTTATAATACTTGGCAATTCGTGACTAGAACAGCTCTCTATCTCTTAGCATTTTGCCAAACAAATGCCGACTTAGTGAATAAGAAAACTTCTTGATACATATTTAAACCAAAAAGAAAACTTACATCTTTCGCTATACATTATACACGCTAGGTTTCGATACTTTAATGACGTTCTCACATCATTTTATCATTAAACAAAATTAGTGAAATGCAGATTAAACTTCGTCCTCATCTATACCCAATATTGGTCAATCATCTGTCTTGTCAGTCAATGGGGCGCAAAGTTTGGTCTGGATGATTCCGTGATCTTGGAACCGAGATATTTGTGTAAAAGTCGGTGATTGGGGGGGTTGAGTCAGCTGACCCAGACTTTCTCGGTGGAATGGCCCAAACATATTCCAACGTCGTAAAATACAGATGTTTAATTCGAAGTAGATATATACTATACTATCTATCCTAATTGTACTAAATGTTCTATCTCAGTCACACGTGACCTACCAAGTTAAGTTCCTCTTCCAACTTCCCACTTTTTGGTGCCCCACCCCCTGCTTTCGTTCAGCACAACGATGTCATCCACCCGGCAATCTCATTGGAGGCTCAACTGAGGTTAGATCTTCCATGGTCTGGACCCCAATCTGACTGGGGATAAGCCGATTCACAATTGCTGATGCCATTTCAGCTTCGCCATCCATGGGGTATTTACGAACGATTGAATATTCACAGAAATCAACATTCCTCGATTCCTACACCCGTTCAACCTCCTCTGAATTGCTTCATTCTTCATCGATGCGCGCGCGTCACTCCGGCCACGTTAAGGTTAAGACCGTTCAGCTGGCCCTGGATTTTAACCGCCTTTCCAAGGCATTGGAACCTTTTTCGTCTGCCAACACAGACGCAGCCAAGCCGCTTGGCATTGTCTGACCTCGCCGTTTCCCCATCAGCAATTTCAGGTTTGTGGAGAAGAAAGTATATTTCTTGGATCTGTTGTCCTTGTTGTTGTGCTCTCCTTGCCTCGTTTTCTGTGTTTCTCACGCGCAACAGTCATCTTGCGTCAAGATACGTGTCTCAATCCTTCAAACTCCTTCTCTTTACGTATCATCATCATTCACGACTTCTGCGACGAACACTCACAGATACCCGCAAGACAAGACATTCGCCAAGTCGACTACCAACAGTTAAGAATCGAAGAACCACCAAGCTTTCAGGCCAAGCCAGCCCAGCACCATGGCAGGAAGTCGTCAACACCGAAGATCGAGACGAGAATCCTCCTCGCGACATGAGAATATCGCCTTAGAAGACTCCATCAGTCCTCCTTCCAAGGCACACGTCAGCCACGAGAAGAAACATCACCATATCCTCCCTACCCACAACCACAATGGACACAAGGTTACGAAACATATCAAGCCAGAGGGCGAGAGTGGAAGGAGAGGCATAAATCCGCTACATTTCTTCAAGATTGCATGGAGATCGGCGAGTGATGCATCGAGAGCCGTCAATGTTCTCTGGCCAGTTGTGCCAGCTGCAATTGCGGTTCGATACGCAAAACCCGACATGCATTTGACTATCTTCGTCCTCAATTACATCGCGATGGTTCCTTGTGCCAATCTCATTGGATTCGCGGGTCAAGAACTGGCAAGAAAACTTCCAAAGGTCTTTGGCGTTTTGCTGGAGACTACTCTCGGTTCAGTCGTCGAAATTATCCTCTTTATGGTTTTGCTACGTCACGATGATTTCCCTGTCATACAAGCAGCGATTCTGGGATCCATCTTGGCTACGCAGCTTCTATGTCTAGGATTGTGCTTCTTCGCAGGTGGCATGAGACGTGATGAACAGGAATTCGATGAGGCTGTTAGTGAAGTCGGTAGTGGATTATTGTTGACTGCGTAAGTATTCATGCATAGCACTACATCTAGGAATATGCTAATAATCTACAGTGGATTCGGATTGATCATTCCTGCCATATTCTACCAAGGAGTAAGGCAGTTGGAATACATTGGCGACGGCGCGCTCAGAGCTAAGACTGTGGATGTCTCTCGAATCACGTCCATTTTCTTGATCTGCGCCTACATGATTTATGTCTGGTTCCAAATGCGAACTCACCATGGAATTTACGATGCCATCTTTGAACAAGACGAACTAAACGACGCCGACAGACATAAGGATCTTAGAAAAGATAAACTCACATTCACAGAATGTATCCTTGCTCTAGCCGTCTCAATCGCCCTTGTTTCCATTGTCGCCATCTCCCTAGTAGAGCAAATCCCTTTTATCGTCGAAGAAAGGGGTGTTTCCGACCTCTTCATGGGTCTCATCCTCGTTCCCCTCGTCGAAAAATTCGCTGAGCATCTGACCGCCATTGACGAAGCATGGGACAATCAGATGAACTTTGCACTCTCCCACGTCCTCGGAGCTACTATCCAAACCGCCCTCTTCAACGCTCCTCTCGTTGTTATCGTCGGCTGGGGTCTCGGCAAACAAATGGATTTCAATTTCGACGTCTTCTCCCTTGTCTCACTCATCCTCGCCATCTTGGTCGTCGGAAATTTTTTGAGAGATCAGAAATCGAATTACCTTGAAGGTGCACTCTGCGTTATCGTCTACTGTATCATCGCAGTAGCGGCCTTCTACTTCCCAAATAATCCAGCACACGGTGGTGGAGCTACCGAAAGCTCAGCAGGAAGTGAGGGTACGGCCGCAGCACATCGGATGATGATGTGAGGTTATTGACAGAATGCTTTATTTAATTGAGCTAGGAGTTGGGGCTATCTGTTGTATGTTGTGTGATATTAGCCAGTTTTTTCGCGGTTCGGATCTAGCATACGGTCGGGTTTCAAGCGAGCTATTTGAAAATCGAATTTTGGTTTGGGGTTTGGAGTCTTTTGACTTGATCTGGCTATGTAGGATTGTTTACTCGATATGAAAATTAGTTATAGGCATAAATATCATTCTGATTATTTAACTCCAACTTGCTCTCGGTTCAAGATGAATTCCCACCTCCTCTTCATCAACGTAATGTGGAATCTGGTCCTCTTAGCTGTGATGCGTTGATTCTAGTGATTGTAGTAGCGATGACTGACTATGCAAGGATGGATATATAGCGTCCCACATGATGACTTATAGATATACAATGAATCATTGACTTAGTTGTTTGTGTGATATTTGCATTCGTTTTCTATGTATAACTAATGGCATACACGTTCGGCTCGGTGTCGCGGTCCGGCTTTCGGGGTTGCCGTAAAGCCACGTCTTTTTTTGAAACCTATGTAGAAAGAATGAAGGAGCTTCTATAATTTGTAATATATTAACTATAGAATTTGTAGTTAGAGTATAGTTCTAATACGTAGTATTTTTGTTTATTAGTATACCGTATATTATCTTGTCAAGACAGCCTCAATCATGTGACTAGCCCCTGAGTTTGTGGCCGAGGTTTCTTG